CTGAAGCCTGAACCCTCCAGACTCTCTGAAACACTCCTTCTTCAGAGTCTTCCCTCTCGAGAGCCTCGCCGACGACTCCCCCTTCTCACGCTCCTTCAATACGGCTCCCCCATGTTGTCCTAGGCAATACTCTCGGTCCTTCGTGTTAGTAACGCGGATTCCCGCCAGGTACGATCTCCTTCCTGCTCGCTTTCCTTGATCTCTCTCGAGTTTCGTCTCCCTTACCGCCGCTTTAACCGTTCTCTTTCCCTCCTCCCCAATATCCCGTCCTTAGTAGCCCAATAGTCCACCTTCCAGTCCCCTCGCCTCTCCATATCCAATCATCTGCCCCCAGCTTTTTCTTCCTTTTGCTTTTTCATCCTCTTCAAGATTATTCGCGTTCGCTCGCCGTTATTTTCCCTTTGGTCTCCCTCCCCCGAATTCTCTCTCTCGGAGGCTGGAGCTCGTCTTTCGTTTTTTCTTTGTTTGCAGTCCCATACTTTCGTCCGCATTATTAGACTTTGTCCCCCCCTGTTCTAGTTTCCGAGCGGGCCCCCTCCCCCAAATTCATCTTGGTTTCAATTCTTGACCTCACCCATCACACGGACCATTCGTCATCTGCGTCGTCAACTCCTTCAACTCGACGAAACCCGACCTTTTTTTTTTTGCTCGCTATTTCTTTTGACCTGATATGTCTGGTTTTTAACCGAGTCTTACAGGGCAAAATGGCTTGCGCGGACGAGACGCTCACGGCCGCTGCTGCCATTCTCCAAAATCTCGCCAGAGAAGCCCCTTCCTCCGGTTCTCCCTCCTTCGACTTCACCTTCTCCCCGCATTCCACAAATGGCGTGGACTCGCTTCCTAAGTTACCTGGAGAGCCTAGCTTAGCAAAAGTTAGGTTCGAAAATGAATTAGAGGGCTTGGTCCGTCGGATCCATCGCATGGAAGTTCAAACTGTCAGTCAACCCATTCTTTTCAAACCCTTCGTTGTGTTTCCATATTCCATTCGCACGAAATAAGATTTCTTCATCTGCGAACCCTCGACAATCTCTTGACGTGATAACCGCTAACCTTTCTATTCCTTTCAGCATCAAAGCCACACGCAAACTATCCAAGATACTCAACCCACACAGCACGCTCATAAACGAAGAAAATCTTCCAAGGATGCGGAACCCGAGGTCCTCGAGGAAAGTGATGCTGCGGGAAGCGATGAAGAGGAGGATGGCGGAGCAGCAACCTTAGTTCGAGAGGAAGACATCAGCTACTTACGGAATTATGTTCAGAAACAAGCGGAGGAAATAAGTTTTCAAAAGAATATCATCACTCAGGTCCGTGAAGAACTACAGCTGCAAGAAGTGCAAACGCGGCGAGCTCTCACCAAGGTCGAAAATGAGGATGTGGTTCTCCTGGAACGAGAGCTGCGCAAACATCAGCAAGCAAACGAAGCTTTCCAGAAGGCTCTACGAGAAATAGGAGGCATCATCACTCAGGTCGCTAACGGAGACTTGTCAATGAAGGTTCAGATCCATCCATTAGAGATGGACCCTGAAATCGCCACTTTCAAACGGACAATCAACACTATGATGGACCAACTCCAAGTTTTCGGTAGTGAGGTGTCTCGAGTCGCTCGTGAGGTCGGAACAGAAGGTATACTTGGTGGTCAAGCTCAAATTACCGGCGTCCATGGTATCTGGAAGGAGTTGACGGAGAACGTCAACATCATGGCTAAAAATCTTACGGATCAAGTGCGTGAAATCGCCGTTGTTACGACCGCTGTCGCACACGGTGATCTCAGTCAGAAAATCGAAAGCCGGGCTCAAGGTGAAATTCTTGAACTTCAACAAACGATCAATACCATGGTGGACCAACTTCGGACTTTTGCAACGGAGGTTACTCGTGTTGCTCGCGATGTCGGTACGGAAGGTGTTCTCGGTGGTCAAGCTCAGATCGAAGGCGTACAAGGCATGTGGAATGAACTTACGGTAAACGTGAACGCGATGGCAAACAATTTAACGACACAAGTGCGCGATATTGCAACGGTCACTAAAGCGGTCGCTAAAGGTGATCTTACCCAGAAGGTCCAGGCAAACTGCAAGGGAGAAATTGCCGAGCTTAAGAATATTATCAACTCCATGGTGGACCAACTTCGCCAGTTTGCGCAGGAAGTCACTAAGATTGCTAAAGAGGTCGGTACTGATGGTGTACTCGGTGGCCAAGCCACCGTCAACGATGTGGAAGGCACATGGAAGGATCTCACCGAAAATGTCAACCGAATGGCCAATAACCTAACAACCCAAGTCAGAGAGATCGCGGATGTGACAACCGCTGTCGCAAAGGGTGATCTCAGCAAGAAGGTTACCGCCAATGTCCAAGGAGAAATACTAGATCTCAAAAGCACGATCAACGGCATGGTGGACCGACTCAATACATTCGCCTTTGAAGTCAGCAAGGTCGCTAGGGAGGTCGGAACAGATGGTACCCTTGGCGGTCAAGCTAAAGTAGACAATGTGGAAGGGAAGTGGAAGGATCTCACCGACAACGTCAACACCGTGGCCCAGAATTTGACCTCGCAGGTGCGAAGCATATCAGACGTCACGCAAGCCATTGCCAAGGGTGACTTGAGCAAGAAGATTGAAGTCCACGCCCAGGGAGAAATTTTAACCCTCAAGGTCACAATCAACCACATGGTGGACCGTCTAGCTAAGTTCGCAACGGAATTGAAGAAGGTCGCACGCGATGTCGGTGTTGATGGCAAAATGGGTGGCCAGGCAAACGTAGAAGGAATCGCTGGGACGTGGAAGGAGATCACAGAAGACGTCAACACCATGGCAGAAAATCTTACGTCGCAAGTACGAGCCTTTGGCGAAATCACAGATGCAGCAACAGATGGTGATTTCACAAAACTCATTACCGTCAATGCCTCTGGTGAGATGGATGAGTTGAAACGCAAAATCAATAAAATGGTGTCGAATCTACGAGATAGTATTCAGCGAAACACAGCCGCCAGAGAAGCTGCCGAATTGGCAAACCGCACCAAGTCCGAATTCCTGGCCAACATGAGTCACGAAATCCGAACACCTATGAATGGTATTATTGGTATGACACAGTTGACTCTGGACACGGACGATCTGAAACCGTACACTCGGGAGATGTTGAACGTGGTGCATAATTTGGCAAACAGTCTTTTGACGATCATTGACGACATACTCGATATCTCAAAGATCGAAGCGAATCGTATGGTGATCGAAAGCATCCCGTTCACGGTTCGGGGTACCGTCTTCAACGCTCTTAAGACATTAGCAGTCAAGGCCAACGAGAAATTCCTGAGTCTCACTTACCAAGTCGACAACACAGTCCCCGACTATGTCATTGGTGACCCCTTCCGTCTGCGACAGATCATACTGAACTTGGTCGGTAACGCGATCAAGTTTACCGAGCATGGCGAGGTCAAGTTGACGATCTGCAAGTCAGACCGTGAACAGTGTGCGGCAGACGAATACGCCTTTGAGTTTTCAGTCTCGGATACTGGAATTGGTATAGAGGAGGACAAGCTTGATTTGATCTTCGATACTTTCCAACAGGCGGATGGGTCGACCACACGAAGATTCGGAGGCACTGGCCTTGGGTTGTCTATCTCAAAACGGCTAGTCAACCTAATGGGTGGTGATGTATGGGTCACATCTGAGTACGGCCACGGCAGCACCTTCCATTTCACCTGCGTTGTGAAGCTGGCAGATCAGTCCCTCAATGTCATCGCATCTCAACTTCTGCCCTACAAGAATCACCGCGTCCTCTTCATTGACAAGGGAGAAAACGCCAATGAGGCAGAAAGTGTTCTAAAGATGCTGAAGAAGCTGGATCTTGAACCGTTGGTTGTTCGCAATGAGGATCACGTCCCGCCTCCAGAGATCCAAGACCCTTCCGGCAAAGAGTCTGGTCACGCCTATGATGTGATTATTGTGGACTCAGTAAACACGGCCAGGATGCTCCGAACATACGATGACTTCAAATACGTTCCCATCGTACTGGTATGCCCACTAGTCTGCGTCAGTCTGAAGTCGGCCTTGGATCTTGGAATTAGCTCTTACATGACAACACCATGCGAGCCGATCGATCTAGGCAACGGTATGCTGCCCGCGCTTGAGGGACGCTCCACACCAATCACCACCGATCACTCACGCTCTTTCGACATACTTCTTGCTGAGGACAATGACGTTAACCAGAAGTTGGCCGTGAAGATTCTCGAGAAGCACAATCATAATGTCTCAGTTGTTGGCAATGGCCAAGAAGCTGTGGATGCTGTCAAGCAGCGCCGCTATGATGTGATTTTGATGGATGTGCAAATGCCAGTTATGGGTGGCTTTGAGGCCACGGGCAAGATTCGCGAGTATGAAAGAGACAGTGGATTAAGCCGGACTCCAATTATCGCTCTCACAGCCCATGCCATGTTGGGTGACCGAGAGAAGTGTATCCAGGCTCAAATGGACGAATATTTGTCCAAGCCGCTGAAGCAGAACCAAATGATGCAGACCATTCTCAAATGTGCCACTCTCGGTGGCTCTCTTCTAGAAAAGAGCAAGGAGTCTCGCATCTCAAGCAGTGGGGAGATGCATCATGTCCACACAGGCCCAGATGGCAAGTCGCAACGTCCGGGAATGGAAGCCCGATCAATCACAGCAACGAGTTCCGCGAATCATACCCTCGCTAGCCCGAGTTCCGAGAGAAGCGAGCAGCTCTCTATGGATAGGGTAAGACCTTAAATCCCTAAAGTTTATGATACCCATAGGCTGATCAGCTCAGCAGGCGTTGCTGCGGTCTAACAGCTCGTGAGACGGGTTTTTGAATATCCTTTTTACGTTTTGCTCTGCTTGATCTTCACGAGTACTTTCGTTCAGATCTTATATACCCATCCTGTTTCCTTTACGCATCTAAGATTTCCTTTTCTTGGGGATTGTGATCGTCCAATTGGTTCAGTCATCTCTCACCTTTCCCCCTCTACTTCCAAGCTTTCTTTTCTCGAAACGCTTGGCTCTTCCTCACGTCATCGACCTACCTCATACCCTTAACCTCTTATCCACCTTTTTCCGGTCACATCTCGCTCCATTTTGCATATTGTTGTCGCTGGTATCGTTGTCGACATCGCGGCTTCTGTTTCTCCTGGTCTATTACATAGTATATCATGTTGTGATTTCGGCAGTTCTACATCCAGTTCAGTGCCAGTTATCTGGTGTAATGGTGTTTGGCGCATTGAACCTCGGCGAAGGGCGGGGAAGGAAACAATCCTCATGTGAATTCGAATAACTAAAGCCGTTGCTTTTCCACGGACCAGTCAGTCATGAGACAAAAGAATATTCTCTCCAGGAGGCGAAATCGATGCAACGCAGTGCCAGCAGTTAGCGGGCATCTCATCTTTTTGTCCTGTTTCCAAAGAATATACCATATCATTCATGTGGATGTCGCATCTATTGCTACGCCATCTCTCTGCCTGCGTCTCTCTTGTCTCTTGCATATTTTCTGTTTTTATATTTATCCACGCCCGCCTAGGTGCAATCGGGCTCCCATTTTTTCTTCAGTTCCTAACTGTATTGTATTTAATCTTGGCCTCCTCGTCTTCTATCTCTATGGGAGGAGAGACATGACTGCGCCTTTTGGATTTTTCTTAGTTTGGGATGGAAGCAAGTCTTTCGTCAAAGCAAAATACGACTACATACATACTGCCCGCTACTATTATCTCCTGCCTATGCGTCTTTAAGATGAAAATATAAACAGAACATTGGAATCAGAATTAATTAGCAAGCAGGTGCCTAACGTAGTCATTTTCCCCACGTATATATATACCTGTCAAGCAACCAAGTCAAACCAACATTTGAGTGAATGTAAGTAACAAGAGTCAATTTGCTTTTGATCCCCTGCGCCCTCCACAATCCCTTCTTTTTTTTAAGTGTAACAATTAAATGCCCGATTGCGCATTCCAATCTCTCTTTCTTTTATACCTAATAGGCATATATTGAATTAATAATATGTTTATTCGAATTGAATCAAACCACAAAAGCCCTACTGAGTTGTACACCCAATGAGCAAGCAACGGTAACTGTGATGAAGTGAGTTTGACTTTGAAATGTTTTACCAGTATCGGAATCGCCTGATACCGGTGTTAGCCGGCCCCGATGGTGACGAGCTCGTCCCCTCTGGTAGCTTCGAGGAACTGGACGGCGAGTTCTCGGGTAGCCTTGAGGAGCTCGAATGGGACGCGCTGGAGTGGGAGTGGGATGATGAGGTTTGTCTTGCTACTAGGTACTTGGACGATGAGGGTGAATGTGTCGAGGGCGAGTGTGTCGAGGACGATGGAGCCGCACGTACTTTCGAGGTGGGTGAGAGTGTGGTGGATTTGGCATCTTGGGCGAATCGCTTCATTGCGAAGTGGTGGCTGTCTTCTCCATGGTTATTGTTTCTGTAGTCTCCGCGGCCGGGGTCTTTGTTATCCTGGCCCTTATGGCCATCATCCTTATTGTCATAATAACCATAATGGCCGGGATCCTTTTTGTCATCTTCCTTGCCTTTGCCCTTGCCATGGTCTTTACCATCATCCTTGTCATCGTGATCTCCATGGCCGGGATCCTTTTTGCTGTCATCCTTGTCCTTGCCCTTGTCATGGTCCTTATCATTATCCTTGTCGTCGTGATCTCCATGGGCGAGATCCCTCTTGTAACCTCCCTTGCCATGGTCCTTATCATCATCCTTGCCGTCATGATCCCCACGGCCGGGATCCCAGAAGCCGTGGTCGTTATATTTAGGATCATAGCCGTCAGACTTATTTACCCTGCCATCATCTTTGTTGTCGTAGAAATGGCCATTGTTCCAATATCCCGGACGTCCGTAGTTGCTGTCTCCGTGGTCGTGGTCATGGTCTCCATAGCCCTGGCTGCCGTAACCAGGATCCCACCGGCCGTTCTCCCAATGGCCACCATCCCCATGATTTTTATCCCAATCGTTACTGTTCCAGTTGTTATTGTCCCAACGATTGTTGTCTCCGTAGTTGTTATTCCCATAGCTATTACCTCCCCGGTTACCTCCCCGGTTATCTCCACGGTTATCTCCACGGTTATCTCCACGGTTATCTCCACGGTTATCTCCACGGTTATCTCCACGGTTATCTCCACGGTTATCGTTGCGGCCTGGATCGTTGCGGCCAGAGTCGCCATAGTCGGAGTTACCACGGTTGGGAGCAGAGTTAGCAGGTGGTTTGGTAGGTTCTGGGCCCGATCGATAATCTGATCCGGGTTGATAACCAGTACTAGCAGGTGTTGTGGTAGGAAGCGTGAAGCTAGGAATATCAGCTCGATGTTCGTCGTCGGATTGGCTCTGATCTCTAGCATCAGTGTTTGCGGGCTCGGCCCCAGCGCTTGAACCTGAGTCTGGAGCCCTATACTGTCTCTTCATTTTATCCCCATGCCCAGATTTGTGAGATGCCACTTCGGTGTCTTTCTCATGTGATTCGGTGGTTGTTGGGCTTGTCCGAGTGGGTGTATGAGTTGTTTCAGTTTTATCGTGTCCATGATTTTCCCATTCTTTTTTCCCCCATCCATGCCCGCTGGAGTCTCCACCAGAGCCCTGACCTCCTGGACCCTGCCCTCCGGGAACACCAGGTCCGCCACACGGGCATGGGCATAGACAGGTTGGTCCTCCTGGTGTACCTCCGCCGCCGCCGCCTCCTCCTCCGCCTCCCCCTCCACCACCCCCGCCTGGCTGTCCACTAGGATGTCCACCGCCTGGTTGACCACCGCCTGGTTGACCACCGCCTGGTTGACCACCACCTGGTTGACCACCGCCTGGACCACCTGGACCACCTGCACCTCCAGCACCTCCAGCACCCCCAGGGCCTCCCGGACCACCGCCGGGCGGATAACCACCACCTGGCTGACCACCACCGGGCTGACCACCACCGGGCTGACCACCGCCTGGTTGACCGCCGCCTGGTTGACCGCCGCCTGGACCACCTGCACCACCTGCACCTCCAGCACCTCCAGCACCCCCAGGGCCTCCCGGACCACCACCGGGTGGATAACCACCGCCTGGCTGACCTGATCCAGGTGGATATCCCGTAGGCTGGCCAGTAGGCCGACCGCCGCCAGGCTGACTACCCCCAGGTGGATATCCCGTAGGCTGACCGGTAGGCTGACCTGTAGACTGACCACCAGGTTGTCCTGGCTGTTGACCACCGGGTTGTCCTGGAATGATTCCACCGGACCCACCGGGGCCTCCTGGGCCACCAGGGCCACCAGGGCCTCCCGCGCCACCAGGACCTCCCGGCGGACCACCACCAGGCGGATAGCCACCAGGCGGGCCACCTGGCTGACCTGGCTGTTGACCACCTGGCTGACCTGGCTGCTGGCCACCTGGCTGACCTGGCTGACCTGGCTGTTGACCACCTGGCTGGCCTGGCTGCTGGCCTCCGGGTTGTCCTGGCTGTTGACTACCGGGATGTCCTGGCTGTTGACCACCTGGCTGACCTGGCTGCTGGCCTCCGGGCCCTCCAGGGCTGGTTGGCGTCCCAGTTGGCCTGGCTCCGCCTGGTGAGGTATTCGAGGGGATTGGTATAATGCTTCCAGGGCGGCTTGGGGTTACGCTTGGCTGGGTTCCAGGGTGGCTTGGCGTTTCGCCGGGAATCGGCAAAGTCCCTCCAGGAACTCCAGGGGGAGTGGTGCAGACGGTGACAGCGCTAGTCACGGTTTGTTGTCCGCAGCCATCACATTTCTGCTGGGCTTGTTGAGGCGCAGCCACTGCTTGCTGGAGGAGAGCCCCCAGAGACAAGAAGATGGCAACCTTGCTAGGAGATGGTGCCATATTGAACAGAATAAAAATTTATAGTTGGAAGTGACAGACTCAATTGGAAAGCACAAAAACAAAAAAGAAAAAGAAAAACAGATACTGTAGAAGGTGCGAACAGTTACAGATGCTGATTTTTGTAACGCATCCAAACCATGAACTATGTCATCGATGAATGATACATTCTGATACACTCTGAATTTGACGCGAAGCATCTTGCGTAACGGCTGTCAAAACCTTATAGCTAGACAGTCATGAAATGGTGGTTTGATGAGCTAGATCTGCCGGAAATCACACCTTGTAACTCCGATGCCATAATGGTGACGATAAAAGGCGAAAGATTGCCGTGGACTGACGGTGATGGAGGGTAGAGGGTAGTACGGGACGCGTGTCCGACAGAATAGACCAATACGGCTCTGAGGTCCCAAAGGTTAGCAGATTAGATAGGGTTGATGGTGGAGTGCTAGAACCCTACCGAGATGAAGCTTATTTGGCTGGGACTGGTAGGTTTTGGGAGCATTCAGTGGAATCCGAAGGCTTGTAATCCGGCGTAGGAACAAGGTTTTCCAGTAGTTTATTATTACTTTTGCAGCGCCAATGTGCCAGGCAATGAGGACCTGTTCACAGTGATTTCGTGTATTTCTAGAGTTCGTTTGTGTCTCTGAATAACAGATGATGCATTGAATGATGTGGAATCACGATTTGTAGGTCGCTGAGATGAAATAATTCCCATGGTTTTATTAATCTAATATATCGCCCATGGTTGGCGCCATCCAACGTGGATTAGCTTTGCTGCTGTCACACAGATAAGGCCTGCAGCATAGCAACATATCGTATACGATATGAGGCCCCAGTAGTCTTCGTTGCACCTAGAAAGAATTTCGCCTGCGATAGGCATTCCTGTCAAAGTGCTGGGTTTTCAACATTAGCTAGTGCCCTTATAGCCGTCCTGAAACTGAAAAGAAGAAGCTCCAAACCTACCCAAAGCTCACAATCGTATATGACGTGGCGTAATATCTCCCATAGTTTTCAATTTTACAGAGCTGCGAGATGCAAACGGGAGTTAGACTGATGTTGCTGCCGCTAGCAAAACCGAAGATCACACAATACACAATTATCACAGGCACGTTGTCTCCAGCAGGGAGCCAGAGGCATGCGTTGCAGACGAGACATAGTGCAACCGTGACTATAAGGGTGTTGAATCTTCCGGCATAGTCTGCAAAAAACCCAGGAATCGCTCTTCCAAAGAATGATCCCACGTTGAGAAATGCCAACATCTGGTATGAAAGGGTTTCAGAAGTGCCGTGTGCTAAGGCGTATGAGGATATGTAGCTTAGAGGGATAAAGAGACCCCATTCAATGAAGAAGATTCCCGCTGTGGTGAGCGTGAGTTTGACGTCTCGGAAGATACGAAAATCTGGCAAAACGTTTTCTTTGGACGCTGGCTTTTTTGGGAGCCGTGACTTGACCAACAAGCATGAACCGATTAACGAAATCAGGCAAATCAAAGCGACGACCCGAGTGGCCCATCCCCATCCGATCTTAGGGAACAGCGCCTGTAGGATCAAAGGAAATGCAATACCACCTATAGAGCCACCTGTAGACGCAATTCCCGTTGCTATTCCACGCCTCTCATTGAAATAGTGGCCAATTGCGGATATCGCGGGAGTGAAGATCATAGAAGTTCCTAACCCCCCAGCAATCCCAATTGACAGCATAAAATGCCAGTACTGGGTACAGAAGCCGATAGTCACCACCATTATCATTACCAGTACGGCTCCACCAAAGACCAAAAGTCTGGGCCCTTTGGCGTCAAAAACGGGCCCAACCTGGACACCACCAAAGAAAGTCAGAAAGGCATACATGCCGAATATCCATGATATGCTCCCAGAGCTGTATTCTTTCAATTGGTTGGTTTGAAGGTACGCTTGAAAAGAGCCTATGCTGTTCAACAGGCCGAGAGAGGCGAAAAGACCCAAGAATGAGCCTAGAACGACTAACCAGGCGTCTAAGCCGCCTTCTGGATAAGTATTGCCATCTGCATCAGTCGTGACCCGGCTAGCGGGAGCGCGCTGGTCCAGATCATCGGGAGCCGTAGCCTCGGAGACATTTCTGTGAAGATCATATTCAGACGTCAATTGTGGTTGGGAATGATTCTGCACCGGTGGCAGTTCTGACTTTTCTATGATGTTGCTAGTGGGTCGAACGCCATCCGACGTAGTGTCATCATTAACTCGATGTGACTGAAAGCCTGATGTCGGGGCATGCGTGTTGTGAACGGATATTTCTTTGGATTCATTCTGTGGCTCTCCAGATGGTGAGTCGGGAAGTCTGATGTTCGGTGACATATTAGTATAAGGCTTGGAGCGTAGTGGACCACGGTTGACCTTCTCCCTTTCCACCGTACAACCACACTGCCGCGTACACCTCAAGTGTTATGCGTCAATTAAGATAAGCGTTGGCCGATGTTGACGAAGCTGAGATCGTGTCTGGTGGCAAGGAGAGACAAGACGGTCCAGACAAGACAAGGCCTGCGGTGCCATGTGAAAGAAAATAAAAAAAATTGAAAAACAAATTGGCAAAGGATCGCAGCGGCGCACCATTATTGGTCTGGAGGCCCGAGTGGAGGTTGTTTTCGGGGGGATTACCCAAACATCATGTTTTCGATTGGTAATAATCCGTCGGGCTCGACTGGTTTTGCTGCCCGCGGGTGTTATGGCGTTTCCAGCACATCGTCTTGTGGGTTGGTCATGTTTGCGGTTAGTTGGCGCTAGAATGGATCAGGAAGGTTCGGGGAGCGAGAACAGACGTTGGGAGCTCACGGGGCTTCCAAGAGAGCGTAGAAGACGCCAATGGAGCCAACGCAAATTAGGCAGAGGAGGCGACAATAAGTACAGATGGGGCTGGGAACAGAAGTGGGAGATGAGACGGAAGTGAAGTGAAGAGTTGAGGGTTGAGGCTGCAAGTGCAGAGATGTTGTCTGCGTCGTACGGGAAGGAACGACCGACTCCTGCCGGCGGGGGAGCTTGGACCACCGGATCATCCCGCATTCATCCCCATTCCAGCCCTAATCAGACTGACAGGATTCTGCGATAAGGTGCTTGAAGCAATGCTGCATACCGAGGGATTGGTAGGCAACTGTTCCAGAATTTCTGGCCTTTTCCTCATAGTAGCAAATATCTATACGGGCATTCAATGCTAATATGCATGCCTACAAATCGTGAAAACGCAGGCTACCTACCCTACGTCGGCCAATCTAATTTTGTTTTTAGGTCTTTGCCATAAGCAGCCGGATCCTAGGATCTAGAGACACGGGCGTGGACATGACATTATGACAAGGCGACTACGTATATCGTGTGGCTTGACGAGTTGAAGGTTGTTTTTGCAAGAGCGGGGTGGACATACAAACGCCTTTGATGGGTTAGACGTGTTATCATTGACTATTGCCTAAAGAGAGCATCACTGCTTATGCCGACGTCCTCTAAGCGACTAGTTTGAACTGTATTGGCCTTGGTTCTTGTGGCAGCCGGTGGGCCTGGAGCCAAGTGCATCATCAGCTCCATCATGGAGGGGTTGTTTGGGTTAGCAGACCGTCTTTCTCTTGCTAGGGAAGGTTGTTAGGAATAGAGAATAAGTGTATCTGATTAGAAGGCAGTTGCCTTGGAACTTGTATTACTTCATAGAAGCGCAGTATTCGGGTGTGCCAGGGCTCGCCAAACTTCATGATGCATGTTGGGGAGTGCTCGAGAATTCGAAACTAAGTACGTTTCGTACTGGATCATGCGAGTTGGATATGGGTCCTGTTCTGCGGCTCCGTGTGCCTGGCTCTGGGTACGGCATTGGCCGTGAGGGAGGTAAGGGGGCGGGTTCACATTCACCATTTGCTTTTTATTCGGTTGTCTGGATATGGCACCAACTCATGAAAACTCAGAGAAGCGGTAAAGAGTGAAGTGTTAATTTGATAAGAATTCTGAGCGAGCCTTCGCTTCTAATTGGCACGATGTCGCATGGGATGCTTGATTTAACTTCACTGCAGGCGTTATTAATTCGGACAATAACAGGGACGATGTTATCATTTCTAAGAGTGACAGTCGGTGTGACCCTCCAACACGAGGAGTGGCAGTGATGATCGCTGCACTTCCAACAGTCAGCCTGAAAGTCAAAGGGGTGATTGGTGCTGCAGGAGCGACAAGGTTTCCTGATGTCGTGCTCGGGTTAAACGGTTCGGGAAATGGATACGGAATCGAGTTGTCTGAAAGGATGGTAGCCACACGACGGGAGTGGTGGCTTTTGGTTTGCGAGGCTGAAGCACAAGACATGGGAGCGTCCTCCAGAGTGGAGGTGTTGATGGACGACGACCGGATTGGGAATAGTCGATGACGTCGGGACCAGAACAGCACGTGGAATCGGAATCGCACTAACACCGCAGCAAGTTAGCCTGAGGCAAATATTCACTCCGAACAGAAGTGCAGAAGACATGCAGCTGATAGATCAAAGAGCACTACGGTGGAGGTACCGTGGTGTGTTCGGCCCCAAGGCTGGATTTTCTCCCCAGCGGCACTGCCGTGCGAGTTCCGGACTCCGGCCGGGATGATGCTGGTGGCTGAATTCTTAAATCCTTAGCGCTTCGGGTGCGACTCGTCGCGATCCAGGGCAGCGACAAGCCACAGACCTGGGAACGCTCTCGGTGGAAAAGGCTGTGACTCGCTGGACATGCCTCGGAAGATAGATTTGCGCATGCCAAGCGACTGGATCTCGCTGGGGCAAAATGACCCGCGTGGAGATTGGCGTCTGGGGGACCGACACCAGCGGCATCCAAGAAAGCCCAAGAGGCCAAGCCAAGACGTGCCCAGGTGTATAGCAAGGATAAGCCCGGCTAAGCACTGCACGCCGTAAGGGATCGAGCACTGGGCCTGCCGCGTGTTTCGACTGTAGATCCTCGTGTTTGCTGCACAGTAACTTTGGCCTGGGAAGCCGGGATGGTGGGCTGGTTCAGGTTGCCACTCGAGGGAACCGGTCCATACAGGACCATCGCCTCGCTGGCCATCATGTCGCTCTCGTTTCTTTCTTGTCTTTTTTCTTTTTCTCCCAGGTCTCTCGCATAAGTATCCCCCCCTCCCCTCTGGCTCTTCTTTTCGCCCCCATCGCCAACACTCCCTCCATCTTTCGCCTCGCCTTCCAACTCAACTCGACAGGGAAGGAGATCAACCTCCCCAGACCATCCTCTTTCTGGCTCCATGCCCCCTTTTCCATAATTCCTATCATTTCAGGTCGACTGGACTCTAGGTCTCAGTTCGCTGTTTTTTTTTTATCTATAGACTGTCTGCTACTGTTGCCGTTTGCCAGCACTGCGTTTCGACCGCGTGATAGCTCCAGCTGTACCGTAGCAGCAGCAGCAACAACAACAACACCATCTCCAGCCTAGCCATCGATTCCATCCAAATAAATGCCCGTCCGCTTGGCCCTAGCGACAAATCTCCCACCATTGACCCTGAGCGACCTCCAGCGGCCTGCCATTTGCATGATATAGACTTGCTCTCCAAGTGCGACCACCGCGGCTTCATCAGTAGATACTCGGCATCCGAATCGAATTAATTACCTGTCCATAGCAGCAATTTCCTTCAATACAATATCCTCCACCATGCCTTTCGGAGTCAATCCCTTCTCGAAGCAAGACCACGATTTCCCCGGCGTAATCGTGCCCTTGTCCGATGCCCCCCCGCATTCACATCCGCAAACCAGCCACGATCCGGAGAAAAAAGTAGGCCCTAATGAAAAGACTGATACTGGCAGCCTCGACAGGGCGCCCTCTGCAGAAAATGGCGTGGGCTCCATCCACAGTCACCAACCAAGCCATGATGGGCCTCTCACTCTGGAGATCCTGCGTGCTGAAGTTGAGAACGACGTGGTTGCCTCAGGCCATGACTCCGCATATGATCGTACGTTAGATTTCCTCTTCTATAGGAGAGGCCTCTTTCTGTTTTGCTTTCTGACGAATCCTGTCCCCTTATCACCGAGGTATCGGGTCTAATTTGAATATGTATAGGCAAAGCAAAAGTGATTAATAGGGCCATCCAAGACATTGGAATGGGCCGTTACCAGTGGCAGCTGTTTGCGCTCTGTGGGTTTGGCTGGCTCGCGGACAAGTAAGTTGGCCTGTATTTGAGTGCTATAGTAGGTTCTTTTGCTGACTCGATCACAGTCTCTGGCTCCAGGTATGGCGATAGCATTTTCACTTCCTAGCTTTGCCCATATTTGCGATGTTCGTGCTAATTCCGTAGGGTGTTGCACTCACGTTGCCCCAACTGACGCTGGAATTCGGCGTCGATGAGAACCGTGTTCGTTTTACAACCTGTGCTCTCTTCCTCGGCCTGTGTCTGGGTGCATCATTTTGGGGTATTGCCTCTGATATCATCGGCCGTCGTCCGGCATTCAATTTCACGCTCATGATTACCGGTGCCTTTGGTCTTGCCGCTGGTGGCGGTCCAAACTGGATTGGGTAAGTTTTGATATCTCGAGATCCATACTGGTCCCAGTCAGAGTTAACGGTAACTGCAGTGTCTGTGCGCTATATGCCTGCTTGGGACTTGGAGTCGGAGGCAACTTGCCTGTTGACGGGGCTCTTTTCCTCGAGTTCCTACCATTTGCCTCTGGAAATCTTCTGACCATGCTGAGTGTGTGGTGGCCAGTTGGTAACTTAGTATCTAGTCTTTTGGCCTGGGCTTTCATCCCAAACTTCACCTGTTCCGAAGAAGGACCATGCAGGAAGGAAGATAATATGGGCTGGAGATACCTAGTTATCACACTAGGCGCCATCACCTTTGTTATGTTTCTGTGCCGCTTCTTCCTCTTCCACCTTTATGAGTCGCCCAAGTTCTTGCTTTCCCGCGGACGACAAGACGAGGCCGTTGCAGCAGTACACGGCATCGCATACAAGAACCGCAAGAAGACCTGGCTCACCGTTGGAATCCTGAACGAAATTGGCGGCTACCCAGAACAAGCATCCACGCGCCAGGGCCTCAACAACAAGGAAATCATTGAGAGATACATGTCCAAGTTCTCTTTAGAGCGCATCAGAGGTCTCTTTGTCACCAAGAAACTTGGAATCACCAGTATGTCGCACTTGAACAGCTCCTTTTCTATAGGACCATTCCACTAACCACAATAGCCGTGATCCTCTGGTTTTGCTGGGCCACTATCGGAATGGGCTATCCTCTTTTCAATGCATTCCTTCCCCAATATCTGCAAAGAGCCGGCGGAGGTGAGCCCCAGTCCACATCCATCGTCTACCGCAACTACGCCATTACCTCGATCGTCGGCCTCCCCGGTTCCATCCTCGCGTGCTGGACCGTTGACATCAAGTACATCGGCCGCAAAGGCACAATGAGTACAGCCACCATGATCACTGGCGTCCTGATCTTCTGCTTCACTGCCTCGACAGACCCAGACATCCAACTCCTCTGCTCCTCCCTCGAGAACTTCTTCCAGAATATCATGTACGGCGTTCTATACGCGTACACCCCCGAGGTCTTCCCCGCCCCCAGCCGTGGCACCGGTACTGGAATATCCAGCTGCCTGAACCGGATTGCTGGCCTCTGTGCTCCCCTTGTTGCTATCTACTCTGGGAGCGAGAACCCAGATGCACCCATCTATGCGGCTGGGGGTCTGATGCTCGCTGCATTTGTGGCGATGATCTTCCTCCCGATCGAGACGAGAGGTAAACAAACACTATGAAACCATTTGGCCAAAGTAGACTAGCATTACAGTTTCGTGTTTGGTTGGTGGAGCTGCAGAGTTTTACGTATATTGTTCAAGCGAGCACGCACGGCACGGCCTGTATGAGACGCAGTGTGTCATGCGAGCTTTTTGTTTCGTTTTTCATCCTCCATCTTGATACCATATTTCAAGCTTCGTTCCTTATTATCTTTTCTGCTTTTATTTGCGTCGTGTTTCGTGTCTTTTCCTTTCCTATCAGCCGGCATGAGTTTCGAGTACCTACATACCTATTATCCCCAGAAATTTTGCTTGGATGTACATACATATAATGGACTCCATCAAGATAAGACTTAAAAAAAAAAAGAAACTAAAAATAAAATAAAATTAAAAACCATATCCCACCAAGTACACCATCCTTGTCTTAAAGCCTAGACTTCTGAAAGACTACAAACCTGAAACGTCTATAAATATTAGCGGAACCAATATATTCTAAGTACCCTAATCGTCCAGCCTGTGGACAATATAAGCAACTACGGGGTAGTCTACGTTATGCTCTGCAATATGATTTATTATACTGTATGCTTGGTTTAGATTAAACTGCCCAATACATATTCAGTCCACCACAGAACCCTAAACGTCAGAAGTGACGTTATTACTGACGACACACGCCCCTGGGGGGGGGAGATAAAGTACACATCGGCGAGCTCTACCACCCAGCATCTAGTAGTAATACAGCCTTGGATGGAACGGGCAGTGCCCACTAACCAACCGATCCAGGTAGTTGCCCCGGCCTACAGAAATTTGGAATAGATCATATAGTATGATCAGGAGCCCTGCACCGTAGATAGATAACCCTTGGAAATCCAGGGCCAAACCCAACTGACTGGACGCAAGCAGTGGGACATTGCAGGTGGTTCGGAGGCGAGGGCGATGGGTGTTGGTTGCCACTGCCCAGATGAAATTACGTTACTGTGGAACGGACAGTCCGGGCTTGGTAGGTATGAACTCATGGATGATATAGATGCTGTCGATACTTGATTCCATAGTATTCACAAGGTTAAGGGCGGGGAAATCTTGGTAAACTAGCGGCACTGAATACACGAGTAAGGCAGTGAGTACAAAGTAAAGTACAGAGACAGGGTAGTCTACAGCAGTTAGGTCAATCAGACATCATACATCGTACACGCAGCTCGACGCAGTTCCCTTCCAAAACAAGCGCCAATGGCAACAGGCATGCAGGGCCTAATTAACTAAACAGCGGAGCACCGCCTTGCGGCAGCGGGATCTAATCAATCAATCACTAACTTGGAACTTTGGAGTCGAGTAGCACATAAAATTGAGAATGGAAAGCGGGTGTATCAATAAACTTCAAAGTCTTAATGCAATATAGTCAATCAAGCAGGCGGGAAACCATAAAACGTAGCATAGCAGCAAAAAAACTCCCGGACTAATTGCATATGTCCAACCGCAAGTATTCACATCCCACCAAGTATTGCACTCAGCATCGAAAGGTCAATAATAAAAAAAGTATGCATAACAAACGCTTTGCCGACCCGAAACCCAGTTATGAGACGAGAAAGAACTCCTGAAACAAATGCGGGTTTGCCCCGATCAACAGGGCTCTCCCACGATCAGAGGTAAAAGGTCAAAAGGAGAAACAGACACATGACGTCATCAGATTACCAAGGAGAGATTTGCTCTGGCGGATATCATGAGGTCGTGAACTCCCCCCATGGGGAACGAATGAAAGAAGAGGATGCCTAGACAGCGGGCTGTTCTTGTTGCCTCCTGCCTCGCTTTTCTAGCAACGTTGCATTGTCCAGACTGAGTTCGAATGGTGCCCGAGCGGTACGGACTATATTCTGCTTCGCGGCGGCAGCAACGTTGGCGCTGTGTTGCCCATAGCCCTGCTGCTGACGGGGTTGGTTGGATTGCCGCACCTGGGCGGCATGGCTAGTAGCTCCCAGGTTAGTTTGTCGCATTTTAGCTTCCACTGCAGCAACATCGCCAGCGTGCTTCTGGATTTTCGCCGGAGGATGCCCATCGTCGTTAACGGTTTGATAGGGAATCCCTTCCTCATCATCGTAGTCTTCATTGAGTGGGTTAAGAGCTGATTGGAACGCTGAAGTCGGGTTACTTTGGCGGTATCCACGGCCAGCTTTGCGTCGTTTGCCCTCTTCCTCCTGTCGGTGGACAGCGTAACCGACATCGAAAACTTCTCGCAAGTTGATCGCCCCAGGAGATCTGAAATCCATGGGCCGGTCTGTAGCGGCCAGCTGTGCACTTGCTGGTGGATATGGCGCAAGGTCTGCGGCGACTGCATCTAGTGGTTGGTTGTGGACTTCCCTCAGCGAGGGGGTGGTTAGTGGTGGGGCATCCGCGGCAGCTTGTGTCTCCTCATCGGTCTGTCGAATCCATGGATGGGCCAAAAATTGTTTAATGGAATACCGCTCCTCAGGATCGACTGTTAAGAGATGGGAAATCAGGTCCTTCGCTGACTTCGAGATGTCATCCCACCACGGTGATAGGAAGGTGTACTGTCCTCGGGCAACCTTCTCGGTAAGGACTTGGATGCTCTCATCGTAAAAAGGTGGGAATCCGCAGAGGAGTGTATAGAGAACACATCCTAGCGCCCACATGTCCACACTCTTGGAGTACCTTTCATCCTTGACGATCTCGGGAGCAGTGTAGCCGACAGTCCCACATGGAGTCATCGTTTGGCTGTCCCAGATGACCTTGGAAAGACCAAAATCGGCGATCTTGATTTTGCCAATCCCACCGGCACCCTTGCCGGGAGTAAATTCTCCCTCGTCCACCTTGTCCTCATCACCAGGTTGACGTGGTTTTGGGTGTTTCGAGGGGATGAATTCTGTGGGATAGAAAAGGAGATTCTCGGGTTTGATATCACTAATTTAAGTCAATGTTGGTGTCCTTGAACAATGCGATAGAAAACCAACATACCGATGCACAACACCTGATGTTTCGTGTAGATATTCAATTGCTTTAGCAACTTGCAGAATGACATGGCGACTGAGATCTTCACTGAAGTACGTCAAGCGAACAATCTGATGGAAGAGCTCCCCGCCGGGGCAGAGTTCCAGGACGATATAATAATATTGGCGCGACTCGGAAAATTGAACCAGTTTGACGATGTTCGGGTGATCGATTTGGCGCATAATTTGTACTTCTTTCAAGATGTTGGCTCGCTATACAAGAGGTCAGTAATCATTCCATGTAGTCGCAAAGCATTTTGGCGCGCAAAATTAGAGCAGCGAAAGTTGATGCGACGAGGATCGATGGCTGGGTATTGACCAAGGGATGTTCGCGCACCTCCGCAGCTTTCGGCTTTTTTTTGAAGTCGGGATGTAGGAGGGCGACAGACTAGACAATCAAAGATATTGGCGAAATAGTTCGCGATAAGGGGAGGCCAGGACAACAACCCAGCCGCGATAAACAAGGGAGGATTGAGGCAAGCAAAAAGAACACCAAAAACTCCAAATATGGGCAGGACAATTCACCTACCTGTGTGCTATTCATCTCAAATTTTCGGACCACTTTGATTGCGACTTCGTCATATTCGCCAGTGGTATCCTTGGCGCGGTAAACGTTGCTGAAGGCACCGTCGCCCATTTTCTCCAGCAAAACGTAACGCTCCAACCCCGGATACTTGGGCATCTTGGAGCGACTACTCTTCTCTTCAGCGATGATCTGTTCGATTTCGGCCTCTCGGCCCCTCTTGACGGGCGCTTCAGGAGATGACCGTTGTGAGGCTTGGGGCTGACCACTCCCCATTTTGCTGTCAATTGCGTCTAGATTCCCAGCAGCGGGAGAAAATGAACCCTGGGGTTGACGCTGTTGTTCAGCGTGGATGGCAGAAACGTCGGTGGTAGGTTCCGCGTGGGGGGTGACAAGGCGGGCTTGCTTCCCATGACGTATGAAATTTTTTAGGCTCTGAATGGTGCTCATGGTAGGAGAAGGGAGGGGGAGGGAGTCGCCGGGGAGGGAGGAGAAAGAATGTAAGTTGGGGCGATCAGATCAACAAATGGTATGAGTAGCACGGGGACCGAAGAAAGCGGAAACACGAAAGTGTGAAAGATGCGGATGGGAAAGCGAAAGGGGGGGGGAGGGAAAGCGAGGAGGGAGGGAAGAGAAGGAAACAGGAAGAAGAGGCAAGGCAAATGATATGATGATGAATGATGGCTGAAGCTGGAGTTGGGAGCCGGGGGAGAAGCGAGCAGCGGCAGCAATGACGTGAATGGCTGGTTGCTTTTCCCTTTCTTTGTCACGCCAGGTATTTTTTGCCCTCTCGTCCTTTTTTTGTGCTCTTGAGTTTCTGCAGTGAAGACTTGGGAGTCCTCCAAGCTGATACCCCGCCAAGGCAGCCGAGCAGGATGAGCAAGCAGTGGGAGATTACGGGTGGGCAGAGCAGAGAACCAAGTGTGGACGGGGGGCAGGAAGCGAAGATGAGTGGTCGGGATGGATTCCTTTTTGTTTCAAGCAATCAGAGGCTCAGTAGTGAGGGTAACGAGAAGTCTGGAAAGAATAATGATGTTATGCCAGATCAAGGTGCTGCAGGTGGGGATTCCAGGAGTCAACCAGTCGCACCCAACGGGCCCGACTCTCAAGCGACGGCAATCAGTCGTGAAATGACGGAATTGCGGGCCACGACGTCAGACACAGAGCAGTTAACGGCTCCGGCTATTGTATCATAATCTCCGCATTCCTCCTCTGTTTCTTGTCGGGATCTCGCCAGTCTTGCCCTTGTTCTCCCTTATCAAGAACAATTCTCGATTTTTTTGTCTCAACTGAGATCTGAATCGATGACGTCGGTTGCGATGTCATGCAATGACTCAGCAGGGCGACTTGGTCAACACTCAACACTAGCCTGCCGAATTTTCTGATCCGATGATCAAGCAAGTACGCTAATTCATAGAATCTGCGAGTAAGAGACTGCCGCAGAGAAGCCGGAGGATGGACTCTGTAGACTCCAACGCCCCGTCAAGTGTCAAGATGCGATAGTGGAGTGCACTGTACATTGTAACGCCCCTGCGATGTCTCCACGTGACCTCCACGCCCATCTCCATCTCCATTTCCATTTCCATGCAGCACCATCCGCTCCATGAGGAAACAACCATGTTGCAGCCCGAGGATTAAGCGCGTGGAAAGCTAAGATTGCGTTCCCAAACTCTCGAGTAACTCGGGCGTCCGCCCCATTTAGACTCTAGATTCAGGCACCTTGAGACGGCGCCGCAGTGGTCCCGTGACCTGGCCCTCTCTTCGCCTTTACACTGGTGTAGTGTTACAGACCACGCACTGCAGCGCTGGAGGGTTTCCCAATTTCCATCCCTGCAGCGTCATATTCCTATTTATAACCTCTGAGTAGAGCCAGGGACCATTTTTCTTTTGACTGCAACGTGGAATGAGATTCGCAGTTGCGACTTGTCCTTTTTGCTGTCGCCGACTACTCGTCGGCGTCTTGTCGAACTAACAGGATCGCTTCCTGCAGCCCGCACTTGGCTCCTCTCCGCCATTCAGGATTGCATCTCTCCTCGGACTTTTGAATGACCTGTTCCTTTAAAGGCCGCTCCTCGACCCTGATTCGTTTATTTGCGAGTTGAGAATCGTCTGCTTTGTGAGACGCGCCTGGTGGGCAGCGGCTTCGTCGTTATCCAGTCTGGTCTTCCAGCCTTCCTTGCGTCTCACCCTGGCATCCTCATCATTCCCCTACTCAAGAGGAATTCAGGGTGGATTCCACAAAATATTAAAATACATTCCTTTGCGGCTTCAGTTCAGGTCAAGGTTCAGTCTTGACTGCTCACCCTCTTCCGCTATGCGCCCTCGCCAACTGGCCTTCCCCAACCTCATTTGAAACGGCCCAAGTGTCATGATCCTCACTCCAATTGACGCTCACAGCTATTTCTGACAGCACTGGCCCGGCTGGTGAATTTTTCCCCTTCATCCGCTCACACTCACTCAGTGCGCCATTGAGTTCATCGTCCAAAATGCCCAGCGCCGAAGTCGCTGTGCCCCCCTCCGCCTCGCTACAAGATCCAGATCGGCTCCAGTTCAAGTCTCACAAGTCACTACCTCGTCGGACAAATGCGAGCGCCAATACCAATATCGCTCAAATACCACCTCGAGGTCACGATGGCGACATTTCAGACGGTTTGCCTCTCGCAGCCGCGCCAATTCTTCCCCTGACGCCTCCCGGTATCACCCAGGACGACGCTCCGACCGAGGCAGATACGCAAAAGCAGACTCCGTCTCATTCGGTCGTCACAGTGCTCACGCCGTCCAAGCCTTCGCACCCCCCGACGCCAGAAACAACTCCTCCCCGAGGTATGACTTTGGGTAGACCAGAGTTGGGTCACTTTGGGTATATGTCCTCCTCACCGCGAGCAGAGTCCTTCCGGACAGCCTATGAGATGATCTCCGACACAGAAACAGTAACTCCCCGTCCTTCGCCTCCACAACTTTCGGGATCGGATCTCCAACGAAGCACGAAAAGTACCAAAAGTACCAAAAGAAACCGAGGAAATAGGAGTTCTGGCAGCACTGGTGAAAGAGCAAATGACACGGCTTCCACTGGAAACCAGTCCCCCGGCCCCCGAGGCACTTCGCGCTCAAACGCCCCAAGCGGTACATCTTTACCGGGCGCTGCAAAACAATCTCCGACAAATGTTGCCCGTAGCCAAAAACTTTCACCTCAGCAGACTGCAGAACTTCGCATCAAACCTACACGAGACTCGCCGAAACGGCCTCGTAACTCAGCATCTGCTAAGGTTTCCGATGCGGACACCTCTACACGTGGAAGGAGGAGTTTACGAGACCGCGTAGCTCATGTGCAAAAATCTGATGATAGTCCAGCGATGGATCAGTTCCGTCAAGAAATTGGCTGGCCATCAATGGATGGCGAGCGGGAAGATTCTCAACGTCTTTCAGGCGCATCCACGTCTTCCACGGTTGAGGCAATGATAATTGACACCCCAAAGCCGGCTATACGCGCTTTGCGACACACAGAAAAGAGATTTTCTCTTCGTTCCGCGAGTTCACCTATTACAAGATCCGAGCGTACATCCATTGCTTCCAGCTTAGATTTTCAGCGCCGCTTGAGCCACAAACCTGCCCGGATAACGGAAAATGATCGCAGAAGTATTGTGTCTGAGCTGTCCGTCTCAGGTAGCTCGACTTTAGGTGCCTCTCAGACTCCCATAGACGTGGTGCCAGTGGTTGTGATTCCTCAACGACGCTCGTCTCTCAATTGTCCATCAGGCACAGCCAGCAGGAACCCGTCTGTTTCACGCTCTCGACCGTCTAGTCGTGCACCTACTGTGCCCAAGAGCCGTCCTGGGTCCCTGGATCGCCCGCGTCAGAAAAGACGCACCGCATCTGACTCGCATCCCAGCAATGTCCCCGCCGAACTTCGAGGCAGGGGCTTGAGCCGACCATGCATCCCGCCTCGCAGCTCTTCACTATCCGCGCCCACAAGCCAGAACAATTCTCGTGCAACTTCTCTGACTTCAGAAAGTTTGCGGAGCCTTAACATGGCAGTGGAACAAGTTACAGCAAAATCTCAAACGCCTGAACGACCGAAACCTGGACCTATATCCGTACCTGTTCTAAGTACTTCCAAACCAGATAAGCATGATTCAGCGGATCAGCCCAACACCCAGTCAATTCTTATCGGCGTTGAAGACCTAAATCACTTACGGCCGCCGTCGGTGCCTTTCACGCCCCATTCTATCCCATCCACGTCGCCCGGTCCATTCGAAATTAATGAGGTCAGGAGGGTAGCGATTTTCCCGCACAACAACGAGTCTCTATTGCTTGTCAATCCACACGGACAATCTGGCCTTCGACAACAATTGCCCGAAACCAACCAGCCTCAGACTCCTGATATCACTCAACAACCCACCGTCAATGTAGACTCCCCGCTAAGAAACCCGCGACCGCCGCCACAGCCACCAACTTCTGCTACTGTTGCCAACACTGCTTATCCAGAGCAGCCTTCAGGGGGAGCGAATGGTGAATTTGGGCCTTCCGATGGCACTGACCGTCGCCCAAAGGACAAGAGAAGGGGATGGATGGTCCGACCACGGTCCGAATCGTTCAATTCATTCGTGCGGACTATTTCGCTCAACTCTGCTAAGAACCCTAAAGCCGGCGAAGATATTGACGGGCGACTTCAACCTTTTTGGCGCCCACGCCGATTCTGGGATGACTCCCCCGACTCGTCTCCAGAGGAAATTGGCGGCCAACCCAAAACCGCCAAGCAGTCGGACGAAGTCATCAGCAACTCGCTGGGAATGCCTCAGAAACGGATCGTATTTGATGGCCCCCCTGTTTCTGCTTCCCGGTCAGGGCCAAAACGGCGCGTTGAAGGCTATCACCGTGCCAACAGAGAAGCGCTCATGGGAAGCCGTATTTTCACCTCCGAGGCTTTATACTCTCAGACCTCGCTTCACCCGCGACAGTTCCCGGCACTATCGTGGTTGCGACTGCGAATCCGTTCCGGTGTGGCAAGATCTCTCCGCTGGCGCTTCCGGCGTTCAATGCAACGGCGTGCCGAGGGAAAGCGCGAGATCAGACGCGAGAAACTTAAGCAAAGCATTGGAGAGGCTGTTCTGATGGATTCGAGCACGCAAGTCCGCAAAGCTATACAATGATTATCACGAGACATGACTTATATTTTAGATCGGAACACGACACGATATGATACGCCACCTATAGTATGACTATGATTGATGATTTTTCTGGCTTTTTTTTTTTTTTTTTTTTTTTTTTTTCGCAATTTCGCACTTTCGCTCAGACACATGGGTTTTAACGAATTACGATATTATAGGAATGAGAAGCGCAATATGATGGAATCCGGATGATGACCTTGACGATCAAGATGACTTTGTATCATACTATTCTTCTCAGTTTTATAGCGATTTTGATCTATGCATGCAATCTATTCTGCGCTCTTACGTGATGACTCCTCCGTAGTCCGAAAATATAATCTAACTCGTATATACGCAAATGTTCATAGCAATATCCACTATGCTATCTATCTGTGGTTGACCTCCTGCCCTATAAAATCAACGCCGAAATAACAATATCCATCACAGAAAGAAAAGTACCATTCCAAAACAAACTGATAAATAGTTCGAACCAACAAGACCAACATCTGCATCTCTTTCATCCTAAATAAATCCTCTCCCCAGCGCAACTACCAATCCCTTTCAAAATCAAATCATTCAATCCAATTCATTCCCCACCTGCACTCTTCATCCTCTCCCAAAGCGGCGGGTCGAGAAACGGCTGCGGCGCCGCCGAAAAATCAGCCTCTATCGTTCTGTTCTCCGGTCCCTGGCTCTTCTCCTCTCTATTTTCAGTCTTGGATTGGTCTTGCAGATGGTTTGCTGCTGTTGCTGCTGCTTGTGTCTCCGTCGAAGCCGAGCTGCGGATTACGAGTGTTGGTGGTGGTGATGCGCTGACCCCGAAACTTGATGTGGCCGCTTTGCGTTGTGCGAAGAGAGCGCGTTTGGATGGAATTAGGAGAGAGGGTTTCTTTCTGTGGGATGTGAAGGGCGTTGTCATTTCTCCTCTTTTTTTTTTTGTCTCTCTATGGTAGGTGAGTAGGTTGAGGTTAGGTGAGGTTGGCAAGGGAGGACGGAGCGGAAAGCGAAGCCAAGCACACCTCATGAACAAACAGCACGTCACGTTGCGGACCTGCTTCGATGGCGGGCATTCTTTGCAACATATATTTTATACGTAGAGTATTTCGGTTTGGTTTAGTTTCTTAATGCATTTGGCTTGTTGTTGCTACGACACAGGCCTATTAGCCAAGAAGGCGCCGCAGATAATGTGTCTAAATTAGAGAGCTTCATGCAAAGACCGAGCATAACAATACCAATTCATCAATCATAAAATAAGCTAGCCATTGAATAACCGTAAAAACAGGTTCAAGCGCCGACGCCTCGCGCCTAGTCGACCAATCGTATGGGTATACATCCCTTTGGTATAATAATAGTAGTACAAGCAGAACATCCTCCAGAAAACAAGCGCCAAATGATATAGAAGGTTAATTTGGGGGGCCGAAGAAATTGTGATTATGCGATTCCTTGAGTTTCCAAGCCAGAAACAGAATAAGGATACGGTAGGTCTACGAGACCGTCGAGAAGCCAGTTCAGGGGATCGAAGACCTCGTAGTTTGGTTCCATGAATCCGCTTGGAAGACCGCCTCCGAGTCCGTTCCCGGACTGTACGCCCATATTATTTTGTGCAAGCAGGGGCGGGGCTAGACTAGGGTCGCCAGCACCAATTCCGGGGGACACGCGCTGTGGTGCTACGGAAGACGAAGCCGAGGACTCTGCGTTGGAATCGGGGTTCGTTGGGTTCTTGAGATAAGCTGGCAAACATGTTAATGGCATATCTGATGGTACGAAGCTGGTCAAACTTACCTTCAATGTTGCGGCCCTTGGTTCGTGTGTCCTCACGCCAACGCCAGACAGAGTCAAACAGTAGAGACATACTCATGCGGCATCGTACCTTGAGCATCAGGGAGTCATCCATTTCACTACCGTCGGTAGGCGGCTTTGGAGACGGTGTGGTGCCAAGTTTCCACATCTGAGCTAGCACTTCGGCGAGTCGCTCAGGAAGATCATTTGAGATCACTGATACGCCACGAATAGCCCAAATGGTACGATTAAAGAGGCTCTTAGCATACTCCATATCGATATGGGCTGCGAAGAAACTCTTGCAGAGTTTCAATAGCGTACAACCGCCAGCGACCATCATTTGGTATATGTAATACGGCGTATAGGAGAGAATCGGTCCAATCTGCGTTTGCAGTTTCATCGCAGCTTCAAGAAACGTGGTTGTCGCGAAAAATAGAGAGAGCAGTCGCTCGCGGTAATCCTTGGAAGTAGGATCGTCGAAGAAGGCAGATAGATGAAGGTGGAGATTCGATGCGCGCAAATACAGCTCAGTAATGTCTGCATCGGTTAGCTAGGCGGTTGCTCGGTTGGACTTGGAACCTTACAATCATTGGACGGCTTTAACTGCGTCTCTAGATCATCTAAATCTCTCGAAAGGAGGGATGTCAATGTAGACCGTTCTTGACTGCTGCATAGCCCAACAGGATCTCGACGGTTGGTATAAAGAGCTTTGGTGACTTTGTCGCAGAACTTCTCGATATCGAGTCTATGTCGGATGCTTTCGGGGAGCTTGAAATTCGCATCCATTGACTCTTGCGATGACAGCGTCCAATCATACCACGTACAGGGTGGCTGCCCATATCCTGTTGCAACACTGTGTACATGGATATTAGCCGAAGGATCCCAGAAAAGTAAATCCTAGAGAGAAAGAATACATACCGCTGTGCCACAATGTTGCAGATAGCCCATGTTCTGACCTTGTCTCTGAGTTCTTCCTCGATGAGCTCTACCCTGTACTTGCTGAAGTCCTGCGTATGGGACGGGCGGTGCAGGCCAAGTTGCATGGCGATCTGCATCATCAAGCCACAGAGCATGAAGGTAGGGTCTGTGGAGGTGCTGCTGGTGGGGAACGGCCAACTGCAGAGCACACATAGTGCCTTGACGACGTGATAGCTTTGTGGGACATCGGCCAAGGTGCTCCATACCAACCGCGTCACCGGTCCTGCCAGTGAATTAAGAAGGTTTGTGTCAGGTTGATATCGTCGAGCACCAACGCTGATGATGGTCCAGAATAGTAGGGGCGAAACTGTGTAATAGTCATCGGGAGACTGATCTCGGTCAAGAAATGGAAGGAACGGGTGGTAATATGTAAAGAATCTAGTCATGAGTTAGCGCGCGTTCGAGCAGAGGGACTAATCCCACTAAACTTACAGATCAAACAACTCTGCCACTCTCTCCGGCACCACGGCAACATCTTCAATACGCTTGAAGTGCTGGCTCCCATTCCTCATATAACTCGAGCCGTCGAACCCGGAGCGCAAGTCAAGTAACGAGGCAACGGCTTCATGTGATCCCATGAATTGGTCTGTGGTAGAAAGAGCAGAGGGTGTTTGGTATGCCCTGGCTGGACTGACTTGATTAGAGGAATTTTCCTGTTTTGGCGTCTGCTGTGCTAAAGGAAGTGAATGCTGTTGCGTCACTGGTCCGGGTTGCACACCGGCGATTTGCTTCCTAAGCTCAATTATCTCGCGCTCCATCTCTGCATTACGGCTTCGCTTTCCAACACGCTTAAAATTGGATTCTATTTTGCAATCGAGTTTCAGTCGTCGACAGCGGGAGCAGTCCATCCACGGGTCTTGGATCACATCACACCGCAGCTTCAAAGCAGGAACGGGTTAGCCAACCAGCTCTGTGAGCAGAATGAGAAAAAGAGAGAGAAAAAGCGGCAGTCTCACCTTTTGCTGCCGACATTCGTTACAAGCCCGCTTCACAGGCTGTCTTCTTTTCTCGTCGCGATTTTCGATTTCTTCCACATCTTCCATACTGCCGGGCGAGCTGTCGAGCCCCGCCATGCCCACGTTACGCTTCCTCGCCTGGCCCGCGCCATCAGACGCGACGGCCGGAGAAAGAGACGTATGACCGAGACCTCCCATCACGGGGCTGGTGACAGCAGAAGCATTATTCCGCGGGGTTAGGTTCGGTGTCGTCCCCTGCAGAACCCCGTCTCCAATTCCGCTGGACGGTCCTCCGAACGACGCCAGGCTGGACTAGAAGGCGAAGATATAGCCGAATTATAACAGATTAAACCCGGAGGAGGTGTGGTTATGAAATCCCTTCTGTTTACAAGGGCACGACAAGTGAGGAAACAGGTACGAGTTGCGCAGATGGCAAAAAAAAAAGGCCGGTGAATCGAGTCACGCCGTTTCTCAAGTACCCACGAGTAAACGCCAATCAGCAGCCGAATTGGCAACGTAGGGTGGCTGCAGAATCCGACACCACGGGTCAGCGTTGAAGATTGGCTTTTTGCTCGACCTGTCTCGCTAGTGCGGTATCGGTCTGAGATGTCGGTGGGATGATCCGGATTATTGCGTCTGCGATGGATGAGTAACTGAGGCTCGCCGCTCAGACAGGGCGGGGCCATGAGCCATGGTCACGTGGAGCACGTGACAGAAACATCGCCGCTTTAAGAGCTCTCCGTTTCTCTCTTGATCGCACCACCGGACACAACTTTCTTCTGGCGTCGGTCTCTCATCCTCTCATCCAGGGACGATAGTTCTATAGCCGGACTCACCGATGCCGCCGATCTTCATCTGCAGATCTGATTCTAATTCAGGGCCATTGCATCATTAAGGCTATTTTGGGTCCATTGTTTACCCCACAGAGGCGCTCCAATCCTTCCATGCCTTCGAGAACATCGCCCCTTGGGCCTTAGCCTTCCCTTCCTGGCGAGTTCCGCTGGCGAGAACAAAAATACCAACCCACTGGTGTAGAAATCACGAGCAGCCTGTAAAGGCGCTATCTCGCGCTTGCTGACGTCGTCATTGGGGCAGTGATGGGAGGCCGTGCAGGGTACTTCCGATCGCTCGTAGAAAGTTCGGGGCTGTGTTTTTAGTGCATGTGCCCTGTGCCCAGGTTTCATGATGATCGTGGAAAAGGCTTAGTTTCTTGGCCAAGCAGGTGTCATTCCTGTGGTTTCTCCAACGCTTTGGGTTAAACGAGGTGTACAAACATGTGCGAGTAGCGCCGTGGGGCCCAGGGCGCTGTACGCCTGAATGAAGATCGATTTGCTGGTAGCAACCAGCTATCACTGCCTTGCAAAGTGGATCGCCCGACGGTGGCTTGAGGCTTTTTAGTTTCTACAGAGTGCGAGCCCGTTCCCTTATATCAGCCTGCCGCCGCCTCTAGATTTCTTCCATGATCCATCCATTATTAGCCAAGTTTCTCTGTCTACCATCATGGGCTTGCTAGAGGATTCAACGACCAAGACTGTGCAAAGGCAATCGGGGGACAGTCCCCCAACATACACCCAGACTATAGTCCAGCCTACAGCTCCTCCCTTGAACCTAGCCCAGAATGTTGGACCTGCAAACCATACAACCGTCACCCACTACGAGTGCATCGCGCATCTCAAGTTCCTGGCAGCATTGTCCGATCTACGTGATACGGTCACAAGCAGTCCGAATATCTTCGATATCCCCGATCCGAATCCACGAAAATTCGGAGAGGAAATCAACGAAGCATGGGCGCTGACCAAAGAGAAACGCTGGGCCGTCTATACGTCGAAGGCTGTCGAGCGCTATACAACTTGGTGGAAGGAATGTGTCCCAACGTCACGCTCACGGCCCACCACCGAGCTGATGGCCTCCGAGGAATATGACAAGATTACAGCCTGTGGCAGTTCTTTGTCCTGGACCCGGGATGAGTTGCCTCCGTTAGGTAGGCCTCGCTAATCTTCCTTCCTACCGGATTGGTTACTTACAGTGTTTTAGATGTTTTAATGGTATGGCATGCACATATGCTTAACCCTAGGGCCTTCCTTGAAGACTGCATTCGACAGGGAAAGATGAGCTTTTGGGCTACGGGCTTCCCATGGGAAGCCATCAATGCCTGTATCGATGACCAAGCACTCACGTACGACGCCGGAAAGACTGCGGCGAATGTCTTCGCCTGGAAAACAAACCTCCAATGGAATAGCCTCGAAGACATGCCATACAAGTTGGTAGATTGCCCCAATTGCGGTCATAAAAATCCTGCGCCCTGGACCGATGGAAGATTGACCCTTCCACTCGACCAAGCGTTTGATTACTGGACTGGCTTCGCAGACAAGAATTTCAGGATGTACTGTGCTAAATGCGAGCTCCGAATCACTCACGATAGCCTTCGATTCCAAAAGTTCAAGGTAGATGCCGAAGACCTGCTGTATGAGAATATCCCAATGCCGGGCACGTATCTGAATGTATTGGGTTACCCTGAACACCAGAGCTCAACACGCCGACGCCAGCAACAAGCAACCTTCCCCAATCGACTTGTTCAAGCAGCCAAACGCGATTTGGTCGACTTCTTCAGATCGAGCATGTGGACTTTCCCAAGCATACCGATGTTACGTGACCACTTGGAAGTTTTCCTGCAAGACAGGGATATCATGCGTAAAGCAAACCCTAATAGCATCGGGGTCTCACTCCAGAAGGAGGAAAAAATCGCTGTTCGCCGCATGATGTCTCGATACTGGGACAACAGCTCTCTGTTCGCCCTCGACCTCGTCGGTGCAGTCGTCCGACAGGGCACCTTCGTCCAAAAAATGGACAACATTGACTGGCTACACTCCCCAGCCGTGCTAGAGACAACTCTCCGCCTAGTTCGCAAATACGCAATCTTCTTCAACATCATGTCCTCGAACCCCGGCCGCATGGCCGTCCCAACCCTCGATGTCGATTTGGCCTGGCACACTCATCAACTTACCCCATCCCGTTACTTCGAATACTCAATGTACCGCACCTTGCAAGATGGCCGGTACGCAACATTCATCGACCACGACGACAAGGTCGCTGAAGTCAAACTCTCCGACGGCTTCGAATGGACCTCCAAAATGTACCGCAAGCTCACAGACGGCGGCATCTACTCCGAATGCACCTGCTGGTACTGCGAAGCCACGCGCAGCTCAGACCTGCAACGCCGCAGCACCATCATCTTACCATCCTCCTCCGGCGCAAGGGCCCGATCCGCTGCAGCCAACCTGCACAATAACCCCGATATCTCTTCAGACCCGGAAAAGAACCCACACATCTCTGCGCACAGCGCCGTTAAAACGAAATCCGACACCCCGGCCGCAAAGCTCGCAGGTGTCGACGCCAACGAGGTGAAATTCCTCAAGCTCCGCTCCGACTATGAACGGACTCGCCGGCGTGCTGACAAGCGGAGCTCGCGAGATGGGAAACGCCGCTCCGACGATGGTTCTGATGCCAATGCTTACGCTGCTTATCCGCTTGTCTGGGGGGTTCCGGTATATGTACCCTTTTATGCACCGTATTCTGGTGACCCCGGGGTCCATTCTGATGCTTATGCTGCGGATCCGAGCTGCATGAACCTTCACCATGGACATTCGGGCAATTGTGCTTCTGGGACTTGTGGGGGTGCGGTTGCGGCTGGGTCGTGTGGTGGGATGAGAGGGGGTTGCACTGGTGGTTGTGCAGGTGGTTGTGGTGGCTCGGGCGGGAGTAGTGGAGGAGGGGGAGGTTGTGGTGGTGGAGGAGGAGGAGGGGGTTGCGGTGGAGGTGGAGGTGGAGGTGGTTGTTGAACAGATAAACCTGCATATACCAGTTTATTTCTTTCTTGTTTTAGATAGAATATGATTCCCAACCAATTCTCGCGAGAATGGAATAGTTAGTTGTTTTGAAATACCGGAATATATAAGATATAATTATGTTCATTTGTGAGTGCATTGACATTACACTAAGCCCAACCTCAAAAAGCTATAAAAAGACCACAAGCGAATGGCCAATGGGTATATGCAAAAAAAGGATAAGCCCATATAAATGATCAACATCTGGTATCATTGCTTTCCAACGGGTGTATATCGCTAGGATATATGCAAGAAAATATGGCAAAAATTGGGATATATAGATAGACAATGTACAGGGAAAAAAAAAGAAGAGAGGTAAGGTAAGGTATGACACGGCATCTCAGGCATTTTCTCACATCACACTGCACTTGCTTCGATGTTTCTTGCTTCTTTCATATATCGTCCGCTCATTCCACTCTTCAATGCGTCTTCGCCATTGCTGTTCCGGTGCAACAGACTGCGCGCTTGAGTGGGTGGGGTCAGTGGACGCCCTACGATTGCGAAGGGCTATTGCTGAAAAAGACGGTCTATAGTCGTATGACTGAGTGCGGTCGTGGCGCGCGTTAGAATGCTGGACCGGGGTTTCTGGGGTGTTTGGCATGAATTCAGGCGGAATAAGATTCGGTGAGGATAGAGAGTAGAGATAGTTATTCATGGCCGGGGGGGTCGGAGGAACGGCCGGCATAGCGTGTGCTCCGTTAGTGAATTGACCACTGTTTGGAAGTTGGATAGTCATGGGTTGTAGTTGAGCTGGAAGGGTCGGATTCTGAGATGGGTTTAATATTGTCGGACCAGTAGGAGACACCGGTACCGTTGGGATGGGATTTGCCACAGTTGACTCATTCACGCTGCTGAGCTGTCCAGTTTGGGAGTTTCCTCTTCTTCGAATAGTGCTGGTGCGCCTTCGCGGGGGACTATCCGATGGTGGGGGATCCCCTATATTTCGTCTGATCCGGGATGACAAACTTGGTCCAGTTACGGTGTTGAGTCTGGAAAGAGAGGGCCGAGATGAAGTGTCCGACGAGAAACGAGTGGATAAAGATCTTCGAATGGAGTCTGCTGTATTTTGACCAGGTCGACGTGCTGGAGGAAGTAAAGTCTGTCTAAGGTAATCGGGGAGGGGCGCATCTGCCTCTCGTGAATACGGGGGCGGCGGAGGAACCCAGTTATCTGCATCACTCTCGTGGGGTACCTGGAAAATCGGCGGGACAGGCGTGTCTGGGAACACGCGGCGTGGTTCCCGAGCCACACGCCTGCGATTAACTGCAGCAGCGGTGGCGGCGCGCCGTAATGTGTCTTGTGATCGTGGCTGTGTGTTATCATAAGGGCTATCCGGGATCACAGGGATCTCACCATCTCCAACTTCACCTGATGAGGCGGAGAGATAAGAGCTGTTCCTGCGAGGGCGCCCACGGGTACTCGAGCTGGCCGCTGGATACGACTCGCGAGCTCCCCTGCCTGGTGTACCGGTAGGGTTCCCACGGCGTAAACGAGTCCTCGTCCTCTCCAGTTCGACCTCGGTGTCTAAACTGGAATTCGGTTCGCGAAGTAGTACAGCCTCTGCCTCTCCGATCTCGATAGTGAGTTCCTTCACACCTCCATTCATCGCTGAGCGCGCAAAATCCAAGAGTAAGATTCGTCCACCATCAAGAGGTACATCCTCTTCACCAAAACTCGCATGGTCAACTCCACCGGGGGCCACGGCAGCCAATCTTCGGGATTCACCTATGATATGATTACGTCGTACCCAGCGGGCAGAAGTTATACCTGGAATGTCTGTTACCCTGTGGCCTTTGATGAGTACCTTTGATCGGGTTATGGTTTGCTGTAGCCGATTGATGTTGGTTCCGGGATCTGTAATCTCGGTTGACCGACTTTGAGTAGTGAGGGGCCGATTTTGTGATTCACCAGCATTTTGCGACACGGGGGCAATGTCAAGACGATCAGGCAGACCATACACCCAAACACCGGAGTCCTGAAAACCTAGGGCGACGAGTTCACCCTCGCAATCTGCGGAAGCGAGCATCATCGGGGGCCGTTCTTCAAGCGTATACTCGGCCACCGGGCTCGCAAAGTATGCTGTACCTGAACTAGTATTGTTCGTCCCAGTAGCTCTAAAGGCTCCAAGTCGATTGTCAAAGCCTAGAATCCAACTCCCTTCACCCTCCGTGTGTAATGGTAGGAGGCAGGCGTAACTGTAGTTGTGGACAATGTCTGGGAAGAGTATTTGAGTCGTCCACATCTGAATCTGAACATCTTTGATAGAAAAGTCGGCTTCTTGTTCGCCATAGAGAGGCACCGTTATAGTAACTAGACTGCCCGTCTCAGGATTGTCCGATGAGCCCAAAAGGATGACGCCATCCGAGGAAAACGAGAGCGAGTCGACTCCTGCACAGCGAACAGCCCTTCGTGCAGTTGGCAAAACCCCCTCGCCGACTGCATACACCTCAATCATATCGTTATATGCTATGGCGAGAACGGCACCAGTTGGGGATAGAGCCAGAGTACGCGGGACATCATTTAGTTTCAGGTCCTGGATAAGCTTGGCCTCCGCACTAGACAGGCTGTAGATATTGACTTGGTGGCTCGAAGACACAACAGCAAGAAGCGATCCATCGTCCAAAATGGTGGCGTGCAGCGGACGCCGCAGAGTTTTGAGCTCATGCTTCACCACGGGAGGCTCTGAAGACACATTCAGAACAACAATTCGAGAAGAACTGATGCAGAGAATGAGCTGGGCATTCTGCGAGAAAACAAAACGGAAGGCTTCACCGTGTGGAAACGCTGTCGAGGAGCTCATAGACGATGAAATAAGTTTTACCATGGTCTGTTGGGGGCGAAAGAACACATCGAACCCATTGCGTCTAATCTCAGAGAAAAATTGCAGCTTGAGAGGCGCGAGACTGCTAGTTTGCAGCGGGCCTTCCTCTGTTGCTTTTTGTGCCAATTCAAAAGAAGGACACCGAGACAAGTGATAGGCATACAAGACAGGCGAGTCAGATATCCTCCGCCATTTTCGGTTCAGCAGAGTCAACGACGCGAATGTACCCGCATCAGCTACACGCAGGATTCTATATGTCGAGTTAAAAACAAAAACAAAAACCAAGTTCCGCTTTACGGATATAGATGACGACAGCAAAAGCCCTCGTCACCGCCGCAGCTGCAGGTAGCCCAAGGAAGGTCAAAACAGTACTTACTGCTCAATCACAGTCCTTGGTAAACGACTGAAGGGAGATTTCGGCGCATCCCGACTGTCTGGAGTCGCTGCAGCCTTCGTTCGTGATCCTTGTCGCTCTGGGGGTTGGTTTTGGGGCAGTTGAGCGACATCGGGCTCAACAAGCGACTCGCCGTCGACATCACGCCGCTCATGTGGAGGGGGCCGAACATCCTCCTCCATATTCAATCAAGGCACATGGCATAGAACGGGGGGCATATCCGAGATCAATTGTGCGGGTGCATGGTCTTCCCTATCAACTCAAGAAAGAAAATCAGGGGGGGGAAGAGAACTGGTCTTTGTAAAAACCAGAGATATTCGCTAGTGACTTGGGCTGGTGGCTGTGTCGCTGCAACGGAGATCTCGCCCGATCACTCAAAGTACGCTTTATTGGCCCTCAGCAATAAGCCTAGTTTTCTCGAAACAGCATCCCCGCAGAGATTTCAAACGCGCTAGCACTGTCTGATGCACACTGAACGCGCGCGTTGGGGGCTGCAGTCGATGGGCAGTGTGGTGACAAGGCAGAACCGATCGCTTGGTGTAGACCGACTGCAACCTCTCGGCCACTCACAAGCGATATAAATAGAAGGCACGTGATTGGCTGCGGTGTTGAGTCAGCACTCCCCCACACGAGGGCGTTCTGTTCCGACGATAAGTGAGGAGGCCAAGAAAAAGAAAAGAACTCTGCTGTTGCTGCTGGCTGGTGATAGGAGACGCTCGCGAAGTGGAAAGCCATTGGTCGCCAGTTGCTGACCTGTCAATTGATCAACTACCTCGGTCCTGTTGGCTCATTACTGTGGAAAGGCGAGCAATGTCGCATGCTGAGTGACTCCGCAATTGGATGCCACTTGCGCTCGATCGAACTGAGCTGTCTCGGATTGAAAGAGCCTGGTTGAGTGTTCTAGCCCAGTAAGAGGGCTCCGCGACGACAGCTTTCTCTCATTCGGCTGCAGATCACCGCAAACCCTGCCGTCCACCACATATCTCACCTTCCACCCCGCGCCTCATTTTGTGACTCGGGAATAGCCTCGGGTTCCCGCATCGCGAACAGTCGGGTAGGTCACGTGCATCCTCATCATTCGGAAGCGCTTCAGGCCCATGCGGACAGTGTTAGACGAGTTATTTGGCGTCGTCGGGGTGCAACATGCCTCCCTCAACTGTCAATCCTAGTTCAAACCCCAAGACCCCCTCCCCAGCATTGAATGCGGGAGCGAGACCCTACCGGTCACACAAGGTCAGAGCCTGTGATCTGTGTCGCAAACGCAAATCAAGATGTACAGTCGATATCCCGGGTCAATCGTGCCTTTTATGTCGAGTTCAAGGAGCGGATTGCCACTATCAAGAGGAAGCCGGCGCTGAGCTACCAACCCCTCGTGGCCAGGAGCCTGCGGCATGGCATTCAGATTCCGTTGGAGAGAGTTTCCATGCAGGCCAGAAGCGCAAGCGCACTCCGGACCTGACTTCTCCCTCACAGCCAACCCGTCGCCGTGATGGTTTGTCTGAAATTCGGCGATCCGACTCATCGGTGCCCAGCCGGGGAAGTGAGCCCAGGCGACAAGGACTCGAGGACCCCCATAACGAATCGGTCTTCATAGTTGGTCCCGTTGTAGCGGACGATGCAAATGTGATCGAGAAACACATGCCTCCGCAAAGGTCTAACAAGTCTGTGGAACCGAAAAATCACCCCTACAATGTCTACTCAAACGACCCGAGAAAACCCATTCTCTATCAGACCGTGTCCAGACGGAGACAGGGGATGCGCGTCGGAATTCCACCCGGAGAGAACCAAAAGGAGATATTGGAGCAAATTCTCGGACCCTTCAAGGACGAGCTAGTCAGATTGTACGCTTTCCAGGATGTTTACCGCATGCCGTAGGTCTTGCTAACCCCGAACTCTCAGATTCCTAGATCGATTTAACGCAGCATTCCCCATATTTGATGGTGAGGCTTTTTGGGAGGCCTATATTTCAGACTCACCCAGCGAACCGCCAGCATCGCTTCTGTGCCAGGTTTATTCCATGTCATTAGTCCACTGGAAGCATACGCCCGCGCTTGCCTGCCATCCGAAACCAGATGTTCGGTATGCCGTAAATCTAACTGTTGCCGCCCTTCACGAGGAATTCTCTGCCCCGGGTTTGTCGACTGTCAGTGCAGCCCTCATCGACTTAACTGGACGACCTATCTTTTCCATGACGGGCAATGCCATCAGCTGTGGGCGAATGGTCTCTCTTGCTCATTGTCTTGGACTGAACCGAGACCCTAGCAACTGGAGATTGTCTCAACAGGAACAAAACCAGCGTGTCCGCTTATGGTGGGCTGTCGTTATTCATGATCGCTGGTAAGTCTAAAGGTCATACATACTCTCTGGTTTATAATACCTACTAACATTTCTGTGTCAAGGGGGAGCTTCGGACACGGTGTACCCTCCCAAATCGCCCGAAATCAGTATGATGTGCCCCTTCCCACTGTGGAAGTTCTAATACCGCCAGCGTCACGTTCTCCTGAGCGAGTAAGGGCAGCGCATTGTCATATCGCGCTATGCCGTTTGACCGAGATCCTGGGCGAGTTGCTTCCTCTTGTCTATGGTCTCCAGCACCGGTCACCTCGTGAAACAACCAAGGAAATTCGTCGAATTCGCACGGACCTAGATGTCTGGGAAGACTCAATGCCAGAATGGCTAAGGTCACCCTTGGACCAATCACAAGACCGGATAGCTGGCCTGTGCAGTTTACAGCTTGCTTTCTTGGCCGTGAAGCTGCTCGTTGGAAGGGTAGAGCTGAATGTAAGATTTTACACTTTGATATGATAGTCAATGTATTGGCCTAACCAAGATATCCTCCAGGAGGCCAACAATTCAGAATCAGAACTCCCCGAAGCCCGCCGATACTTCCATACCGAATGTCGAAAGGGGGCCGAAGAAATAGTGCGATTCATTTCATCCCTACGAGAACACAATTTCAAGGAATTTTGGTTACCTTGTACGCAACCGCTTCCCCCTCCATTCTACACTCCATTCGAACAGATAACTAACCCACCACCAGACAGCGCCTTCCACCTGACCTCAACCGCCACCCTCCTTGTGCGCTGTGCCTTCGAAACTTCGGACCCCGAAGTTGCCCGCGCATGTCTCGCAAACGTCGAGTCATTCCGCGCTGTCCTTCGCCGCTTCCGCGAAGAATATGACTGGGATGTTGCCGACATGTGTCTCGACCACTGCGAACGAATTCTCAGCCGACTCCCCGCCGGGAGTGGCACCAACGGCACCTCTTCCACTGACCCTGCGAACCTTGGCAGCGGACTCATGGGACCGCCTGATCAAGCGAACGGACTTGTTAACCCGGCTGCAATATCGATTTCGTTACCGGAGACGCAGACGAACAATGATATAGTTGACGATATGATGTCGATTTCGAATACCTTTGGGACCATGGATGGGTTTCCCTTCGATATGACGGGAATTTGGGATGTCTCTGTTTTTCAAGACGTGAATCTTACCTGATCTTTAACATATTGGAATGAGTAGGCTTTGGAATTGGAGGGTGGCAGAAAAGCCCTTTTAATGGGTGCTTCAGTGTATCCTTTACTTGTACATTTATACCCCGCTGTGATTATTTACGAAGTGTACGTTGAATACGAGTGGAGACTCATGCAATAAATATATAACCAGTAATGATATCATCAAGTAGTAAGGAGGAAAATGCAGAGAGAAGGAAGCTCTATTAAAAGTAATATTCAATTTATACAACATTAATCAACATTAACATGCTATTTTACAGTCACCCTTGATGCTCAAGTAGTTGGTAGCCAAGAAGAAAAACCCTCTATTTAATACACCCCACCCGAGAACGAAAACCGCAAAAGCATCTTAGGAACGCATTAGAAAGAATCGGAGGGGAGAGAAAAAAGAGACGCATGACAACGGGCACTTTTCCCTGTCCTCTATATAGCAAGTACTATATACTTCCCTCAAGAGGTGGAATTTACTCCTTCTTGGGGCCACCGAGGAAACCGGTCAAAGAGCCCTTCATGCTGTCCATCTGTTCCTGACGGAGCTTCTCCTCCTCGGCAGCCATCTCGGCCAGCCACTTCTCTCCGTTTTCTCGGATCTCCCTCTCGATCATCTCGTAGTTCTTCTGGCCACGCTCGCGGATCTGGTCCCAGAGCATCTTGCCTTCCTGCAGGCCCTGAGATGGTGACTGTTCACCGTCCATAGTGCGTGTGGATGACTTCAAACCAAGAGCTGAAGCTAAGCTGCCAACGCCGCTTCTGGGACGCTTCTTCTGCTCCTCTGCAAGCTCCTTCTCGAATCGCTCGCGCATGGCCTTCTCACGCTTTGCGAACTCAACAGGGATCGGTTGGCCTTCGAAAGACTTGAGAATAGGGCGCACATCTTCCACACCCATACCCGCGAGGTATTCAAGGAAGGGGATTAGTGCCACGAGAGTCTTGTCCTTGGGGTTTCCATTCCATTTGTCGAGAATAACGGCGTTCTCTGGCTGCAAACGGGCATGTTCATCCTTGGTATCAATCAAGATAACCTTGGAGAGATCACGGTTAAGGTACGAAAGATCCTAGTAAGCCATGTTAGTTACGAACTACCTACTTCAATTATTTAACTGGCGACATACCTTGATGTATTCTCCGTCCTTATATCTGGTGGCTTCCCTGAACAATGGCCAACGGATGATGCGGTAGGGGTCGAGCTTGCGGAGCACCTGATCTGCCATCATGCTAGGCACACTGGTGAAGAGGACGAGTTCGTAGTACTGGTTGAGATAGCGAAGGAAGTAGTCGACTCCAGGTCGCTTGGCAACACGCCATCCGTGCTCACGGCTCCATTCGCTGTGTACAAGCAAGTCCTCCATACTCAGGACGAGCGTATACGGTTGGCGAAGGTTGGGATCTTCATCAGGGAGCAATTTCGGGAAAGCGGGATCCTTGTAATAGCTCGTGAAGTCACCCATTCGAGCCTTGATACGGTTGTACCAGAGTCCGAAGCCCCAGCCGGACGGAGTATCGGGGTGAGCATTCTCCTCCTCGACCGTATCCCAGTTTCGTCCGAAATAAGCCACGCCACCAACACTTCCCAGTAAGAAAAGAGCGTACATCAAGTTGGCCATGCGGGCGCGCTTGCGGTCAAGGGACGATTCATAGCCGCTCTTGGGGATGTCCCCACGACCGCCATCGTCGGTGTATTCTTCTTCGAATCGGGAGGGATCTTCGGTGAGGTTCAATGATCCTCCGCTGCGACCCTTGGTGCGATTCTCCAATTCTGCAGCAAGAGTGGACGGAATACCTTGCGTGAGATCGGGGAGCGGTTTCTGGTGTGCATTTTGTTCAGGTTGTGTCGGGGAGGGTTCAGACTGAAGTATTGCAGTTAGATCAAGGATACGCGCCAGCTCTCCAGAAATCTCAACCTACCGAATCAGAAGCTTGTGATGTAGTGTTCGCGGTGTTGGCTTGAGGGTCTGCTTCCGTCTGGAATTCCGCCTGCTCCGCGGCATATTGTTCTTGCTGCTCAGCCTTGGCAGGTTGTTCAGCCTTCGATGACTTGACAGAATTGGGCAGCTTGTAAGGAGTCTTCGGCTTAGTATTCTTCGCGTACCATCGCGAATGTGTGACAGGGAGTGCGGATAGGCGAGGAGCGGAGACGAGAGCGCTCGGTCTCGTCAAAGGCAAGACAGCGCGGCGAAGCATGCTGTGTCGGATGGATGGGCAGAAACTAATGGAATAATGCAATCATGCCCTGCAGAAACAACAGGTGAGAGCGGTGGCTCTAGGCCGAGATACAACGCCGCTGGAGATACAAGGACTTAACCTGAGCGGCGAAAGACGTAACGATGCAGGAGACGCGGGTTGAAGCAGAAAACCGGAGGCGGTGTTAGAGCTCGAAGTTGGACTGAGCCAGGAAAAGTTGAAGTTCCATCACCGGCTCCGGTACGGCGAGTGGCGACAGACCACTTGCGCAGTCTCCGGCCGTTTAAATGGACCCGCTCTCGCCGGTTGCTGAATCTTTTCTTCTTTTTTCTCCAGTTTTGAAAGTTGAACACCCAGTCCACAAATTTGACCCTTCAAGCCATTCTTATGATGCATGCGGGGTTGTATTAGCTGGGGAGACCGATGAAGCCTGTCTTCTATCCCACATCCAAGAGCCGCGGCGAAGATATTTTGTGCAGCTGCAGCTCCGTTAGTGGGATACAAACCTCATTTTTCCTTTCTTGATGACAAGGGGAGGACGATGCTTGCTATCCCGTGAGAGCATACCGTTTTGTCCATCTTCAGCATCAATTTTAATCAAATAATGGCATGATATAGACCATCAGAATCGCCAAGTGACGGCTTTTTTTAACACACCTGTATCGTTATACGTAAGATCGCATGATGGCCGACGTTCTCATAGAACCATTGTCGAGAGTACGCTTCGCGGATCCAGCGCCGGACGCTGATCTGAGCCTTCGTTACCTTCGAAACATAAAAGGCACAGCGTACGATTCCGACGAGGGAGATGATGATGCAGAGTACCCGCTTCCGCAAGAGCCGTTTCGTTTCTTTGATCTACCTGCCGAGATCCGTCTTCGTATCTATGACTTTGCTCTGTTTACGCCTCCACGCCGGAACAGAAAATCGAACGGCAGTGTTGGGGCGTCGTCGAAGAATCCAATGCGGTCCCCTCTGTCGCACCGTATCGCCCTCTTCCTTACCTCGAGGCAAATGCACGATGAAGCAACTGATTTCTTTTACTCGACGCAAGCATTTCGCGTCTTCCATATCCAAGATTACGCTCGGATGCCTACTATCAGGGGTATCCCAAGCAAATATCGTGCCTCTATCGGCACCATCGAGTTGATCCTCGGCTCCAGCTGGACGGCACCCCCTCGCTCGTGGAAGGTCACACGCCACTTGGGGTTGGAGGAAATGGCCCGCCTCCGACTGCTAAAAGTGTTCATTGAGTGTGACCCATCTCATCCAGTATTCCACGGCTTTCGCATTTCGAATAACTTCTATTCGGATTTTGCAGGCGGCTTGTTGCAGGAGATCCTTGAAAGGCTGCCGAATCTAGAATTTGTTGAATTCGATGGAAACCCATCTGTCATAAAGACAGGGTCGTTGATGCAGCGACTGCTACATGAGACAAGAGAAGCGGGTAAAAAGGTCGTATGGGGCCCTCAACGAGGATGGACTGATTATGATAAGGAAGATATGGTTGCTGATAGGACTTTCTACCAACTGAAAAGCATCAAACCTCGGGTGAACGGTGCCATGGAGGGCTCTTCCTTGGTCGAGGAGGTCATGTAAACTTCACTCGGCCAACCTCGATATGATTTATATAGAATTTGGCGTTCTGCAGATAGACAACCCTATATGAGCTTTGCCACTTGAGACTACTTCTAGAGAAGGAGCATGTTGTTGACGAAAAAATATCGTCAGAATTTCATTTTACGTCACGTTTATTTGTAGCTATCTTCCGGCGACATAAAGTATATAACCACTATAGCTCTTCATCGACATCCATGCCGGTGCCATTCTGAGGGCCCTTGCCGTTCGATTGCCGTGCCACCGACGCTTCCTTATCAATCATCTGTCGTGAAACCGCAACGATGTTGTCCTCGATCAATTGTTGGCTCACGTCTTCGATGTCTAGAAAGAAACGTTTGTTAGCAAACAGACAGATTCAAGCGTAGCAAAAGCGAGACTTACGCTTCTTGGGATCCACCTTTCCAACATATCGTGTCTTTAGCTGGTCCTTGGAGAGCTCCGTTTCCTCCTTCACTCGCTTTTCATAGCCTTCGGCCAGGTTAACGAGCTGCTTCATGCGGTCAACATTGTGCTGACATTCGTCGTGGAAGTCATTCATCTGCAACGCCTCGGTCCAGACGTGCTTGTGCAGGTTCATCAGCATGTTCTCCTCCAGTCCTGTCTTGCGGTAGTTGATGCCGATGCTGTAGTAATGTCTGTTCAGGCCATGGATCAAAGCCTGAATTGACGGTTTGTTCAGGTGACCAAGGTTGGATGTGGTTTGTCGGGGTTCTTGACCCATAACGACGGTTTGTGGCTGGATGAGTCGGAAGGCATCGATGACAACCTTGCCTTTCACGGACTGGATTGGATCGACGACCACGGCGACAGCGCGGGGCGTAAGCTGCTCAAACGACTGTTGGGTGTTGATATCGACGGAAGAAAGCCAGCATCCGAATCCCGGGTGCGAGTGATACCAACCAACAACAGGTTCCGGTCTATATAAATAAACGGTCTCAGCACACTCCAATTGAATCGAACCGATAAAAGCTTACCGTCCAGTCTGCCGCAGCATGTCCATCATCTTAGTTTGGAAAACGGGGTCCACAGCCTCGACACTGACACCTGTACCGCTCTGAGGCATCGCAAACACGTCGGTTACCCGTACCGTATATTCATCCACGAATTCACCCAACATCAGACCCATAACTTCCATAGGCACACCAGCCCGTCCGTGTCTTAACATCTTCAGCAGCGCGAGTGATGAGATGTGTACAGTTTCGCAGTTATCAAGGAGATTTGGGGTGTCCTAAATAAATTTAAAAGTCAGTAAATGTCATCCCCGTAGCCGTGCGCTCGAAGTATTTTGAAATCAAGAGGGCGAGCTCAGAATATCTGACAACTCTGGAATAAGCTAGACAGGAGGGCCGGGGGAGCCAAAACTCACAGCACCGGGGGGCGAACCAGCCATCCCCATGCCTTGGGCGGCCTGGATCATCCGAGTGAGTCTATCCATGACTGCTGATGGTATTTAGAGGAAGGAGATGTAGAAAGCACGAAACGGCCACTTCCTCAACGGAAGCTCCAGGGTCTGCGGGCTAGTGTGGCACAACTGTGGAAACAGTATGATGACAGCAGAGATAGCACACTGGTCAAGATGATAAATTGAAAAGATGGGAGGTCACAGTGAGATGGGAGGGTGGAAATGACGGAGAAGATGGGGGAAAGGTATCGACTTGGGCGTTAGTTGTGCCGTGATGATCCAGGCTTGAGCTCTTCCAGGCTGAGAGGCTGACGAAGGCGGTGAGTGAAGCTCCGTTGTGGCACAGTGCCGCCTTTTGCTCGGCCTCCCCTTCGTTTCCTCCCAGCCGGAGTAGATTCTCATCCACCCCGACCTCTCTCAACAGCCCAATTTCTCTGATGCATAGTCATTAGTTGCATGATCTGACGGACAGTTCTGTCTGTTTTAATTCGACGATATCTGGAGTCAAATTATTCACGATTCTTTTCCCTTTCCCACGACCTACGCTCACACCTTGTCCTCCGAGCAAAGACCGCGCTCTGGAGACATCACCACCCGCCGTTTTGACTGAGAATTGACTAGCACTTTCCCGCGAACCAAGTTAAAAATGGCTTCGGGGACTTCAGGACCAGCAGGGCCTCCTCTGGATCCCATCAATCTGAATGGCGCCAACGATCGTGGCAAGAGAGTCGCCTATTTCTACGACTCCGATGTGGGAAACTATGCATATGTGTCGGGGCATCCGATGAAGCCTCATCGCATCCGGATGACACATAGTTTAGTGATGAATTACAGTCTCTATAAGAAGATGGAAATATATGTGAGTTATTATCGCTCGATTGCCGTGGGTAGGCGGTTTGCTAATTGTCAATCTTGTAGCGTGCGAAACCGGCCTCGAAATTCGAAATGACCCAATTCCACACCGATGAGTATATCGATTTCCTTTCCAAAGTGACCCCCGACAACATGGAGACGTATGCGAAAGAGCAGAGCAAGTACAATGTCGGTGATGATTGCCCTGTATTCGATGGTCTTTTCGAGTTCTGCGGCATCAGTGCTGGCGGTAGTATGGAGGGCGCTGCCCGGCTCAACCGCAACAAATGCGATATTGCTGTGAACTGGGCGGGCGGTCTCCACCACGCGAAGAAAAGTGAAGCTAGTGGATTCTGCTATGTGAATGGTAAGTTAGGCGCCGATTTTATTTTGTCACCATACTAATATTTGCTTTTAAGACATTGTTCTCGGTATTCTTGAGTTGCTTCGTTTTAAGCAACGAGTCCTATATATTGATATAGATGTTCATCACGGTGATGGTGTTGAAGAAGCGTTCTATACCACAGACCGTGTGATGACAGTCTCGTTCCACAAGTATGGAGAGTACTTCCCCGGTACAGGTGAACTGCGAGATATTGGTGTCGGACAGGGTAAATACTATGCTGTCAACTTCCCCCTCCGTGACGGTATTGATGATGTCTCGTACAAGAGCATCTTTGAACCCGTTATTAAGAGCGTGATGGAGTGGTACCGTCCAGAGGCCGTTGTTCTTCAATGTGGTGGCGACAGTCTTTCGGGTGATCGCCTTGGGTGCTTCAATCTCAGCATGCGTGGCCACGCCAACTGCGTCAACTATGTAAAGAGTTTCAATCTACCGACCTTGATCCTCGGAGGTGGTGGATACACTATGCGCAACGTTGCACGAACCTGGGCTTTTGAGACCGGTATACTTGTTGGGGACCCTCTGGGATCCGATCTTCCTTACAACGACTATTATGAGGTAAGTCTCCTGCGTAATGTGTCATTAGATGTTATACTTATTCGAGACAGTATTTTGCGCCTGATTATGAGTTGGACGTTCGCCCATCAAATATGGACAACGCCAACACAAGGGAATACCTAGATAAAATTCGCACACAAGTTGTCGAGAATCTCAAACGAACAGCATTTGCACCCTCGGTACAAATGACGGATGTTCCCCGTGAGTCGCTGGTAGATGGCATGGATGATGAAGCCGAGGCAATCCTTGACGACTTGGACGAAGATGAGAATAAAGACAAGCGATTCACAAAGCGGCGATTTGATCAATACATTGAAAAGCCTGGCGAGCTCAGTGATAGCGAAGATGAGGACGAAAATGCTGCCAACGGAGTCAGCCGTAAACCAGACCACCTGAAACGACGAAACCAAGTCAACTATCGACTCGACCTTGCGGATTCTGGGGTTGAAAGTGGAATGGCAACCCCGCAGGATGCTTCCTCCGTCCCTGATGACGAAATGGACACTGGTGTCGATGAGAAAATGACAGAAGCGCCTGAACCCGTGGCTGAGTCTGAAGCACAAGGGACATCTTCCGCTGCCGAACCGCCATCCAGGGCGGACAATGGGTCTATTGAAGAGCCTAGTGAAATGGCAATCGATACAAAAGAACCAGCCCCCACTTCTGTCCCTATTTCTCGCCCGGACTCTCCCAAACCAGACGAAGATACGGCCATGGAAGATGCAGAAGCCACCGCACCCGAGACAGAGCAAAAGGATGCGCCAGCCCCGAGCGAGACTAAAGACGACAATCCCGCAGATGAAATCACGGCGGCAAATAATGCGGCGACTGAGTCCACCCCGCAAACGAATGCCCCCTCTGAGGGCAACGAGGGCGAAGCGCAGAAGGAACCAGAGGCCACAAAGGAAGCAGAGCGTACAGAATCAGGGACGACTAAGACCAAGGACAAGTCTCCCGAAGCACCTCAGACAGAAGAATCTACTGCTGTGAAACCAGAACAAGAGACATCCAAGTCGAAGGAGCCAAGCGCAGAGCCACGGCCCGAAGTTGCGCAAAGTGAGGAATAAACGCAGCAATGATGGCAGCGGCGTTTGTACTCGGGTTCCTGGCGCAAAGGGCATGGTGTTTAGGCAAACTATCTTGGGCATGACTTCAAAGGAGGTTTCTTCTTCTTCTTCTTTTTCTTTCACATTATGTTATAACGCTTTATATTTGAGCGTAGTGATGAAATAATACATGTAACTCAATTGCACTTGTATGCGCCGTTCATCCGTACAGGCATAATTACTCTTGCCCTAGTTAGTTACTTCGTCTTGCACTGACCAAGCATACAGCTGACTAATAAAACTAAGAGGTCATTTCCCAGAGTGGTAAAGGTTTAGGGCTCAGAAATCCACTTTAGCACAACCAATAGAACTCCACCGCCAAGATTTTACAAGCACACCCGCACTAAGCGAGAACACTGAGAAACCCCAAGCGGAAAGCCATCCACCACCTCTCGACCTCTCGTCGCCTCCCTTTTGTCGCCAAACCCGTTATCCGACACCGTTAACGCGAATACATAGCCAAGATGTCCAAGAAAGGGTGAGTTGTTTTTCGAGTTTGCTTTGGTTGTTTTTGTTGGTTTTCCGGTGGGATACGCTACGCCATGGCCGATTCGACTACTTCGACTTTCAAGATACATTGGAGGATATGAAGAGGAGATCGGATTGGACCACAAAGAGAGAGGAAGAGAAGGGAGAATTGAATGGATGTGAATCCAGAGGCGATCGACTGCTTTTTTCTGCGCCTTGGGGGAGTTGGATATGACATGGATTCGACATTTGAAACTTTGCTTGGAAAACACCGCATCTTAGGAAGGAAACCGCTAACCAGAATTTCGTTGACAGTGTTGCCGGTAACAAGCTGAAGATGACGCTCGGTCTGCCTTGGTACGTTCCAATCGTCCATCCATCCAACCAACCCAGAGATTCAAAATTTCCCGAACATCAAAAATGAACATCAAAGCCGAATCTTCCTCCTTGCACACCCTCAGATTTGCACATTCTGCAATTATAACACTTCACGAAGTAATGAGGTCGAAGAACTAACATTCTGGAATAGCGGCGCCGTGCTCAACTGCTGCGACAACTCCGGTGCTCGTAACCTCTACATCATTGCTGTTACGGGTACTGGTGCGCGCCTGAACCGTCTCCCCGCCGCCGGTGTCGGTGACATGGTTATGGCCACCGTCAAGAAGGGAAAGCCTGAGCTCCGTAAGAAGGTCATGCCCGCTGTTGTTGTCCGCCAGAGCAAGCCCTGGCGCCGACCTGACGGCATCTACCTCTACTTCGAGGACAATGCCGGTGTTGTACGTTTTGCACTTTCCACGGAATCCTTTGCTCACTGAGAGATTTGGATTTCCTTTTTTGAAAGCCTGGATTGAAAACTAATATTCTGCAGATCGTCAACGCCAAGGGTGAAATGAAGGGTTCCGCTATTACCGGCCCTGTCGGTAAGGAGGCTGCTGAGCTTTGGCCTGTGAGTTACCCTCCCCCGCCCAGAATATCACTTTCTACCCTAAGCATTCGGGCCCATGCTAATATGGTTATCTGCAGCGTATTGCCTCCAACTCCGGTGTCGTCATGTAAACGGGTTTCAACGGGGAAATTGGGATGTATTAGAACGAAATACCAGCGGGCTTTTCTTTTAAAAATGAAAAAGAACTTGATACTCTTTCCACATCCTATTTCTCTCTCTCTCTCTCTCTCTCTCTCTCTCTCTCTCTCTCTCTCTCTCTCTCTCCCTCTCTCTCTTGGTTTCGGTGTCAGATAACGAAGGCTCCACCTACCTCCGCTACCGCTGCCTATACCTACCTACTGGGCTACCATTACCGTATGAAATGAACCAATGAATGTGAATAGGGAATGTCGGTGTCGGTGTTCCTCGTGGGACTGAGCTTGCTATCTGAGTGCGTGAAGTATAATTTATCGGGTGTAATCTGCAATTGAGGGACCCGACGTGATTATTGAAATACATAAGCTGTCATATCTGTCATGCCATCTATAACTCTAAAATTATATATTAGAAAGGGAGGGAGAAGGAGAATTAATATACATGCACATTAAACCCAATTTCCCAAGTGTTGGCAACAATGTATAGATACATACGCATAGTATGAGCTAACAGCCCGAACACTTTATTTATCTCGTCTTCTTATCATCCCCGATAACCGGGCCCGGTGGCGATGATCCGAAACTGCCAGCACCTACAATTGACACTGCAACGTACAGCCCAGCGACAATGAGCGTTATGAGGTCAATCACATGCACTACCCACCAGGTATGTTGCACGCCAGCGGGACACATCGATATAGCATATTTCCACTCCTTGGCGTTGGTATCGAACCATAGAGATAGGAGACCCGCGTTTCCGCCGTACTCGCCCATCATGGAGCGGAGGGTGATTTCTCTAATGGAGGGGGCGGAGGAAGGTTGACGGCTACTATGCGGTTTGGAGGGGTTGTAGCGGGTTGCGTTCCATGCCCAGCTTGGATGGTTGGCTATGTCTTCGCTGGAAACAGTGTCGTTGGCGTTCGGTAGGTCATCGTTGTTAGATGGTGGTGGTAGCCTTTGTATGGAATGAACCACGTCGCAGCCTGTGTGGTCGTGGCCAGTCAAGATCAGGCCGTTGCGACCAATTCCGCCGTTTACCGCTCCCTCGTCACCACTCATACCAAAGAGGCCCTCGAGAATACCGTTTGTGGTGACGTGCTCGCTAAGATGGTTTTGTTCGCGCAACCCGCCGGCCTTCCACCGCCCCGGATCTTCTCGCTCATCGTCTGCATCGAAATAAGTAAAGTATGGCCCATCCGTACAGACACCGTCTTGCTTATGTAGCGGAAGATGGGTTAGGAGGAGAGTGAATGTAGAGGGGTCATCAACTGGATACGATCGGTGCGAGATTATATCGTTGATGTAGGCGTAGCCATGGCCCTGGACATCCTGGGAGAATGGCGGCCCGTCCAGCGTCAAACTGTTCAGGTTTATTAAGTGCAGTGTGGGCTTAAGCCCTCCTCCCTCTCCCTCTCCCTCTACGTGAGGGTGCTGGAATCGTATATCCCAGTTCGCGCGGCCGAAAACATGCTCGAAGCGCTCAATGCGCTTCTCACTCGCGTCACCGGAATAACCAACATCATGATTCCCCACGATATTAATGATCCGATGGGCCCAAGACGGTGAAGAAGGCAGTTCCTCCAACTCCATGATGCCCCCTTCTTTGCCACTACCAGTAGCATAATCCTTTTCTCCCGTCCGGGTAATCTCATCACTAACCCGTTCTCCCCCACGGAACACACGATGCCAATACCGCTCTCCACGACGCTGAAACTCTTCATCCGTTACCCATTGGCTCCCGATCAGATCGCCCAGAACCGTAACATGCGTCGGCCGCGTCCACCAATGTAACGTACGATAGATATGGGCCAAGTAGTAATCGTTTCCTAAAAGGTCGAGCCGCTTTCGCACGGCAGATAGGGCGCGCGGGATGTCCTTCCGTATGAGGCTCCGCAGAGCCTCCGAGACAGTCCTCCACACCTCGGTGGGGACCGGATATGGGGTCGCGGTTATGGAGGAGAGGGTGTCGCTCCAATGTTTCTGGAGTCTGGCTCCGAGTTTGTATTGCGGGCGTGGGAGGGAGCTGTCGCCCTCGAGCTGCGGATCGGCTAGGACGAGGAGGCGGAAGATTGCTGGTTCCGGCTCGGGGGCGGACTGCGGCGCAACATGTTGCTGGAGGGTGTGGAGGAATGCGCTGGTGTGTGATGAGACATTGGAAGGGTCGAGAGGGAGAGGGTATGCGCAGCCGGAGAAGACGGGGTAGAGGTAGAGATAGACCGTGGTGGTGACGGCAAGCGGGAGAAGGCCGACAAGAAGGCGGGAGAGGAGCCAGCGAAGGAACATGGAGGCGGCCACCTAGGAAGGGAGGGAGTAATAGTATTATTAGGCTAGGCGCCCATGTTCGACAATTGATTGATGATTCTCGAATGAAAAGGGGGAAAACGTAAACAAGCTTGGATCGGAGACAAATTGAATTCTGCTGGCGGCTCGGCGCGGGGAAAGCGAGATCATGCTTCGAAGTTCGCAATACATTGTTGCTTTTATATATAAATATTTTGGCATTTCAGGGAGCAGGGCATTAGAAATACACTGCATTTAGCACTGGCAAGCTAAGGGTCGTTATTATGCTATATAATTCTGCGTACACTAATCCAGTCTTACATTTTCCTCGCTGCTTCCGTGATAGTCCAACAAGTTCCAAATCATCATCCGGTGTCTCATCAAAATCCAATCACTCCAAAGGAAACCCATGTCAGATTATAAAATAGGATGATGCCGACGGTTGAAACACGTTCCGAAACAGGGGGGTATATCACATTAACGCCGGGGGTACAGTCAAGAAGCCAAAAACAGAATATAAAAGGTCCGGGGATTGAATATAAAATATTAGGGAAGGGTGTGTGGAACGAGAGAAAACGAGTGGCATCAATCATTGAGAATTGCGAGCCGTCTCTGGAAGCAAGGACGACGGACCAGTGTCAAGGTCGCCCAGCGGGTTAGAGGAGCGCTTGAGATCACCCACGTCAACAGGCGAGTCGACTTGCGCCATGTCAAGACCCTGGATCATCAAGCCAGAGCCCCCCTCTTCCTTTGCGCCACCTTCACCCGCAGCATCTTCAACCGCGGCGTCTTCGACCAGGGGCTCTTTACCCGGTCCTTCGCCTTCATTCATTAACGCGGGGGGTCGCTGGTTCGTCAGCTGCGCCTCCTTGAGACTGATGGTTCTCTGCTTATTGGTGGTTTCAATCGGAAGGTGAATGTCCCGCTCGATAGTCGCCTTCATCAACGCAGCCATCCACAGGCGGCCTTCCTTGACGCTGTCGACCTGGAAATAATGGACTGCGGGTTTGGTAAACTGCACAGTACGAGACGACTTGGGTGGAATTAGCTTGAAGAAAAACGGCCCTTCCTTGTCCAAGCGCGATCCGCGCTTTGATTCCGGCGCTGTCGAACTGTTTTCTGAGATTGAGCCATTACTGCCAGTCGGTGCACTGCCGGCTGGGGATGTGGCCAAAACTGTAGAACCGGTGATAGTTGCGTGAATTGCAATAATAGGATCATTATCGGCTCGGAGAACTCGGTGGGAGGTGATATCAATCAGGCCCCGTTCCTCCGTATCGTTTTCCGAATAGTAGTATGACAAACGACGACCACGTAAGACAAAGAGGCGAGGTTTCCAAGTCGTCATCAAGTTTGAAGACCGTTTCTTCATCCAGCCAGAGAAATCACAGCCATCCATCTGTTCCTGTGGTGGCTTCCTTTCCAGGCCCCTTGTGTAAGCGCTCGTGTCCTTCTTCGACTTCACACCGGCCTTGAGAGAAGGCCGCGCACGGGGTAATAGTGCGCCACCTTCCGCATTCTTCCCAGAACCGTCAGTGCTGTGCCGCTCAGAACTCTTCGATGTCGAAGGCGTAGTCGAGCCCGTTCGAGTAGTTGCCGGGTCGGTATCATTAACAGGGGACCCCGGAATTACGGACGTATCGTTACCCTTGCCAGCTGTATCGGATATCGTTCGGAGCCCAACAGCACGTCGAAATTTTGGCGCGGCGCTTTTGATTTGCTGCAGTGGTTGCGGCGTGGAACGCCCAGAGTCCGAGTCAGGCTTTCCGACCCTAGGTGCAAAAGATGAGAAAAACCCACCCGCGGACCCTTTGGGGGAATTGCGAGATGATTGCTGAGAAGACATTCGGGTACTCAAACTCCGCAGCCGGCCTTTGGAAGAAGGGAGAGGATATGTCGTTCCCGAGTTCAGAGCATTTGGGGGTCCGTCTGTAATTGAATCTACGCTGCTGATTCGAGAATGCCTCTGGTTGGCCCGAATCTGCTCATCAGTTTGGTTAGATTGCAACGAGTGGGCGCTACCGGACACCGATGCTCTCTTCTGTAGGACTCTACGCGGCATTCGCGAGTCTGTCTCCGGTCCTGAGAAATACCCACGATCCAAATCGTCAGTTACCGCCGACTCCACGCCATTGGTATGGTGATGGGATCCAGTGCTAGAAGCCCCTAAAGCGGTTCCTGGACGAGGGGTTGCCCGCTGTGCGCCAAGGGACATTGTCCAGCCACGATCAAGGGACCCCTTCTTGCTGTGGGCGGGCCCGACATGTGGAGAAATATCTCCAGCACTTGAATAGCGGCTCGTCGTGTCCATGGATGAATGCCGCCGTTGGTGATTGATCTCTCGAATCGACGCGGCGGAAGGCCGCCGCGAGTGGTCCATGAACGATGGAGTCTGCGGGGTGATCGGGGAACTCGTCTCACTGTGAGCATTGTTGCTTATCAGTCGCGGATGCTGAGTGGTACCACTGAATGAGCCCCTGTAGTTCGGTACTCGCGGACGCAGCGGCCCTGTTTGACCAGCACGACTGATAGAGCGTTCTTCAGATGTCGTCGAAAAGCCGGCGACTGAGCCCCGAGCAGTAGACGGTTGTTCTTTGTAACCTTTTATCTCCTCTTGGAACGCTTTGATTTTATGCCAGGTTTTCAAACGTCGTCCCATCACTCCGAAATCGAATTCTTTCATCATGATGAAATCCTGGTTCATGTCCAAAAGCACATCTCCTGTTATTTCCTGTTCTTCAAAAATGTTGCAGTGCTTGTCCTCCAACCCTAGCTGATGCAATTGTTTGACGGTCTCCGGAATGCCCCATTTCCGCACCTCCTCCTCAGAGGGCTGGTTATTTTCCTCTTCATCGGTCTCATGACCGTTTATATAAGACATCCGGTTGTCCATGTGGGCACTATATTCACTCGCAGAGTCGTTGATCGTTTTCTGATCGGTGGACGGCTTGACGCTGTGGCGTGGAGTGCTGAGATCTGTGATATGTTCGTCGATCACACTGAGTGTTTCGTTCATAACGGGGCTATCTTGACCGTTCATGTGTGGGCCTAGAGTCTGGCGGATGGATTGTTTGATATCCACCGCCATTGTTGAGCTCGGCAAGGGGGAAGAGCTGGACCGGTTTTGCTGTTGTTGCTGCTGCTTCGGTGCGAGAAGAGAGGGGTTCGTTTCGCTTGATCCGGGGGCACCCCGAAGGTCAGTCATGCTAGCGTGGCGAGACGCGTGCGGAGTCGAATCTTCGCTCTTGGGTGTCGCGACGATGTCGCTGGCTTCCGGCGTGGGAGTTTCTCGGGCGGTCGTTGACTCCCCAGTTTCATTTGCCTTGGGCGCATCTGATTCTGGGCCATCGGTCCGAGGTCGCACAGGAATATTGGGCGCCTTCGTGGTATAGACTAAGGATGGAGATCGGCCCATGTTAGTGAATTACCGCGTCATTGTTTAAGAGATTGAGCAAAGCACGTACCTCCTGGGAACAGGCCTGTCGTCCCAGTCTTGACGTCTTTTCCTAGATACCACCCATCGCCGAAACCATCATCTAGCTCGACCAACTCGATTTTTTCACCCCGTCGCAGGGTGAGTTCATCCTCTGAGCGCGCATCAAAATCATCTATATATTGAAATCGCACGTGTCAGTCACATCGTCGAACGAGAGGGGAGAGAGAACGAGGCCGAGGCGCGGAAGAGGGCAGAGTGGGGGTGGGAGAAGCGATTGCGACCGGGCAAAAGGCGACAGGAAGAACTCACGAACGACAAGGAGATGGTCTCCTGTGCGGTACGCACGAGGCGCGGAATTAAGAGCCATGATGCTCAGCCCAAGGAGAGCCCAGGGGATACAGCTGGCGGCGAGGTCAACGAGGACAGGGGAGAAGAAAGGGAGAGGCGATGAGAATTCTCCGTACTTCGGCCGACCTTAGTTAATAATATAATACCGGATTGATTAATATAGGAGCGGGATCAGCGCTGCGGGCGTCACCACCGCTCTCAGTGAACCAGGAACAATTAAGCTATGATAAAGATAGTAAATGAGTGTCAAGGATTTCCCGGATCTCCAAGTGGGGGAAGAGTTGAATGATGCTTAATCAAAGAGTTCGGCTCGCGCTGGTCGAGGCCCGGGCCCAGGGTTTCCAGTCCAATGGCCAGGAAGGAGAGAGAGCAGTGGAAGGAGCACTCGATCATCGAGGGAAAAAGCCGGCATGCATATATAGGCAATGGAGGAAGAGGGTTTGCGAGATTGCAATCCACATCGAAGCTGAAGTGTCAACTATCGGATGTGTCTGTGATTGGAGCCAGCGTCACTTTTCCCAGTAGTTCATCGTTACCCTCGGCGCCTACGTAGCCTCACAAACAACAGCCCGTCGTAGTGAACAGCATTGGGCTGTTCCCAGTCACAATAGAGTTCAATGAATAATAACAGAGGGGCTGGAGCATACCAACTGCCTCGTTCCTGCGCATTTTCTCAGGACGAAAACGTCACTTTCTGCGCTCAGACCGGGTCTGTCTGTATCACGTGACCACGTGTGCTCTCGCTCTCTGTTGACAATTGACATTCCAGCGTCTTCTTTATCGATTCTACGCAAACTATAATCACAATGGATATGTGACAGAAACATGGTGACAGCCTTATTCTTGGCTTGTGGGTGTGTTCGCTGCTCAGTGTTCTTACTTTCCAAGCCCGGGCCTCGCGCGTGAGTTGCTGCCTTTGGATTCTTAGCGAAAGGATCGACAGTAAATAATTAGACACATCGTTCATACTCTGTACACCTGTACTTTCCACAAGCTAAGCACGCCGGCATCATTGGGTTCATTGATAAATCATAACAGGCAGCTAAAGGTGATTGACGCAGGAAAACACCCGGAAAATAATCACGCGATAGATCAGAATTCAGATATGTGAGCGGGCGGGAATAGAAATATACAACCGTCAGCTCGTCACAGCCGGGCATAATTATTTCTTCCAACCAGCTGGTTCTCTGACCTGAAGAATGGGTTGGCCCTGTCCCCGTGAACACCAATTTGTACTTCAGCTACTGGACTGCGATGCGGAATCAAAATGATCTACTGGGTAGTACCTACTGGGGGCCTGGAGTCCCAGACTACGACCAACTAAGTTCACCACCTCAATTGAAGATATGGAAACAACCATGGAACAGCATGAAACCGCATCATTAGCTACAAAGTGTATTGACTCTTCTGAGGTCATCAAATTATGCTCGGGCTTGGTCACGAAGATGACGGTTATTTGCAAACCAAGACTGCCATTGCTAGCTCAGCTGCGCTCCTTTCTTCGAACCTTCCAGATTTTCATCTTGGGCATGAGTACCTTACCAAGGGAATAAAATCTGTGGTGATATTCAAGATATTTTCACTGCTATCCGCCTTGAGACGCGCAGAGTGACATCGTGTTGTCCAGATTTTGATTCACTTTCAACGCGAGCGCTACACCATCAGCGCCAGAGTAATTCTAACAAGAAACTGGCGGACATCCCGCAAATATTATCCTCTAGGGACGATCGCATTTATGCAGTTGTTTTGAAACGGAGGGCCTAAGATCCCAGATACTGGACCCAAAACGATCTCTCTTCTGACCAGGTAGTATGGAAATTGTTCTCCGAGACCCAGAACTATGACAGCGGCTGAGACACTATAGTCAGGACTGGAGCCGGCTTTCAAGATGACGCTGTTGCCTGCCTCATTTTCGTCTGCATGCTAGGGAAAGGCGCAAGTATGGGTGACCTCAGACAGTTTTTGTACAGGATCAACAGATTACTGGCTTGGTCATCGTCATAGATACAGATAATACGGGAACCACAGAAATTGAGTTCGACATTAAACTATGCGAGAAGCTTCAGTACAAGAACCTTATCAATCATCGGACCACCTGATGGGAATCTGGCGAGCTCGATATGTTGTGGCATAGAGATGAGATGCCTCCGACTGACCACCACTGGCCGTCGCTGTACAGCAATGTACGCAGCCGTTAGCGAGTTGACACTGGCCGACATTTACACAGGGTTTCGCCTTTTCCGCCATATTGGAGTAGTGCACTCCGTATGAACTCGGGTTGCCCTACTCACAGGAAGACATCGGCGTCTCTCCCTTTCATTTTTTGCGTCCAATTCATGGAAGGGTTGAACCAAAATGAATTCATTCTGCTACAAAATGTTTGAAACGTGAAGTGCTTTAATAGTATGATGGTTCGCCGTTTGCTGTTCGTGTGACCTGTTCTGCCTGTAACAAGCATGCCCAGGCAGCCTTGGACTACTTATAGGAGTACTATTTATGAATAGTGAACAGTGTATTAATAATACAGTAACCAGCACAGTAAATAATATGATGGAGAGTGCAGTGAATAAATGCCTCTGTTTGGCTAAGCAGGAGGTATGACCAGAGATGAATCTCAGGATCGCATCGCCAGCAACCAAAATCGCATCGTCTTGCATCATCAAGTGAATTACCAAAACAGTCAAGATAAATAGCAGCATGCTGCCCCTTTCCTCCAACGCTTTGTTTCTTTTTCTGCTTCACCGACATCAGGCTCGTCCAAAAGAGGAACCAACCACCCCCGGGGCGGGCAGATCTTGATCGCAATCAAACAAAACACTATTGGCATCCAACGTCCATCTCGCAATCTGCGCTCTCCAGCTCCTACGCTATCCCCAACCATGCCACGATGACTTCGGACCCCGCTAATAATAATCGCCGGAAAGATTTGGACCTGAATAGATCCAACTCCACCGCCAACATCTTCCTAGGCGGTGCGCGGAAATCGTGGATGTCGACCACCGCAGCTACAAGCCAGCACAGCTCCCAGAACCCACCAGTTTCGACGTCCGAGTCCAATTCCAGACCGATTTCATCCTCCATTCCCTCAGCGTCAAACCCGGCCTCTGCTCCTCCGCCTCTGCCTCCGCCTCCTGTTACCCTTCCTCGTTCTCATCCTGCCTCTCCCGCTGCTTGCTCGCCCGCTCCAGCGCGGTCTGTGGCCGCGGTCTCGTCGACTTCACCGACGCGCCTGGCTGGCATGCGAGATTTTCCTTCTCATCAACTCCAGAGTATCGCATCATTCCGCGAAAATCAAGGTCCTGAGACCTCAGTCGTCTCCGCCGCTGCCCGGAATGTCCAGGTCCCGCCGCCCTCCAATACACCTCCATCGACAATCCGCTCCCCCGCCTCTCATGTTCAGCCTCTTCCTGGGCCGGTCGAGCCTCCATTGCAACGGCAGAAGCCACAGCAGCGCCAGAAGCCCAAACAGCAACAGTTGCAGACTCACCTGCAGCAGGAGTCGGCTTCCTCACTTCCCTCTCCCGACCCCACCATTCATCCCAGGTCGCATGCCAGCCCGATAACTGCCATTGAGAGAAATAATGGACCGCCGCCCATACTCAGTCCCTCCACAACTGCGTTTCCGTCGCCCCCCGGTCAACAAGCTCCTTCGGTGCAACGGCGATCGTGGCCGAATGCTCCCATCGCCAGTACACCTCCCACATTGTCAAGTGATCAACCAGGCGTGCCAGCTCAGGGAGGAAGCACTCATATAGGTCGATCCAGTTACCCCAACCACCCCCATCCGACTCCTGGTGCTCGTGTTCCTGCTGCTGCCCTTGCGTCGCAGCAGCAGCAGCTGCAGCAACATCATAGTGCCGCCCTCCCAGCAACCTCCAACGGCTCTAGCTCGGTCATTGATCCTGGATTTTTTATGCGAGCTAAGCAAAACTTGGAAGCGCACGTAAGGACGGCGTCGCAGGAAAATAGGTTCTCAGAGCTAGTGGAACTTCCACGAGCTCACCTTCTATTCAGTGCCTGTGAGCAGCAAGACATCGTATATATCGCCCTTCATCAGATTTACTGCCTGAGCAGCATTTCTGAGCCCGACTTCCTTAATCTTCCTGGCTTCTCTCATGATGATGAACGGGGCTTGGTTATTGTCCGAAATCTTCTGGTGGACAACTGCCGAGTCTCGCCCGGCTTCTTGCAGTGGTTCGTCAATTTCCCGCTCCCTCTGCCTGAGCTACTTCAAGACCCAACCTATCTGTGGGCCGTCAATAAAGTGCAGCGCATCTTGGTTGGATTTGCAAACGGTTGGGATGCCCTCGAAGACAAGGTGAAAAAAACCCAACTCCCACCACTTGTGGAGGATATGGTAAACTTGCTCAATGTGGAGTCATCAGTGGTGCAGTACAACGTTTTTCTATGTCTTTGTCGGAGGATACATGGTGTTACGTTAGAAAACCGTCTATACCAGATCTTCACGAGGGACCGTGACTTCTACCAAAACAGCAGTATTTCGCAAGTTTCGCAAGACCAGAGGCATGGTCAGAGGCGCCTTCAAAACGATCATATAGTGGCTATGTACCGTGAGGGTATCGAGGCTATGCGAAACAATGCTCCTACAGGACAACCCGGAGTCGCAACTTCCGCTTCCAGTTTGCCGGCCTCAAGCCAGACGGTGTCAGGCTCCGTGCCTACACACATGACCCAACGGAGTGCGCAAAATCCTTCTCATATGCAACAAAATCCGGGAACACAAAGGATGAACGGCACAGCTCCACTGCCCGTCATGAATTCCGCTAGCGTGGCGCAGCCTGGCCCTCAACAACTGGGTTTTAGTCAACCGCCCATGCAACAGGGCAGCGTCGGCCCACAGATATTTCCATCGCAGATACTTCCATCCCAGGCCGCGGGCGTGGTCTTATCACCAGTTATGGCTACTGTACCACACATGGTACAGCATCCCCCGCCTCCAGGGCGAGGACGTTTCATCCACTATACCCCCCGGCAGCATCTGCAACCAGCGCCGCAGAGCGTGAGGACCCTTCAACATCCACCCCATCACCCGCATATGCCGGCAGGCTATAGAGTCCAGCACCCAAGCGTACAAAATATAACACCACAGCAACGGCCAACTGGTCAGATGTCCGCTTTGTTACTGCCGCGGCCAAATGTGCCTCCTGTGATGAACACGCGGCCAAACCCTAATCGACTTGCGATTCACCAGGCCCATCTTCGCGATCCGGTAAATCAATTCGTTTCTGTTGATGCCACAGGAGCAGAAAGCCCAACAGAGCTGTTACCCCACGTTACCTCCTTCTTGGTGAAGCCAAAGGTTCTCAGTAAAGATGAGGTCTCCTGTAAATGGGAGGTATCATTGTCGGCGGAAGATTTCCACCGTCGGCCCGTTTTCGAGAATCCGGGAACGGGAAACCGTATGCTTCAAATATCTAAAGAGGGCACTCAGCTTTATCGTCTAAGATGCGTTAAAGTTCCTCGATCAACCACGGAATTGAGTGAGCACTCTTGGTGTGTTTCTGAGACTGCATGGCCTACTGCAATATACTTGTTCGTGAACAACCAGGAGCATTTTCCACGACGCAAAATCCACAACACTAGGGATCTCCCGTTGGACATTACGCTAGCTCTCCAAGAAGGCATGAATAACATCAACGTTCAATTCATCCCAGGCCCAGCCGAACAAAAGAACTTCACCTATGCCGTGGCTGTTGAAATACTCGCCTTCACGTCGTTCGGTAATGCGAAGGCTCTCTCCAAGTCTCTGCCCGCTGTTGAATCACAAAAGCGTATATGTGGAAGACTCACACGCGATTCTGAAAATGAGGACGATGAGCTGAGCATCGTGAGCGACGATCTCAAGGTTACCCTCGTTGATCCATTCACAGCACGCCTCTTCGAAGTCCCCACGCGCGGTTCTCACTGTGAACACACGGAGTGCTTCGATCAGGACACGTTTCTGCAGACTCGTGTCCTCAAATGCGGATACCGTTCCGCCATAGAAGCAGACTGGAGGTGTCCCATTTGCCGTCGGGATGCGCGCCCGCAAAGCCTAATCGTGGACGAATTTTTGGCCAATGTGCGCAAAGAGCTGGAACACACCAACCGGTGTGACGGTGCCCGCATACTGCAAATCAAAGCTGATGGGACTTGGGAGGTGAAAACCGACGATGACCTTGCACCTTCCGAGAAACAGACGCCTCAACCCTCGCGCACTACATCAAAGCGAAAATCGAGTACTTTAGAGAGCGGACCGCTCCAACGACCGAAGATCGACCGCTCATCATCTACGCCAGCGAGGATACTGAATGAAAACCAGCCCCCAACGGTTATTATCTTGGACTGATGAGCCAAGTCTCATTGCCATCTACATTCATTTTTACAATCTTGTCCAATTGTCCTCTTTTTCTGCCTTTTTTCCCCTTTGCATCATCCTCTTCATTTCGGTGAACTGCATCCGCACTTGCACAGTTACAGGCGCTCAGGTTGTTGCACGAGATACCCCCGAATCATGTTTGATGTGCTTCAATATCTATTTCTTTTCCACGTTCTCGCATATGCCCATCATTGTTGGAGTTTGTTTTGCTGGGTGACTGGCCAGGTCTGATTCAAGAGTTTCATTTTATTGCAAACCATGGAGTATAGTTTCGGTCAGCAATTTTTATTTCTTCCAGGGGTTGGGTGGACTGGTTGATAATCAGATAAACCGGCATTTTACTAGTTTAGATAGTATTTACTTGCATTTGTGACCTTGAATAAGAGTTGCATATTAATCATACTTATGGGTTATTCGAGACTGTACAACAAGGAATAAAAAGTGAAGCTTGTAGTATCATCAAATTTGGTAGACGACGATGCCAACTCGAGACCACCGCGAACAGCCAAAGTCCAAACTTGTTGCGCCGCTGTCTTATAAGCCCACTTGCTCACAAAAAGAACCGCCCCTTAAAAAGATGATATTGATTGGCAAACAAATGCTAGGAAAGGGAAGAAAAAGGTCGTGACGCGAAGTCCGAGTGGCATTAAGTAGTTAGGTAGGTACAAAACCAAGAGAAAAGAAAACGAAAAAAAGAGCCATCTATAGCGGGCTAAGGTGATGGAGGGCGGCGAATAATTTCACACTTGTATTATGCTCCAGATATTCGCTCGTTATGCATCGCACTTTTCATTGACTGTTATTTTCTTACGCGCCGGGCGTGACTGACTAGATTCTCTATTACGCCTTCGAAAGCCTCTTTTTCGCTTACGAGGCCGTCTCGGCGTTTAAGCCAGAATTCAAGGACAGTAGAGGCGCGCAATGTGAGCTGTTCCAGCTCTTTGACATGGGATTGGAGTTCTGCGTCGGTGAACCCATCTAGTGCGGCGTCGGTGGTTGTGCAGAGTCGTCTTACTAACGTGAGATCGAGCTCTGGTGGTGACGGATCACGCCGTCTGGATGACCGCTGTCGAGTTGCGGTGCTTGAAGTACGGGGGCTGTTTGGCCCGCTTTGGGAGCCTTTTCTGGCGAGGCTCTGGGAACGAGATAGTGAACCCTGACCGTTCGAGTTGGGCCCGCCTATGTTGATGGATGGGAGGATGAGCTTCTTCTGTTTAGATGCAGGAAGGATCTCGTCCAAGTCTACGGGGACGCCAAGGGAGACGAGGAATAGACGGCGGATCCGGGACTTGACCCAATTCTGGGGCTGGAGCGGGGGTGGGGCGACTAGCTGAGACCATAGGGAAAGGGAACGTTCAGTGCTGAAGATGGCGGAAGAGTTCGAAATGGGTTCCAGTTCGGATTGGTTGGAAAGGGCAGCTTTAGATTCAGGGAAAAGTCGGCCAAGAGGTTCGTCAAGAGCCGTGAGCAGGTCGGGAAAGGATTGAATGGCGTCAAAGTCTATTAAAGGAAGCTATATAGCAGATTAGCATTGAATGATGCTTGGGCACAGGTGGTTACAGAAATCGTACAACATATGGCGGGGTCGGTTGCTGAGACGGCTGTATAGAGACAGGTTCAGGTTCGGCGAGGTGCGCATCTGGTTCTTGAAAACCGTCGTCGAAGTCCCCAAAATCGTCATCCTGGCCGTCCGCGAAATCGTCGAAGTCATCACCGCCGCCAGCTTCAGTAGGTTCCTCCCTCGTCAATGTTGATTGTTGTGGAGAGTGAGCCGGATCTGGGGAGCTATTTGTTTCAGGGGCGGGATCTGAATTGGTCAATCGTCCCTGAGTTTTTGAGCCCTCAAGGGGGATAAGGAACTGGATAAACTTACCGGGAGGATCAGATACGGTCTCTGTTGTATCCGGCAAAGTATCACTCGGCCGCCTACGATGAGCATGCGGGCCGGAGTGTAGTGTTTCATCATCCTGCGAAGTGTCTACTTCAGAGAGGAGCGTTCCCGGCACAGGCATGGTCGTGGTGTTGACTTCGTTAGGTTCCGTAGGAGATCCAGAGGTGCTTGCGGATTCGGAAGTTTTCGTTACAACATCGGGCACAGCGTCCGCTTTCCGCTTCTCGTATGCTTCTGTACCAGGAACATCACCATAGCTTGGTTGGTCGGGGTCAACCTTTTCCACCATGGTCTGAGGAATACGTGTACCCCCTGGGGTGACGGAGCGGCGACGCTGCCCCGCAGTGGAAGGACTCCTGCTCCGGGAGATCACTTCAACTTCATCAGGAACAGCATCCAATTCTCTTTTCGCGTAGGCACTGGTCCCTGGGATATCGCCGTGTGAAGGGACATCGTCCACTTTTTCTACTCGCGTCCGGGGCACAGGAGACGCACGAGACTCTGGGCGGGACCGAGAACGTGAGTTGCCTTCGCTGGCATCTGAGAAATGCTCTTCGTCGCTATCGGAGGCTATGAGACAGCAATATCAGTCACCAAAAATGTCGGCGAATGACGAGGCAGGAGAGTGCATGAACGTCTTACTATGATCAGGGGCCCCTGTGTCCTCAAGCTCCACGCTCTTTCTCGGGGGCTCCAAGTGCGAGCTGGACGGAGGAGAGGGGCGTTCCGACATGGAAATCGACTTAGCTCTATGCTTCAAATAAGCTCATATGGGCGTGAATACGGCACCTCCGGACTGGACGGAAAACAAAAATGACGCACAAGCGAAGCGAGGCTGGAGAAGCGGAGTGCAGCTTGGATGGAATCCAGATCGTCTGGTGACGAAGCCCAGTCTCGACCGTGGGCCTGAGCGCCTGAACGCCTGAGGCTGGATAAAATTATGCCTGAGGTGTCTAATATAAACGCAGCTGAAATAAGCGCGTCTAGCCATGATTGGCTGTCGTGCCGCAACAAACTTCGCGACCAAGCTCCAGCATCCTTTATTATCCCGGCGATTGTCTGGTGTTGACCGTGTTGCTGAACCTGCTGCCAATTCTGCTCCCCGTGTCCCACGCTTGTTTGCCGGATTACAGATATCTTCCATCTCCGGGCGCAGTAAGAATCTTCACGTCTTGTGCCTTGCTTGAGGTGTGAATTGCCTGGAAACTCGCTAACAATCTGTTTGTCTTTTCCTCAGGGCTGCCCCATCGCGATACTTGTGTCTTCCTGTCTCCTACGCCATGTCCAATCTATTTAGTTTCAAGCCACCGGCCTCCTCGGGAGCTCCAAGTGGTGGCTTGTTTGGATCTGCTGGTGCTACATCGAATACTGGCTCTAGCGGTAGCGGACTCTTTGGAAATATAGGAGCAAGCGCAAGCGGCACCTCTTCGCCGTCCTTTGGGACTACATCTGGCCCTGGCCAAGGCTCCTCTCCATTTGGTGCTGGTGCCGGCAGCGGTAGCGGTGCTCCCACGTTTAGCTTTGGAAATTCGACTGCCGGTGCGACTTCCGGTACACAATCGCCGTCTCTGTTTGCTACTGGATCACAAACACCTAACAAACCGACGGAGACGCCTGCACCAGGCTCAACCGCGCCCGGCGGATTATTTGGCGGCGCTAGCAAGCCTGCTGGAGGTGGTCTTTTTGGAGCCGCCACGGCAACTCCTGCGTCATCTGGCACAAGCTCACTCTTCGGCGCTCAACCCTCAACTACCCCTGCCGGTCCTCCGCCACAAGGAAACACCCCAGCCCAGGGTCAATCTCTCTTCGGGCAGCAAAAACCTGGGGGGCTTTTCGGAACAGCTACAACCTCATCGGGATCCCAGCCTTCTTCTATGGCTCCCTCTACGTCAACCCCGTCACTCTTTGGAGGTGCCGGGCAGTCTACTGGAAGCAGCCTTCTCAAACCAACTACACAGGGAACACCGGGGAGTGCTCCGTCTTCCACTGCTGCTGGTGGCGGCTTATTTGGAAATTCTGGTGCGAGCAAGCCAACTGAGTCAACGACGACAACGACAAGTGCAGACAATGCCGCGAAGCCACTCTTTGGAACCGCACCCGCCTCTGGCACACAAACGTCCACACTTTTCGCCCCAGCATCATCTGGTGCGGATTCTGCGCCGAAGCCCGCTTTCCCCTCTCTCGGCAATACATCAAATACTCAGACCACTGCATCTACTGCTACTCCGCAAAAGCCTCTTTTCTCCCTTGGTGGGCCTGCATCGTCCGCCACTTCTTCATCGACACCAGCCGCTGCTCCTTCCGGTGGTCTATTTGGCGGTCTTGGTGCTCCGAAGCCTGCAGAGACTTCAACAACACAGCCTGCAGCCCCTACAGGGGGGTTGTTTAACAAGCCCGCCGAGACTACGACTACCCAACCTCCAAGCACATCTGCAACCACCACCACAACCGGTACTGACACCAAACCATCGCTGACTGCGACGTCCGGAGCTACCACAACATCTACCACCCCCGCAGCCACTGGCTTGGGCAGCACCACGACAACTGGGGCTCCCGCTCTCGGCGCATCGACTGCTGGTCCGGTTCCTCCAGCTCAATCGCGTCTAAAGAATAAGACTATGGATGAGATTATCACTCGATGGGCGACTGATTTGACTAAATACCAGAAGGATTTCCGGGAACAGGCTGAGAAGGTTGCCGAATGGGATAGGATGCTTGTCGAAAATGGTACCAAGGTGCAGAAACTGTACGGCAGTACTGTGGATGCCGAGCGTGCTACGCAGGAAGTTGAGCGCCAGCTTGCATCTGTTGAGGGACAGCAAGACGAACTGACCTCATGGCTCGATCGCTACGAGCGCGAAGTCGATGAAATGATGTCCAAGCAAGTGGGCCCTGGCGAGGCTCTTCAAGGCCCTGATCAGGAACGTGAGCGAACGTACGTACACAACTATTTGAATTGCACACTTATCCCCGTGTTTTCACTAGCTGACTTCCGAGTTGAATAGTTACAAACTTGCTGAAAAACTTTCCGAACGTCTCGACGACATGGGCAAAGACCTCACCAGTATGATCGAAGAGGTCAACGGCGCCTCGTCTACGCTGAGCAAAACCAACAAGGCCGATGAGCCGGTAAGGCAACCTGGCAGCTCTCATAGAAAAGCAAAACTCTTACTTACTACTCGGGCATATAGATTTCTCAAATCGTTCGCATCCTCAACTCGCATCTCTCTCAGCTGCAGACCATCGACGTGGGCACCACCGAACTTCAGGAGAAGGTTGCTGCTGCGCAGAAAGCTGGACAGTCGATGTCCACACGCTTCGGGCACGGGTACAGCATGTCAGGCATTGGGAATGGAAGTGCTGCTGATGACTTTTACCGCTCTTACATGGGACGTCGGTAAACAAGTTCCATTGATGTTCGATTGTCTTTTTGATGAATACTAGGAGGATAGTTCTAGGTAGGGATGTGCATGACGGACCGATTTATTGTGCATGGTGACTGGAACTTACTATTTACGGTGCTTCGTTCAATATGAAGGCTATTGTCGGGGAGTCTATACATTTAGGCCTAATGATATCTTATTTTCTCTCGCAACGGAGCCGTCAGATACCGAGTGGTGAATTGAGAAGAGTGTCAATTATGTAGAATACATGAGGCAAATACACCAGCGCTAGATAATGCGATGATATGGACAGCGCAACTAGCGGGATATTCTTCACCTGCTAGCACCGACAACTTCAGCCTGGTTCGGGTTCAGAGATAGCCGGGTATAAAGATCTATTTCTTGTCCTGGGTGAATTCGTCACTGGGCCACGGGCTTGCATTAGCCAAAAGTACCACCAGGCAAGGGGTTGATCAGAGCGCTAGCTCTATAGGAAGGTAGAGTCATACAGGTGCTTGTCCAGGTCATCCAAGTGCTTGCGCTGTTCTTCAATCTTCTTCTTAAGAGCAAGGAGCCTGTATTTCGAATCCCAGATTAGTAAAAAATGAGTCGCGCGGCATTCGTTGGCTTCCCTGGCAGTCAATGCAACTAGGAAGGGGCGGGGTGAATTACTTTTCCCGCTCTTTTTCGTGGATGTAGAGATTCTCCTGGGCAGCTTCACGCTTCTGGAACTGGTCGCTGAATGGCAATGTCGGTTAGTTATCTGGCTTTGACATTCAATGGGGTGATTTTCGAGGCTGGGTGAGAGATGACATCATGTCTGTTGCGCGTGCAGTAGACGATGAAACGGATGGGAGAGAGCCGGATACCCATTTGAGCTACTGCTGCACAGGCAACAAAGGAAGAAAGAGACATGTTTATACATACCTGGCCTGGGCACCGCCAGCCCGTGTAGCGCCGGTATCACCTTCACCCATTCTGGGAGCAATTGCGGAGAAGGGCCGGGCAAGGATGGCGCGGGTTGTCGTAGTGAGAGGACGAGTAACGGATTGACGGATCATTGTAAATGATATGTCGAGGTATATAGGTAAGAGAAGGTTTGATTTGAAGATGAAGAGAATGAAGGTGAATGGATGGAGGAGAGGAAGAGGGGGTGATCTGATGCTCAGCAACAAGCTGATGTACCTTATTACTCGTTGCCTTGGAAATCTGGCAGCCGCTGCAAGGTCGAGGCCCGCGAATCAAAGGATGCGGTTGAGCAATGACGACATCAACCCTGTACTCCGGTCATGTGATACTGATGAATCATCAGTTACGAGCAGTCATGTGGAATACAGTATGATTACGAGGGCTGCAGGAGTGACACGAGAACAACAACGTATATTTCTTCATCTGAGGTACGGTGTATGTATGGCACATTCGTCTTCCATCATGTGCTTGGTATAGGGGCCACGACTCAAGAGGCCGAAAGAAAGGAGCATGTAACCATAGAATGGGTCGATGAGGGAGTAGTGATTCAAGGTGCGGGTGGATAAGTGCTCCTGTAGAATCTGATCGAACAGCACCGTAAACTTGTGACCCCATGAGTCAAACGGCTACGCATCACGATTGTAAATATAGCACTTGTAAACCATTAAACAGGAGCGAGAAACCACTAGCAGCGAGGCTCATTCGATAATGCGGGATCTGACGATTGGCGGAGAGAAAGAGGGATGACGCCGAAGAGGCCCACCGCTGAACCACACACACAATCAACAGGAAGGGAGAGACGAGGACAATCGCGTTCTTCCAACTCCCTGGAGGCCGAGGGGGCAAAGTAAACAATTGAACAGATCAAAATAGCCAGATAAATCGATGGGACCAAGTAATAATAGCACCCGTAGCGTGCCTCCTGAGGTCGAGACGAAGACGCCTCCGGGTGGTTGAACGGTGAGGCAGCCCCCAGCAAATGGCGAGTGTGAAGTCTCCCCTCCCACCTCTGTCTCCCCCTCTTCCAGGCCGACTTCTCTCCTCCTTTTGCGACTTCGCTCCTCTCATTCCATCTCCCCCTTCGCTTTTCCAACGTCCTATCACTCTTCCAATTCTCTGTCTCTCCCGCCTCCTTATCTCCATCCTCATAACCAACTCCCTCCAATAACCAAATCCTCATTGTTGTTGTTCCCGTCGCGCAAGGTGAGTGGTATTTCTTTTCCGTTGTTTTCCACGGTCTTCCCCTCCCTCGCCCTGGTCCTTCGCCTCAAAGTGCCCATCATTGTCATCTACGAATCCATCGATTGTGTTGCTTGGAGTCGCTGGCTGGTCGCTATCGATTTTTCTGCATCGTCTACAAATGGGGTCCTGCGTCGAATTGAGGTGTCGGGTATTCAAATCACCCTCCGTCGACACTGGTGTCGACGCCCGCGATGCTGTTTACTCGCCGCTAGCCGAGTGGAGGACTGCCCGATCAACATGCTCCTCGATATACACACTACCAACATAGACGAGAACTGGTTTCGCATCGCGATAGCATTTGTTATTTCCCCCGACCGGGATAGATGTGGGCTGTGGTCGGATTCTGGGGTGTACCGTGCTATCAGCCGTGTGACGGGGTTCCCTAGTGCAGGGCAGAGTCCAGGGCGGCCTTCGCTCACAGCCTCACTTCTCTCACCCCGTGATAGCCGCACTCTACCCCTCACATCGTTTTTTTTCCAGTCTAGATCTTGTTCTCACTTAATTTTTTATTTTATTTCATTTCTTCCGCTGTGTTCATTTTATATATTTGTTTTTCTGTTCAAACTTCTCCCGCGTTCTGAAGGGCCACATCACTCAAACGCTTCGCACTGAATCACCACCTATCTCTTCCAGCCGATAGTCGCTAACATCGTCTTTCTCCATTCGATTAGATTCTCTCAAAATGGGTCACGAAGATGCTGTTTACCTAGCCAAGCTCGCTGAGCAGGCTGAACGCTATGAAGGTTCGTTATTTACCCAATCTAGAGCGTTGTCTGGCGATTAGCGTCCTTGATTCTAACGGCGAACCTCATCCAGAAATGGTCGAGAACATGAAGGTTGTCGCCTCCTCCAACGTAGAACTCACCGTTGAAGAGCGGAATCTTCTTTCCGTCGCCTACAAGAACGTCATCGGTGCTCGCCGTGCGTCCTGGAGGATCGTCACCTCGATCGAGCAAAAAGAGGAGTCCAAGGGCAACGAGTCTCAGGTTACTCTCATTAAGGAGTACCGCCAAAAGATCGAGGCCGAACTCGCCAAGATCTGCGAGGACATCCTAGAGGTTCTCGACAAGCACTTGATCCCCTCTGCCCAGAGCGGCGAGTCCAAGGTCTTCTACCACAAGATGTGAGTTTCCTCGCACTTTTTTTAAGCAGTCTTTTGATAAGACAATGCCACCGGGTAATTCTGGGTTCTAACCTGACTTTTCGCACACCAACAGGAAGGGTGACTACCACCGTTACCTTGCTGAGTTTGCCATTGGCGACAACCGCAAGGGTGCTGCTGATGCTTCGCTCGAGGCCTACAAGGCCGCTACTGAAGTTGCTGCCACCGACCTTGCTCCTACCCACCCCATCCGTCTGGGCCTGGCCCTCAACTTCTCGGTCTTCTACTACGAGATCCTCAACTCCCCCGATCAGGCTTGCCACCTCGCCAAGCTTGCTTTCGATGATGCTATTGCCGGTATGTCAGGCTATATTATCGGGCATAACGCGCGCTTACTAACTTACGAATCAGAGCTCGATACCCTGAGCGAAGAGAGCTACAAGGACTCCACCCTGATCATGCAGCTTCTCAGGGATAACTTGGTAAGATGATCTCTGAACCACGCTTGTAAAATGTTTACACTAACGTCGTTCAGACCCTCTGGACCTCTTCCGAGGCCGAGCCCGCTGCTGAAAACGCCCCCGCCGAAAAGAAAGAGGATGCCCCCGCCGCTGAGGCTGAGGAGAAGCCCGCTGAGTAAAGAAAAGATGAAGGACTCGCGTCCGGCATGGATGACAGGATCGACCATGGGAAGCAGGCCTAGATTGCCCGCACGATAAGAGGTGGGGGGCACAGATGCAGGAGTTTCAGGGACAGAGGGAGATGCACAGTTACATTTTCATCTGCGTGCATGTTTTGACGACATGCCGTTCTCGAGAAACGTGACTGGTCGCCGTGCTCCTTTTGCTTTTTTTTTACCCTTTTTCTTGCCCCCCAACTTCATTCGGCGGCAACGCATGGCCAGTGAACCGGTTATCTCCATCCGTGGCACGTCGATGCATATATTCGTTGGTTTCTTTTTAATTTACATTTTGCCTATTGCTTCGACTACTCAAAGAATACCTTTCCCTTACCACAACCAGCCCATTCGGATTGTTTCCCATCCCCAAAGCCTTGACTATGTTATGAAATTTGTCTTGGTCCTACCTCTTGTGCCACGTATGGCGTTTGTTGTCGCCTTAGCTCGAGTTTAGATCTCAAGTCCGGCAGTGGCTTCAAAGAAAGTTGAAATTCATATGTTGCAATTCGTAGACACGAGCACTCACTTGAAGCTGACAGCTCCCCATCACAATTTCAGTGGACTACTTTAGCCTTGTCCATTTTCAAATGGAGATGCACCAAAAGTACTTCTGACCTGCCACATCTATCCAATCCAGTCTGTCTGCCTTGGTGCAGGTGTGTTCAGTTCCCCAAAGAACGCAAATGACGTATGCGGCTTGCGCAAACATAGCGTGGAACACAAAGCAGCACACGCCCTTTAATTTCCCTTTCTGCCTTTGTTCTCCTCCCTCGAGTAAAGTACGTGCAGGAGAGGAATGAAGCCCCTTGAGTGCCCCACACAGATCTCCCAATATTACCCGATTCATTCAGGCCGTCCAGACAGGATACGAGAGAGGGGCTCGTACCTGCTCATACAAGTACAAGGAGTGTTTAGCATAAAATCTCTGCTTCTGAAGGATACTTCTAGATTACGGATACTGTGTTTGCAATTTGCCAGGTTTTTCTGCATAGTGGTTTTTGTTTTTGCCCTACTTGTCCATGTCTATTCGAGAGTAGACGTTAAGTATACTTAGCATACAGATAGAAGATAAATAGGGAACCACATAGGTATATTTCATATTTGATTACCTCAACTCTGGCTATACTACGAGTCCATGGACATCTCATGTTTGCCACGTCTATCTAGGTAGGCATTCCAAATGCTCATGGTCTCGGCGCACGTAGATCTAGCTAGAGCCGCTGCTTGAAAAATATCATTAGGCAGGGGAGTTCAAGTCCCATAATGTCCAATATAAGGTTGGGAATCTAATGTAAAGTTAGGAATCGTACCGGTACCTCCGTGACGATCCAAGTCTAGCCAGGCCGTCCTTTGGGCGAGGAACTCCAGCTCTCTATAATACATTCCATTCAGAATAATGCTGTAAAAGCCGTTGTAATGATTGCAATCTGCTTTTCGATGTTAGATACTACTTCCAGGGTCGGTCGAGTTCGTCGCCTTAGGGCTCGCTCGTTGCTATATCTGGTCTTGGGGTATTTCAACATGGTAAAGTAGTAGATTTAATACCTCTGGGCCGCTGGGAATAGTACGGTTAAACATGGTCTAATGTATGAATCAGTATCAGTATCCATTCTGTGAAAAGCATCTCGACCTGGACAGAGCTGGATGTGGGAATGTAGGCAAGCTAAGGAGGATAGATACGAGCAGACTAACTGTAGAGGGGCTTGTTTTTTCCTCGATAACATAATGAGAATGTAACTAACTATAGCTTGCCTCTCAACAAGCACGGATCACGATCAGTGTTTAACTATGGAAGTAGCCTAAGCAACAACCCATTCCCACCACGTATCTACGCACCACACTCACGAGGGTCTAGTAATCCCTTTTAAGAAGCACTGAAACTAATATACAGAGTACGTACGGAGGTACCTGATACCATATTACAGATGTACCGGAAAACATTTCCCCAGCTTCGGATGACGCTATCAAGCCCAGGGCACATCACCTGGTACAGCGGCTGGGTGGTGGCTGGCGGCTGGCTTGGACAATTGCGGATGTGGCGCTCGCCTTCGTCCCACTTCCAGGGGAATGGGATAGCCAGGCTCAATCGGGTCGGGCGCTTTATTTTTATTGTATTTTATTTTATTTTATTTTATTTTTGGTTTTTTGTTAATCCTCAGCTATTTCCAATACCAAGCTGCAGTAGTTTTAAGCTTGGGCATGAGTTTATTCAATTAGTGTTGATATGTAGTTCGTTAAGGAGATTTCAAAGGCTGTCATAGACATGGGGATGGGCGGGTAAGAGATAAGATGGTTTATTTGAATTTTTTTTTATTTGCTTTGCTAAGATGAATAACCGCTTTGGTTTGGGGTATGGTAAAAGCAGATGTCTTCAGAGCCCACAAGTGGATGTTTGTTGACGTCGACGTAGATGTCAACCCGAATCGAATCGTCAGACCAGGACGATTTCCAATGTACAGAGATAATGGGGGCGGAGAAGGTATAATCCGGTGCATGTGGAGGAAAAAATGGAAGCAACGAAGACAGGAGAAGAGTCTGCTGCTCCATAAGAATGTTTTCCAGCCCTTTTTGCTTCGGATTTTTGTAAACCGTGCAGCTGCTTGCTTGCTTGCAGATCAGGGCCGTGAGAAACAAATGCAACTCCCAGTAACGGTTTCCGAGTCTAAAAAAAAACAACAAAATTGCCCCCAGTTAAAAAGAGGAAAAGGAAAAAAAAAAAGCTGCCCTAACGCCGAGCGTGCTATGCCACAAAAATACACCATGCCGCCCGTAGAAGTTGAGAAAATAGAAATCGGTGAAATGTGAGGTCGAGGTTTGGTGGAGAAGAATAATGGTCAATATGAACAGTTAAAGCCCGAATTATCTGAGCGAATGTGTCACACTGCGGAAACGCCGGTCAAAGATTGGCCGTTGCCGTCTCGCATCAGCGCCAAGGCCGGTGATCAGACCTCAGCAGCCAACACATAGCACGCAATGGTGTCAGTCTTTCGACAGGATGTCATTCGGAGATGAAGGGATACAGCGACGAGCGAATAAAACAGAAGTGGAACGTCATGTTAATGCGGCTGGTGGACGCACTTGAAGACGAATCAACAACTGTGAAGTCGGCAAGTAATTAAAGTTCGAGTTGTCCTTTCATCAAGCGGCAATTGTGTGAAATGAGAATCATGTGGTCCTTGTCGTAAATACTGCCTCATCGCAAGCCAAGGCAGTGGGCCTTGAAAATAAAAGATAAACCTCGACCCCAGGATTTGACCACGTGCGTTGCTGGATGTGTTCTTCCAGTCGTAGACTGTTGTTCGATGAATTGGTGATAAATGACCGCATAAAAAGTACCCGTAAAACACCAGGAAAATATGCGTGAAGATGGATATATCATAGAAAGTGATTCGATCTTTCGCGGATTTCAGAGCGAAAAGAGAAAAAAAAAAAATTCCTGGCAGTTTAAGGCGCAGGCCAGGATGGCGACGCTGCGCTCAGTCTACTTCTGTGACTTCTTGACTTTGGTGGTACTGGACCTCGACATCTCGCTCTTCATATTCCGAGTTAATCCGCCAATGTAGTCCTGCAGGAATCTGTTTTCGTTTTCGAGTTTGTCGTGATCTGTTTTCACAGCATCGATTCGTTCGGCTAGGGCTTGAAGAGACGACTGAAGGGCCTTCGCTTGTCTTCAAAGTAAAGAAAAGTTAGGTATTGAGCAGTAAAGTGGCATTGCTTGCGTCAGCACTTACTCTTGAAGGGTTTGTCTGGCCTCCTTGCCCAGTCGCTCGAGGTCTGCGGAATTGCGACGAGGACTCATGGCTCGCGCGTCGTCAGGGGGGAATTCTTCTTCTTCGATTTCAATTTCTGGGTGATCCCGGGGTACTAATATTGAAGCGCTCGGCTTTCGACTAGCCATACGCGGACGTTCGGGGCGACCCCTTCGATCGGTTTCCGCGTCGGATATGGAAGAGGATGAGGAGAGCGATGACATATGGGCACGGTTGCTTTCATTCGGCTGAGGCAGAGTCGGAACCGGAGAAGAGCCATGCACATCTGACGTCGATGCCATATTATGGGGGGTAGAACACCTGTGGTCGACGCTGAACGGGTTCTATGGTCTGAGGCCGACGAGAACCAGGGGAGGGAGAAAGGTTGATTTGTAGGCGACAACGGGTAAATAGTAACACCACTTGTTGAAACTACCTCTAGCGATCACCTCAGATGAAGAATCTGCGTTTCGCTGGAGGTAGCTGTCGTGAGCGCTTCAGAGGGTTGTCCCTGGGGAGAAGATTTCCAGAGTGGTGAAGCGGAGGCAAAAAGCCGGGGAGAAGGGAAGGATGGGAAGAAGAGAGGCGGCAGAGGCGAGATAGGGAAGAAGGGAAAGGAAATGGAAAAGAAAAGAGGAAAGAAAACCGGAGGAGACCGTTTGGAGCGATCCAGGGGAAGGGGAGGAAAGCTTGAAAGAAGTGAATTGGAGGGGTGGAACTGGGTTTTAGCGAAGGTTGGGGACTGAGCGACGCCGAATGGATGCTTTTGCAACAAAGCAGTTCAAGGAATGTCTCTTTTGAGGGGCCGCTGCTTTCGAAGTTGGTTGCAGTCTGTTTGGGGAAGAGCAACTTCTACTATCAGGGCGTGTTTTTCCCTTTCTCGGACTCGATATGAGGGCGTATTATTGCGGTTTGGTGGTGTGAAGAAAGTTGGTTTGTAAAGCCTGAAAACGGCGGGCAGACTCCGGGTCAAAAGAACCGTCTCCCACGCAAAACGAGAGATTTGGAGGAAAATGTATCCGGCCAGGAGGACAACAAGAAACGAATGCTGTTTGGAGAGTGAAGATCCTTGTAACTGTGAAAGGAGAAGCGGTGGAAGGTGGAAGAGTCTCTGATCAAAGATCCAAATACCGATGTATTCCTGCCAGTCTCCCGATCTTCATCTGGAAATCGTGAAATCGTACTTTCGCAGGCGTATCGGTGCTGTATGTGTTCCTCTTGTAATATATACAGTATCGCTGTTTACAAAATTACCACTAGGTCCAAACGGAGTTAGCGGTACCAAAGAACTCGTGGCCGCCACTGACTGAACGGATCCCCAGTCAAGGTGCGAGTCTACCGTCTACGAGTCCCTTTTGTTAACTGGCGTGTTGCGCGTATGAGACATTTTCCTATACCTCTCATGATATGTGACACTCTGCTCGCCTCTCAGCTCGGTGAAGGAGGGAAATCTTGTGTTTGGTCGGTGGGGGCGTTTTAGGGGGTTCGTTGCTGGAGTTCGGTCGGCCATCCACGGTTCTTTTCGCGCGCGTTCCAACATTGTCAGCCCCTTGGTTCGACAACGCTCAGCTGGGAGGGGCAGCAACGCCAACCAACGAGAGCCCGCTGCCGGGGAATAGACGGTGATCCTCATCATCGTCCGCCAGAGTTGGAACGTACGCAATATGATGATCAAGGCTGGCGATGCCGAAGGAGGATCATGGGGAAACGGCCTGACTTGCGAATAAATCATTCCATACACTGCATGCGCCCATGCGGTCACTTTCCTCTACTCACTACGCTTCCCGTGTTGTTGCCAGTTGCCACTATCTGCGCCCTACTTCAGCCTCTCAGGCCCGCACTCCGCAATCGCCTCGCCTCTCCAGGCGACACACCGAAGGAGCAAATGACATTCCGTCCGCGCCTCTTCAAATGCGCACTGCCAATGAGATTCACCCGAGGCGATCAAGAGTATGGGGTCAGGAAGAAGCCATGCCGTCTCGGTTACGGGGTGGCTGAATTTCTGAAATAAAGGTCCCATGCCGAGGAAAGAATATGAGGTCACGCACTGTCGATCAACTGAGAGAGACACCAGACGGGGATTCTCTGCAGTTATGCGAGGTAGGGGAGTCAGAGGCTCCAACTCCGAGTCAACACCATCATCCAGGGCATGATTACTTCTTGTTATATCCCCGAAATATCGCAGCATCCATTCTTTCTTCAGTTGGTCTGAAATACATTACACAGCAGATGTAAGGTGGAACAGTACTGGTGACTAGTGACTGGAGCCTTTGCTCCTCCCCACCGTCAAGCAAACGTCTGTCGTCGGGCGATCTCTACCTGCAATGGCATCACTCAACTTTGATGTTTCACGCTTGATTGGCACCTTATTTGACCTGTCTGCAAGCTCCAGTGATTATAATTTCGACCCTGAAAAGAAATTAGGTAGAAGGAAAAAAAAAAAAAAAAAAGAAAAAGAAAAAAGGAGTTGGACCTCGAAGAGTGTCTCCTCATGCCCGGGCCGCTAACGATGTCATCGTCACACTGGACAATCATTGGAGATATATAGAATTAATACACCTTAATTGTATGCACCGAGTCCGACACTTCATTTTGCTTGGCTGGCGACCCCAGAAGGATTCAGGAAATGGCATGTCGCCAGTCCGGGGGGTGCAGGATGCGCCTGCCAGTAGCTCTCAAAATGCCCGATCCAAAATGGCGGGTACCAAAGAAGATCGATGGCAAGGGGCTTGGAAAGGAGACAGAATTTTCCTTTCCAGTTCCTCTCTCGACTAGGCGTGTCCCTTGCGGTTCCAGGAGTGGGCCGAGTTCCCAGCCCACTTTGAACCAGCAGTTCAACTTCGTACGTTTAGACGTTCTTAACCTCATCCCTCTTGTCGGTGTCGTCACTTGCCCCATTGGGATGAAGGACTAGCACCACAGCGGCAGAGAATATCATGGAGGCGTCTTATTGGCCTTTGTGCGTCATTTGCCTCCGGCGAGCGGACGAGACCTCAAAATCGGAACTTCAGAATTATTCTTTTGGCGTGAGTGGACTACGATGACTGGATGGCCACCGCCTGACTGGAGAATGAGATTCTGTCAAACAGGGTGGTGCACCGCCATCCGCTGAGCCTATGCCGACGGCATAGGCAGAGGCAGAAACAGAAACAGAAGCTGTTTCAAAACCCGCCCACTCCATGTCTGGGGCGAGAAGGATATACGTCATTCGACAGGCCCCCTTCAAAGCTTCAGCCGTTCAACGGATGCTGGAGGCAACAAAGAAAGTAACTGATCGGGGACCACTCCACAGCTCCCGGCGGGACCAGGAATCGTGGTTTCTTCTGCAGCAGTGCCGAGTGCAGGCTGCTGCCAGCCTGCCACTGTCAACGTACATGAGCCCCCATCAGGTGAAAACTGCCGGAACGTTTCCCCGGCTGTTCCCTCCCACAAAATAGGCTAGAGAATGCGATCGAAAACTGTAATGCCGAAATAACAACCTCTCGGGCTCTCGCAGGTCACGTTGCCCATTTTGTTGGCATGTCTTGACCGACAACACATCTTCAACACGAGAAGTTTGTCCCCTCCCGTCAAGACAACAAAGACAGTCAAACAGCGGCAAAGGGCTAAGACGCTGGGACCCAGTTGAGGCCGTTCCTGTCGCCCCCGCATTAATATATAGACGACGGGTAGCTTGTGACCGACGAAGACAGCCTTACACCGGTGTAGAGCCAGGAGCTCAGGACTCCCTTGAAGCAATGCCGCCGCTGTTGAGTTCTTCACTTGGATCGCCTTGTCATAATATTAGTGGATCAAGTGCGTCCCTTTTTCAAGTGAACGAGCGAGTGTCTGAGTGGCCACTACTGGCCTTCAGCACTCAACAGACGCGTGAATTCTCCGCCTGATGGTAAAATACACTGGATACTATACGATACTGGACCGTACACAGTTGACCGGGGAAAAGCAATAACATACGTACCACATACGGTAAGGAACTTTCGTTCGGGTACGTCCCACCGTCCGCCGCCGCGTGACTCGCGGGTCCCTCCAGGGCTCTCCACCGGCCATTCCTCATTTCCAAGGTCCATGGTCCATACTTCCAATCGACAATGCCATTTTGAGGCGGATTCAGGCAGTTCCAGCTGCTGTAACATTGTCTCATACTTGGATGATGTTTATTTGTTTACCACGGCGACTGCGATACACCGAGCCCACCCCAAAACCCGGGGGAGGAATGATTTCGTCATGATGGGCCTTGACATCACTGGCTGCAATCATCCCTGCTCGGCTGATAAAGAACGGTGCTGATCCGCAACCGGCCATTGGCTGCCGCCCACCCTCCATTTTCGAGTTGGCTGTTGGTCAGCATCTGCGTTCATTATTTACATGGGAGACGTCGATATCTTCATAGCTGACGGGGGAGAATGAAGCATGTGTGGATGGCATCGACCCCAGGAATATCTTGGGGCAGAGGCATGCGCAACTGGTATGTTCAACCCAGCATCATTGGATGTCGTGTTCATAAGGCTGACCGGCCAATGAGTACTCGACGGCGCCCTCCGCCTGCAACAATGTAATCTGTGTGACGATGCTGGTGACTCCCTTGTGCATATCAAAATTGCGCAGGACTCCTTCAATACCCATTCGACAATATCCATGAATGTTTCATGTGTTAACTAGAGCCTAAAGTACAACTCCAAAAAAGGAAATATATAGTGCATGCTTCCAATTCTCGAAACTCGAAACACCCGACCTCCCCGTCGCCCGTTGACCAATTTTAGCAGACAAGCACTCCTAGCCTTGAACCCTGCCTTGGAAATGAGGAATCCCCACCTGCGCGGCTGCATGTGGCTTGAACGCCCAACCTACTGGGCTCTTATCTTGATTCTTGAATCTTGATCAGTGCGTGTGGTAATAACATCTCCATCGCGGATATTATCCGGGCTTGATGAATACGCCCGACAGGTATCAAGGGGGAGTGCAGATGTAACCATTAGAGCCCGTCCCGGCGTCCATACCTTTACGCCGGGCGATCTGCTGCACATCTCAAACATCGGTGAAGAACATCCACGTCCAACACATCTCTCAAATAACCTCAAATATCCAACGACCCAACAAGGAAGGAAAAAGCAAAGAATACCCACACTGCCACAGATTACCCGCAACTACCGTCAATAATAATACCCACCCACTCTGCAAGACGTCCAAAAAAATGCAAAGACGCGCAAAGCGACACAACCAATCAATGCCCTATATAGATTGGAATTCATCCAACCCTCATCGTTTTAGCGTGGTATTTTCCCTTCTTTTATTCCTTCTCTGGCACCTCATACCAATCTTCCACGTACTGGGCCTCAACGGGGCAACATCGAATCCACCCGGTCACGCGGAAGTATCCAGTAGGTCTTCAACTTCAAGCCTTCATCGTGAGTTGGCAAAGACACGAGTCGCAGTCTCGTCGCGGACATCCTGAAGATCATTCAAGCAGTCCCATTACGAATTCTCCAGGCTCCGGGATTGCAAACCCAGCTCCGATGCAGCCACCCACTTCTCAACTTCAATGGGGAATAAGCCAGTCTCCCGGAATGACTGCGACTAGGTGCGGTATTATTCAAAAGATGCGGTTTAGGTAACCCCAGGGCCTTCAAGTAAGACAGAGAAGCTGTCGCTGATATCAACATCAGGGGTGGATTGAGAATGCGACGGGGTTCTGTACTCTGTAGCACACGGGTCTGTATCAATGCCACAGTGAGAGCTTGGGTACCGTCACTCATTCTGCAGTGTACTCTTTCAGGTAATCCTTCGGTATATTATCGTCATCCTAACCATGGCAGATATCCGACTCGACCTTCCTCTGTCGAATTTATGAGGAACTCCTTGTAAATCGGATGTTGTAGAAGTCGGTCAGTACGTATTGATATGGATATGGATTCCTGCATGGATGCGCGCAGATCCGCAGTTCCTTCTCGTCTCCACGTACCATAATCGACCATCTCTCTCCCTAGAGGCTGGCTGCAAGCCTGCAACTAACTCACGGGGACAACCTTACCATACTTACCTAGCTAGGTATGGTGACGACCATATTGTATCAAAATCCAAACAACGTAAGCACCATGTCAACCACGAGAGAGAACAAAAAAATTCCGCCAATCCGCAAAGACAAACGGTTGACCGCAAGGCAAACGGCACTGACAACGGACATCCATATCAGGTGAACAATAATAATCAACGATTCATGGATTCACGCAACCCACCATGGCACCAGACGACCTCAACCCATTTCCTTAGCCCTTTAAACTCCACAGCCTCCGATGCACATTGCCTCCTGCCAGGACCTTCGTGTATCGCCATCGCCATCGCCATCGCCAATAACTCGCCCGGGCGCTCACTCCCAGAGAGTCCCAAGGACAGCCCGGAACAGGGATTTTCTCCATTCCTAACCAAGAGCAGGATAGCCCCAGGACCTGCTCCGACTTAGGCAGAGGCGAAGGATTCGACCGACCACCTGGGCGGGTTCCTTCGGTGATTTGGGCGATTCGAGGGGGCCAGTGAGCGGCGCGGTTTAGGGGGCTCGATGAGGAGCGTTGGAAACTAATTTTCGATAGACTAACAGTCACTAACTGCTCTTGGCCTCTTAGTCTTCTATAATATATGAAGGTTATATTATTATTCGGGTTCATTTTGGGGCCGGGACCGATGGACTGAATTAGTTTAGTTGCATACGGAACTAGTAGGGGAGAGACTGGGTTCAATTACGAGGCCGTTTGTGCCGGCTTCGACTATTGATTTGTTTGGTAATTTACAGATCGGAGGTATTATTGATTTGGTGTATAAGGATATCTTTCTTTATATCCTGGTGGATAGGACACGAGGACAACATACAAGCACACAGGGTACTGCAGTGCCGAGGCTAAACTACCCATAGTATTAAGGGGGGCTTCCCTAGCTCGTAGAGCTTCAAATGAAATCCCCGGACAGGGACGGAGTCGTTTTCCATTGGAATAAGGCTCGGAGGACCGAGACGCCCCCAGACTGCGTTTCCACTGTACGTCCTCGGCCACGGTCGTTGTATTCAGGTTGTCCGTTTCGAGCCATCACCGCCGCTCCCTTGGACTCCGGCGCTGACGTCGCGTTTGTCGACCAGGATGGTGGCATCAACTCGGGGTGATTGCGGTAGTCTGTTGCACCGTCTGGTAGAGGGCTGATTTCGTCGGACATCGAATCCTCATCGTCACCGTCATCGTCAAATACCTGGTGCCGCTTCCCCCACCACATACCGAATTTACCCTCTTGGTTTCGCGTAACTAGAGCTGCCTCAGCGTTGCGCTCGATCCATGGACGGTATGTTCTGCACAATGACTGGTGTAGTTCAAAGGAGCGCTCGAAGTGGTGGCTTTGCAACCACGATTGTGTGCGGAGGAAGCGCTCCTCCTGGGGACGGAGGGGTCGGCAGAACTCCGCGAAATGGGTGAAGAAGATGCCCTTGAATGTTTGGCCGTCTTGAGAACAGTCGCCCCTTGAATCACAATAATCTTCGAGGATTCCTGCGCGGCCGAGGCCCTTCCAGCGTTGGCCGTATATATTAGGCCAACCCGTTGCTCGTTGGACATTATTGATGAGGTCGTGCCCGTCAGAGAGGTATTCATCTAATCCGGTGGCCAAGAAAAGGCCTCTTAGCCCACTGAGTATCACCCCTTGGTTGTATGTGTACACCATTGTGTTGAGCTCGTCACATCGAGCTGTTCCCGGCTGCTGGGGACTTTTGTAGCCAGTTATGTGGAATCCATCGCCATACAGGTCGTGGACCCCTGTCATGTTGGAGTGCTTCAGCCATCTGTATGCCTCTTGCGCTCTGCGAAGATAAACAGGATCATGAGGCAAACCGTCATCAGAGTCTCCGCCCTGCAAAAATGGCGAATCGATCAGGTCACCGGGGAAATAGAGGTACATCCCAATGCTGGCCGATATATACAATTCATTCGTAATAGCATTTTTGTACGGTAGTAGGTACGGACTCCAAATCATACCGCCTCCGCAGACGGCTGTGTCCCAGCCCGCCGAGGCAAGGTCATAGAATATCCGAGCACGGTGCGCCGCCGGTGTCTGGAACTGCGTCCCATGCCACGGCCGTCCACCACTCCTGGACAAGCCCTCATAGTGCAAATCAGAATGCAGCACCTGGAACTTGATATTTTCCAGCCATCCCAGCACAACCCATAGCATATCATCATACGCCTGGTTTCTCAGCGCGAAATCATTCTCTCCAAAGTAGTACGTCGTAACTTGTGCGAAGAAACGGCTGACAAGGTTCTCGAGCGCCACATAGTTCTGAGCTGCCGCGCCGCCATCGGATACGCTCGCATTTCTTAGCAACTCCGCCATCAATTCATCGTCCATGGATGTAGTCAGCGCAGCAAGTGTCGCAGACACATGTGTCCCATGGACAGCCCTAGTCCAGTCATTGCCAGACGGCCATGTACCCTCCCAGAGGACAAAGTATTCATCCTGCATTACATCGAGAGCGCCTACAAGATCGCGCAATGTCTGTTTGTATAGCTTCGCGGGGGGCGGCAATTGATGGTTGTCGTCGCGATAGAGGTCGGCCGGCGGAGCTGGGTCGCCCTGCGAAAGTATCCGCGCATAGCCCTCGGAGAGACAGCCTAACAATAAAAGGCACCATAACGTCCTGAGGAGCGGTACCATTGTAATGATGCCTTTGCGCGCTGTCTCCCCCAACCCGAGTTGGAGGAAAGCGCTGATGTCGTCAGCGAAGGATAAGAGGCCGATAAGGACGGAGGACCGCCGAAGACTCGGTGTGAGGAGAAGTAGGGAGATGGATAGATGGAACCCGCGGCGCGCATCCAGTTGAAGAGGGCAGGCGCGTCTACATAACCCAATGCATCCTCATGGGATTCTGGGGGAAAAACAATGAATAATTGCCGATTGAGGTGAATTGAAGTGGACAGGCCTAAGATGCGAGAAGCGGGGAGGAGCTTGGGGGTCGCAGAGTCTCGTCCCGTCCCTGCGGCTTCCCCGACGTCAATGGAATGCTCCGCCTGACGCGGCGCACAGTGAAGAATCTGTAATTATTCCATGCCATTAACTATTCTATCCCAATCCAATTGTTCTGCTTTGTATGTCCAATGGTCTACAGAATACATTCACCCTCTTTAGTCCTTGGCGATGGCATCACGCGCTCTCGCTCTCCACGTGTGCAAAGGAACTCTAAGTATGGGTAGTCCGATGTCCCATTCGTCCGCAGAACCGCATGGTGCGTCGAAGCCATGCATTGAAGTATAGAACGAATCGCCTGTCATACTGCACAAGGTACTTTCTACATTGTCTCTCGTATAGGAGCTTATGCGAATGCGGGGTCCAAAGGTAAAAAGACAAGGGCATAGGTCCCAGTCACACGACACTTTATATTGTTTATGTGGATATCACGCGGGAAACCCGATCGTAACAGCCCAAATTTTGAAGACGATTTGATATCTCAGTAGAATTAAGATCGGTGGGTATCTATGTTACGCGTCAGCTGGGGCGAAGGAAAGAGGAGTCTCTGTCGGGTCATCCATACCACACCAATCAATATAAATGACGCCGGCCAGTATAACCCTGAAATCCACTCCGCTCAAACATTCAACCATGTTCTGAGAGAGGGACGGAGGATACTGCCGGCTAGTGTCGCTTTACTCGCGGCACAACCTTTGCTTGAATCGAGTCCGAAAGCCGATAGCAGCATTTTTTTTCTTTTCATATTCTTAACCGCCGAATGTAACCAAGTGAAGGGGAAAACACGGTAAAGCGCGCTGAGTGAAAATGGGAAATAGGAAAAGAAAGAAGCGACTTCATCTCAGAGCAACGGCGATAGTAAATCATATGGTATCTTAATCCCTTTCGTTCTCAGCTCCGGGGCTGCGGCTTCGGTCACGGCTCCTGCTGCGGTTTCTTCCTCCACGGCCGCCTCCTCTTCCTCCGCCTTTCCCCTTGTTATTGGATGGCGGTGGTCGAACAAATGCGTAGTCGACTTCGAGGGTTTGGTCAAGCAACTTGGAACCATTCAATCCCTTAATGGCCTCGGCGGCTTCGGGGAGCGTTGAGTATTCAATCAATGCGTATCCCTAGGCAAGCAACAAAGTCAATATCCATCGCAAATCTAGATCGAAGACCGAAAGGAAAGGTGGGATGAATCTACCTTCACGTAACCCGTCCGGCGGTCAAGGTTCAAGCTGAAGTTCTTAATCGCGCCATACTCGGCAAAAAGGTCCGTCACATCTTCCTCTGACGCTTCCTCGTGGATGTTCGTTACAATCACAATCCACCCTTCAATACTGCGCACTGCAACAGCGTTGGATTGCGTCCTGGCATCGGTGCCGCCAGTGCTCGTCTGCTCGGGGGCTTGCTCCTCCGCGACAGGAGGGTCGACTTCCATTTCACCAGACATTATGATGGCCTAAGCGATAAAAGGTATTTCAGTAGAACGGCGCGGGGCAGAACGAGTGACGTGGATGGGCGACAGAAAGACTTGTGAATGTCAGGGTCGCGAGGATCTGGTCGATGAAGCTTTGGTGTGCTTATGTAATCAGATTGTATTGAACCGCAAACCGACATTCCAATAGGCGATAAGGCGTCAAGGGAATTGAAAAGGGGGTACTGTTTTATATCATAGGATAATGTAGCACTTTGTATACTCTGAAGTTGGTGGGATTGTGCGCTGACCCTAGAGGTTGAAGAGCGTTGACAATCACTAATGCCATCAGGTGCCAGGCACAACAGTTTGCACCGCCAGATATCAGGTTATATAGGAACCTGTCGCCAATTGCTAACGTATCTATACATTATTATAAATAGGATTTCTGTAGCTATGTCCAATGAAATGTCATGTGCTTTTTGGCTTTGAAGACTGAAGGTGAACCTTGACAAGCTGTTGGCTTGCAATATATAATTCTGTGGGTGTTCGATGCCCCCAACAATACCAACAGAGTGTTGCTATGTTCCAGAATGCATGTCCCTTCTTTTGCAATGGATATGCAACAATGGAAAGGAAACAACAATTTCAATGATAGTATTTGTGGTATAAGGCTCACAATTCAATATTATCCCCATACCTTTCGCTCTCAGCCCCGCAGGTATACTAGAAACCTGAAGAGTAGGATATGAAGAAGTAGGATACACTCCTGGAGAATACTAGATTATAGGATAAGCTTCTGAGGAGCAAAGTGAGGCTGATAGCAGCCTGTGTGTTATGCTTGGTACAGTGAATATCAGGGCAGGCCTAATGGAAGATATGGTAAAGAATGGCCAGACGCCTTTGAAGAGCCACAAAGACCCTTGAGCTTTCACAATGTTCTATGTTCAAGTGAATCAGCCCTGTATTTAATTGGCAGTTCCCCGAGTGCCTACCTTCTAGAAGCCAGGTATTCATAACATTGCAGATGTGAAACCCCAAGGTCGATTCGGGCTCATATGTGAAGAGGACGCTGAAAACCGCTCATAAGTAAGTGAGTGAGAGCCTACCACCCGCCATAACAACTGTGTTATGAGGGTCTCTGACCTCAATTCCTTTCTCTTCTCTCAGTGAGGCTTCTTGAAGCCAAAGAGAAGCGAGACGTTGCTTGAGAAACCGTGACCTTGGAGTTATCCAAAGCAAGCATTACAATATGTTGTGGTAAGTCCTCGCCCCCATACCCCCAACGATGACTTCAAATACTGACGAAACCGCTCCATTAGCCAGGACCCAAAGTGTATCTGCCACCCGCGCAAGCCGAAGCCCTTCCAGAGGCTCAGACTCACCCTCCGCGGCCCCAATCCAGACCAAGTTCGTCGACTTGACCAGCCAGGCGCACAGCTCGACATCATCTTCGACCTGATAGGAAACAACATCCATCTACGAGAAGCAATCGGCGATCCCGAATTCCGCGATACCTCATACTCAATCAACTTCTTCATAGAGTCCAAGATGATGCAATTCGAAAACCTGAAAGGTCTACCGAACAACGATCTCCTCCTCTCCTTCCGCATGCGAAGCTCGTTCTGCTGTGCATGGGGCAAGAACAAGATGAGATACAGGGAGAAATACAAGGGATTTTCGCCTAACAAGGCGGAGAGTAAGCTGTACAACGAGTTTTACCAGTGCGATTGGCCCGAGCAGCACCTCGAGCTACTTATGCCGGCAGATCGCATCATGGGATGGAAGACTGTTGCCCTAATTCTGAAGACTTTCAAGCGCATATCGCCGGAGAATTGGTGCCGTATGGTGAAACTTGGAAAGACAAAGAAGTTTCCTCGCGTTGCGGGCTTGGACTGGATGGCTATTGAGGCTGATGTGATGCCCAAGAAGGAAGAGCTTCCTCCTACTCCCGCGATGACGCCCGAGGAAGAGAAGAAGATGTACTTTTTTGCCCAACAGAAGAAGATAGCAGCGAAGAGGGCATATCACCAGCAGTTAGCTGCTCTAGCCATTTGATGAGCAGGTGTATGAATGTTTGCATGCATCCACGCCACTTGGTTTCTTTGCACAGAAACAACGGGTGATCTGATCATGACGGCTGCATCTGACACTGCAAATATTTTCATTTTCGGGGGTGGATTTGTCTTAAGATACCCATACATGAATGGCGTTCTGAATAGTACAGGGTCAGGAAATTGGGACTAATGTTTATCGACCTGGAATATACATAGAAGTCGTTTACATATGGAGCAATGAAATGTTGTTAATAGCAGTACTACCAGTCGTCAGTAGATTATTACAAATAATGTCACAGTTTAAGTTCATTGCATTAGAATGGTCCAAGTCTGTTTTTCAATCTTTACGAGGACATACAAAATAGCTTTAATTCAAGGCTTTGCTGAGGTGACAGACCTTGACATGTTCCCATCATCCATCTCTTTTTCCTTCGAATGGTTCTGAGTTTACATTGTGTTGCTCACCTCATCCCTTTGTGTTGTTTAAAACTAGCAACTAATGGTCACTTTCACCAATCGATTTTGAATTGTAAGCTGTCGTACATTCATATTTATCATCCATTATTCCTCCCATTGGGCCTTTACCCCTCGTTCTGTTATCATCCACTCGTTAGTTCTAAGGATACGATGGTGTTTTCACGATGCCTGCTACAATGGCTTTATGCTGCTGCATCGGTGACGCTTCCCATATCGGTACTTTCAGCAAATATCGATGCCTGGAAAACAAGAACCGTCTACCAAACCATGACCGATCGCTTCGCCCAAACGGATGGGTCGACCACTCGTGCCTGCAACCTTACAGAAGGAATCTACTGCGGTGGAACCTGGAGAGGAACGATAAACCGTCTTGACTACATCCAAGACATGGGATTTGATGCCGTCATGATATCCCCAATTGTAAAAAACATCGAGGAGCGCGTTTCATACGGAGAAGCATACCATGGCTACTGGGTTCAGGACATGTACACCCTCAACCCGCATTTTGGGACCCATCAGGACTTACTGGACTTGAGCCAAGCTGTCCATGATAGGGGTATGTTCCTCATGATGGACACCGTCATAAACAATATGGCTTATCCTACAAACGGTGGGAATCCGGCAACTGATGTTAACTACTCCTCTCTCATTCTCTTTAATGACCAGGGGTTCTATCATCCTTACTGTAAGATCTACGACTGGAACGACTACTCTCAATCTCAGTATTGCTGGACCGGCGATGATATTGTTGCCCTCCCAGATTTAAACACAGAGGACGACCGCGTTCAAGCCATTCTCGAGATGTGGATTCAGCAGATGATATCAACCTACTCAATCGATGGACTTCGCCTGGATGCCGCAAAACACATCACGCCGGGCTTTCTCCCCAGGTTTCAAGAAGCAGCTAATACCTTCATGTTTGGAGAGGTATATGAGAGATCTGTTGACATTCTCTGCAATTACCAGAAAGACCTCAAAAGCGTCACTAACTACCCCATCTACTTCGCTCTCCTCGACGCTTTCACCCTCGGCAACATAGAGTCCCTCCCAAACCAAGTCGAGACCATGAAGAACCGATGTCCCAGCGTAACAGATCTCACAATATTCTCCGAGAACCATGACATTCCGCGCTTCGCAGGCTTGAACGATGACATAAACGTAAGCCATCACTCCCTCAAATCCCCAAACTCTTACGTAGGGCACACTACCGAGTCTAACCTAACCAAACCAAACCACTATATAGCTCGCCAGAAACATCCTAACATTCACCCTCCTCTTCGACGGCGTCCCGATAATCTACCAAGGCCAAGAACAACACTTCTCAGGCTCCAAAGACCCTTATAACCGCGAAGCCCTCTGGCCCTCAGGCTACAACACCTCGTCCCTGCTCTACAAAACCATAACCACACTGAATGGGATCCGCAAGCACGCGATAAAACTTGATCCGGGTTACTACGTAAACTACAACACGTACCCCGTCTACCGCGGGTGGTCGGAGATGGCCTTCAGGAAGGGCCGCGATGGGCACCAGGTTATTATGGTCTTGTCGACGCAGGGGGTCAATGGCGGCGCATATACCATCAGCATGATGGATGGATTCCAACCGTCTGTTGTCGTTATGGATGTGTTTAGTTGTAGCACGTGGACTGTTAGTGATATGGGCGAGTTGAGGCTTGATATGGATAAGGGCGAGCCGAGGGTATTAGTGCCGCGGGACATGATGCCTGGGAGCGGCCTTTGTGGGTTTGGGTAGGCGCAAGCTAGCTAGCACTGGAATCATGTTAATAAGCCTTACCCCCAGGTGTCTGGAATGGGTAGGAGTCGGGGCGTATAGTAGGTAGGTGGGGGCACTTTGGATGTTAGGGCTGACTTTGCCATGTGCTAGCTACCTTTAGTGTCCAATGGTTCTTTCCCGGAAGTTAGATTGTAGTTCTTAGAATTTATTTTAATGGAAGAGATCGAAAACCATGGCAAAATTTCTCTCTTTTTTTTTTTTTTCCTATTTTTTAACTGCTGGTTGGAGTGGAGATTTGTCTGTATCTCCTTTGACCGGCAGATACAATATGCTGTAGACGAGAGGAGCCTCATCGTAATGGTTTATGTACATAGAAAATGTGAATCTTTAATGAAATTAACGCGCCATATCAAAACATCCCAATAGAATATGCAGTACAAAACGTCTGGCCGAGCAAGTGTCTTATTAATGGTGGAAAAGGGACCCTGGAAGACCACCATCCGTCAAGTCTAAATAACCTTACCTCCGGTTGTTGTTTCGCATGGCCAGAATCTGGACCATACGGATGAAGATGTTGATAAAGTCCAACTCGAGGCTAACGGACTCGTTGACAACGTCCTTGCGGACAAGGCCCCTTTCGGACATGCGAGCGTGGTGAAGGATCTTCTGGACGTCGTAGAGAGTGAAGCCTCCGAAGACAGCAAGACCACCATACAGCCAGATCTTCTCAGACCACATCAGAGCACGGGTGGCAGTGGAGGGAAGGACAAGAGGCGCGAATCCAGAAAGGGCAACGATAGTCACACCGGCAAGCAGAGGTGCTCCCAGGTACAGGTACTTCTCCTGCTTAGCTGTGGCACCAACGAAAGCGATAGAGCCCATCATTCCAACAGTGTAGAGACCAGCACGAGCGAGAAGAGCGGGGTGCATGAACATCAACGGTGAGAGGAGCGCAGCCTGGGTGATGTTAAAACCAGTCCAGAGACCGTACTTCATAACGTAGCTGGGAGAAAGTTAGCAGCTGAAAGTCGAGCCATTTTCGGGGAAAATATCGAACTTACTTGTCGGGAGAAGTGTAGAAAGTTCCGTACATCGTTCCAATGCTGGCAACCAGACCGACACCAGCAACAAGCCAAGGGTTCGTGGCCATGAGACGATACGACCATCCGCTTGAGTGGAGAGCTCTAGCAGCAATACCGATGATTCCAATACCAAGTCCAGTGTGCATGAAAGTTTCGTTCAGATAAGACCGTTCGTAGTGAGGCATTCCGCCGTCTTCCCTTGTCTCCCGGTTGAAGATCAAGTTTGTCGCCAAGATAGTTCCACCAACGATGGCCGCGCCATAGATTAGCTTCTGGGTCATATCACCCTGCGAAGCATTGGCTGTCGGCTGCATGTATGTGCGACGGAAGGCATTCTGGAAAGTCTGTCGAGACTTCGCGAAGATGGAAGAGGCGGGGGTGAGAGGCTTCGGTTGAGCCGGCTTGAACGGAGAGCTGTGGATGAAGCGAGCGGTGTTTGCGGCCTTGGGTACCTGACGCAGAGCCGTCGGTACGGCAAAGGGGCGCCGTAAAAAGAACGCCATGGTTGTGACGAAGATATGATACTAATGCAAGATCCGAGGATGAAACCGAGGTCTTTGTTGGGAGCCTTGAAGCATTTAAAGGTTACAGCCAGTGATATCACCTGCTTACTACGGCGACCCGAACGTTCGAGAAGCGAAGTCGTCACATGACCACCATGACTAAGTCTCGGCCATAGCCCTGTTAACTCCGGCAGACTATCGATCGTGGGGTTGGATTTGAAGCTTCATATCGAAAAGTTCGCCGGTGATAACGGAGGCGTCTCGCTCCAGAAGCTTCGTACCTGACTCATCGGTTGACCCGCATATTAGTTTACAGCCACTTTTCCATCTCTTGATTCCAACAATGTCCTCTTCTCTAGAAACAATCCATCTACCCCACCTCCCCTCTTCGCTCGCTGTACATGCTGCGCTCTATAAAGATGTACAGAATGCTTCTGAATTACGGCAGCAGCTTCTCTCGGCGAACCCAGACTTTGAATATGCGTTTATCGATGCCAGTATGGTATGTTTTGCATATTCATGAAACTGCCTGCCGGCGAATTTCGCTCACAATGGGCACAGGTTCTCTCTCGAGCCCATGCCCTCTCATCCGTCTTTCGCGCTGTCAATGACTACCTGAATGAACGACTCAAGTCCCGCAATATCCACTCAGAAATCGTATTTTCACTGAGTCCGACAAATAACGTGCGTTAAGTCATAGCGAGCCAGTTGTCGGACTTCCAGAGCTAACCCAGGTTAGATTGCCGATTCTTTTCGAAAGTTCGGTATCAGCGACACTACAAGCAGCCTACTTGTGATAAAGGTCTCCGTGACGCCCGATATTACCCATGAGTCCGTTGCCACGCACCTAGCGCAAAACGTTCAGGGCACTCCTTTGCCTTTTGATGATGCGGCACTGTCGGGAATTTCGGACATAACGAAGATTAAGAAAGCTTATAAGCTGGGAGCCTTACCCTCGGTTCCGTCAAACCAGGCGAATGGGGCTTCTGACGAGGGGAAGAAGCGGCTGGAGCTCTCTGTCTTGGGAGCGATTGCACTCCGAGGAGCTACCTGAGTACTTGCGGTGTCGATTCCGCCAGAACCTTCATTCCTCCCGACTTGCACAAAATGCGAAACGCGAGCAGACTTGAGTCGGCTAGCTCATCCACGAAGCCAGCACTAGCAAACCTGTTGGCCCTTAGGCGCAGCCACCCCGCGACTGGATATACTTTCGAAGCTAGTTCTTCCTGTCGCGCTCAATTGTGTCGTGCCTTTAGAACACCGCTGCAAACAGGTTCTACAGCTCACCCGGTTGGCGCTCCAGCAGCCCGCTCTGAAGGGATAATATAACTTCACATTGTCTATAGCAGCAGTAACTACTATAAAAAGCCCAATACCCATGACAGTTCGTAGATCTTGGAGCAATATGCAGGTCTGTGGAGAACTGTGGCTGAATGCCATTGGTTGCCTGGCCTACCACAGGCTCGTCCGAAAGCGGTAACCCGTATTTGCCAAGACCGTCCTTATCGATTGCCCATCTCCAACATTTCAAGGTGGACAAGGTGACTTACCAAAACTTTCAGCTTCACAAACTCCGCCTTACGAGTGGTGCCCAACGTCTCCAGCATGGCTTGCTGTGGTATACTTCTTCACTGATTATCTATGCATGCTCAGTATCATTGCGACTTGTCCCCCCCGCCGCGATGTCTCCTGTTCCCGATATCGTCGTGCTCTCTTCCTCCCCGGAGCACAACGCAATTTGCCCAGCGCCACAACCTGTGAGAGACACGGGAAATGTTTCACTTAACGATAACCTTTCGTCTCCGTTGGTCTCGCCCTCTGAACCGTTTCGGCCTCCGACGCGTTCTAGATACTTCGCCCCTCCGAAGTTCAATCAGCCGGCAACGAAAGCTAGGACAACGGAGGATACACACACGGCAAAGCAGACTGCGACCGAATTAGATGTGGGAGACAAACCAAAATCAATGCCACGAGTCCGAAAGCCTCAAAATGGACTACAAGCGGACTCATGCTACCTGGAACAGGTTGTTTTGGAAAACAATGAGAATGCGGCAACAAAACCTAAGCGGACAAGGAAAACACCAGCTAATAACGGAGCCGGAGACGAAAAACCGAAAAATAAAACAATAACTGGGAAGATCACCAAGTCGGGTACTGCAAAGTCAAAGAAAGCCACTGCAAAGCCGGCGGATTGCGACGTACCCTCAAAGTCTGCGCGAGAAGGAAGTGCTAGAAAGGAAGACCAAGATAGTTGCGAAGAGGGTTTACAACTAGAGCCAGCTGTCAAGAGGAGATTGGATTGGACACCAACGAAGGAACCTACCAAATCGATCCTTGAGCTGGATGATAAGATTGGCGTCGAAAGCAGACAGAATAGCCTCAGCAGTTTACTTTTTGACTATGGCTACGACGGAGTTGCTACTGTCCCTGATAGAGCGCAGGTGCTTGCGGATAATGGACCGACAAAGCGCCGGCGGATAGAGGTACTATACCCATTTAACTGCTATGTCGAAATTATTCAACTAATTCCAATGACCACAACAGCTTGTGGATTCCAGGGTACTTCCTGCAAAGCCAAAGCCATTAGGTGACGATGATTCCCATAATAGTGAGGAAGGCCCGGGCGTATCCGCGACCTCCAAGTCGTCTAAGCCCAGCAAGAAGCCCAAGACGCGGGCCAAACGGTTGACAACTCTGACCGCTCGCGTAACAGCGTCATATCATGAGAAATATACGGATTGCTCAGATTTTACGAGCCAAGACGTCTCCGTAGGTGCTGAGAGCTCAACGGATAAACCGGTGAGCCGCAAAGCGAAGAGAAAGGCCGACGAGAACTCTGGATTTAAAATGCCAAGGAGAATTGTGCTTTCTCCCCAAGACGCCTTGGATTCCTTAGATCAACAGGACCTTGTTTTTGGTACCTGTAGCCAGTTAGAACGGGCAGATTCTCCAACTCTATTAAGAGATACGCAGGCCGCACTTCAAGAGTCGGAGAAGGAGGAGTCGGGTGCACTTCCGTCCCAATCGAAACAATGCCCAGGGCCTGCCCACTCATCCTCTGCCATATCTCGGTTTGCGGCCCCAAGAAACCTTTGGTCCGCTGCAGCTAGAGATACAGAAGGGTCACTTGCAGACGTCGAAGTTGTCAATCTTGTTGACTCACCTGAAGGTTCCAAGGCTACTGCTCCACCTGTTAGAATTGATCAAACCAGCGATGCCAGTGAACCTAGACACTCAAACGACGTATCACGGAAGGATGGTTTGGCGCTAGATGACACGCCTGTCAACAAGGAGCCACCTGCATCTACCGCTCATGTCGTTGAACAACCGACGCGCAAGAAGCCCAAGCGGATGCCCAATTTCAATGGGAAGACTGACCTTGAATTGGAACGGGCGATCAAAAGGTATGGATTGAAGGCGATTAAAAATCGCAAGAAAATGATCGAGCTTCTTGAGAAATGTTGGGTTGCTCAGTATGGACCAGTCGCCCAAGAAGGCCACGATGCATTGCAGCCAAAAGAAACCATCGCGATAAAACCTACTGTCTCTGCTGAATCTCAACAATCCAACATCCAGGAAAGGCCGGAGAAACCTACAGAATCTCCTGAAAAGAAGTCAAAGGCACAACCCAAACCTCGGCCAGGCACTTCTCAGCAAACAGAGGAAACCAACGAAAGCACAATTCCTGCCAACGAGAGCAAACGGACGCCCACTAAACCAAAGCCTCAGCAAAGTAGCCTGCCGACCCATTCAGCTCAAACGGAACGTAGCAGCCAACCGCCATCAAAGCGATCCTTCACTGACGTCGAAGAAATTCAAGACTCGGAGGACGAGCCCCTTCTATCGCCAAGCAGAATCATCGACGAACTCTTCTCCAAGGTACAGCCAAAAGGGGCTAGAAAGAAGCAAGAACTGTCTACGTCTACCATACCCTCAAGTCCAAGCAGCCCGTCTCGAAAAGCCAAAGACACGCAATCAATTACTCTTGTTTCAGCGAATAGCAATCCCCAGCTCCCTGACCTGGGCGAACAAATCACAAAGGCCGTGCGTGCCCAACCACGGCAGAGCCAGAGCCCCGTTGGAACAAGGAAACGGCCTAGTTGGCATGAGAAAATACTCATGTATGATCCTATCTACCTCGAAGATCTTACAAGATGGTTGAACACCGAGGGCCTCAATCTCGTCAACGAGGACAGAGAGGTCGGCGCGGGGTTTGTTCGTGAGTGGTGCGAGAGAAAGGGCATTTGCTGCTGTTACAAGGTGAAGAAGAATGCTGGTCATTCTTAGCTGTTTTTTTTTTTTTTGGTATCTTGCTTTAAGAACATTCCTCCAGCCGTTATAGTGCTGGTCTATTCTGGGAATTTGCATATTCGGAGTTACATTTGGGATACCCTTATCACATGGATATATGATTATGATTTGTATATATACGAGAAGACACACACACACACACACACACACACACATCGAATACTTTGAAGCTTAAATGAGCCATATATAAAGAGGAAGACTCATTATTTCCAACTTCTATCAAAGCGCGTCTCGTCAAAATTGTTCACCCCTAGTGGCCTCTGAGCACATCGTACAGGCGCAAGAGAAAACCGCCTCTCTCCATACCCTACATCCAGGGTTATAGTAACTACTTCCTTCTTCACCCTTAAGCCCGCCGGCTTCGCCCACTCAGGAAGCGTCATAGGCCCTATAGCAAGGTTTGTATCGGGCTTTTGCAAATAGTGAGGCGAAACCATGTAGGGGTTTTGACCTGTCCCTGTGTAAGGCGGGCATTTCTTCTCGAAGGTTTGGGCCATTTTTTCTTCTTTGATTTTCGTGATTGTCGATATTGATATCCGATACAGTTTTACCTCTTTTTCTTCTCTTTTTCTGCGGGTATCTTCACCGCAGTCTGGATAGGTGTACGGGGTCTACTCGTCTAATAGCCGGTTCGTTGGCTGTAGACTCGATGGCACCTGTAAGGTATCCAAAGACAGAGACGGAAAACAGACACGGCAGGCTGAGCAGACCCTCTGCTGTGAATACTGGAGGCCCTCGAGGATTGTCGCTTGCCTTATAGATATGGGTTTCTTTCATCGATAACTGAATCTTCATTGTCTTCATTGTGGTCAATAAGGGAGGGGACAATCGTTACGGGGGACAATGCTTTGATGTAATAGTAGTAGAGTAGTAGAAAGGATATTAAAGGGATTTGGGTACTGGGTAAAAGAGCCATTTAGAAGCTTTGTATGTAGCCAGAGAGAGCCAGTCTATGGGATTTGTTCAATTTAGAGCGTAAATTGGCGTTTCGATTAAAGCGAGTCCCCGGGAAATTAATCAGACTGATAAACCGCCAAAATATTTTAAAGCTGGGATGGAACTTGGCCTGAGTTAAGGAAAAAGAGGGCACAGCATTGTTTTTGTATGCTTTGAGCTTCATTGGATTCTAGACAAGACCGGAGCTAGGAATCGGCACTCAGCGCTGGAACCCCCATCCCCAAATTGAAGAAGTGGTAGGAAAGATAAGAAATCTAAGGTACATATAGAATATCCGGAAGCCAGGTCAGCTCCAACATGCAATATAAATATGCTGGTATAGCTGTGTCAGAGTCAAACTCCTCCCATGCCCTTTCCTGTGCACCTGGACAGAAGTTGTTCAAAAAAAAAAGATAGTACCCAATTGACAAAGATCGAATATGGCCAGGATATGAACACTCCAAGACGAACGCGCTTTAAGATATGAACGCAATGCAGTAAGACTCGTAAATGTCATCAGCCGGAAAAAACAAAGGACCCGTAAGATATGATCCTCAACTCCGGTGAACGATCCAGCCGGAGTACCCAAACGAAAGAAAGAAATTAGAACCGTATATATGTCGAGAAGGAAGAACAGAGTTTCGGGATATGAAGGGGAAGGGAATATATTAAACAATAGAGAGTCGGAGACCGCTGTAGAGTAATACATGGGCCCAATAGATATACCCAGAAATAGGCATATCCTGTGCGTCGAGGCGCATAAAAGGCGCGAGAAGTATGCAACAGCATGTTCTCGACTTATCAAAACCCTGAGCTATCGGTAAAGCCTTCCGTTCACGGCGACGGTATCGAAAATTATTTTGTTCTTGTACTTTTTGGGCCCACCAGATTCAAGCCAGGGACCCAAGTTTTTGCACTGGCTGACGTCGAAGGCTTCTAACTGAGTACAGCCATCTGCCACCGACTCCACGCCAGCACCGGTGACGCGGACGCAGCCGCGCACTGATAGACGTCTTAGATGCAGAAGATGAAGACCAATGCTGCGTAATGAGGGGTCAGAAATGGCAGAGCCACAAAATGACATGTTTAGGTACGTCAATTGAGAGCACTGCAGAGCAAGGACTTCAGTTGCTGTGTCTGATAATGCACAGCAAAACGACTAAAAAATGACGCCAAATGGTTAGTGAAAAAATAGTAGTAAGCGGTTTAAAAGTGTTCTCGTACCAGATCCAATTCCTGCAGCTGCTTTGCAGCGTTGGTGAGATAGACGATGGCATTATCGGTTAGATAGGTGCAGTCTGCCAAACATAGCCTCCGCAGGTTGGTAAACTGAGCGTTACCCCAGAATTGAAACCCATGGTCAGTGATTGTGGTGCACCGTGTCAGGTCCATTGCTTCAATCCTGGAAGCTGCATGAGACGCAATGTGGTGCATAGACCTATCAGTCACATGCTTGCAATACGACAGCGTCAGACTTTTGAGCTCTGGGCACCCGAAAGTCGCGCTTGTCGATGTCAATATCGTCGGTTTAACGATGGGCTTGCCACCCTTTCCGGTGTCCTCTGGGGGCTTATACGGGCCCGGAGTTGTCCAACCAATGATTCGAGCTAGGAGTGTATCGCTGACTTTCCGACAATTGCTCAAATCCACCTCCTGCAGGCCATTGGCCTTAAGAGCCATCTCCAGGATAGCTGACGCAGTTACGTCCCAAACGCTCTTCATCTTCCATGCGACGATATTAGAGCCACAGGTGCTCACCAAATTATTGAACCCTTCATCCGTCAGGTGAAAACAGTTGCTGATATCGATGTAGCGCGGCCTATTACGGATAAACGGGCAAACGATTTTTGCCAATACATCATCAGTGAGACAGCGATTATAGACACTCAAATCCAAGTATCGGAGTAAATTCGTGGATGTGTTGAGGATTTCCGACCAGTGAAGAGACACACCACGGAGGCGCAGAAGATCATGTAGCTCGAGATATTGGAAAATCCGCACAAGAACATTATCTGGCAGGGTTCCTTGATTTTCATTGCTAGGTTCGCGCCGTGTCTTCTGCGCTGTCGGTGTGGCTGGGGTATCCGAAAGGGTGCGAAAAGATGAACTGCTAGACAAAGGTTCGGAAGGAGGCGATGGTCGCTGCTGATCTCGAGTGACTTCCTCTGGAGATAATGGAGCAACAGACCCTCGTCGACTGCGCAGTCGAACATTATCCAAGCCCACGTTGAGAAACGGGTCTGGGTCTGACGGCCGTAATACGGCATGGTCATCTATGCCATTTGGCTTTTGCGTGCCATCCAACTCTGTTTCAGTAAGAGTCAAGAGAGGCATGGATTGCCTACGAGCAGATCTAATCTTGAAGCTCTCGTCGGTGGGACTGGCATCAGCGGTGTCTCCAGCCTCAGCCATAACAACGTCGCCATCAGACGCAGTCTTGAGTCTCTCTTTGGCGGTATGTTCTACCTGATCGCGGACATCTTGAGGGCATTTATCCCATAATTCAGTGAGCACATCACCGCTGATCATGAGGCATTCAACGGCATTAATTGAGCGCACGGTTGCGGTTCGGCGAGGCGCAAGGGAAAGGCTGACTACCTCGCCGAAGTATTGGCCCTGTTTCAAGCGCGCTTTCACCTCGAAACCCGGAAATTCAATGGTATTGGGGAGAGAACGCCCCCCATTCCGCGAGTCCTTTTTCTCGCTTAGGACTTCCACCTCGCCACGAACTATAAAATAGACTTCCCGTCCCTGGGAATCCTGTTTGATGATGTCGGTGAACGGCGGGAATGATCGAGGCTGCGCATTAAGGCCTAGAAAATGAAGAATATCCGGGGGTAGACCAGCGAAGAGCGGCAGCTCTTTGAGAAGAAGTCGCACGTTAACGAGCCCATTTGCTAGCGCACTTGAAGTTCCATCAGCCAGTCCTGGACTTGGGGATTTGCGTTTCTTATTGACGAACTTTAGGCTTGCACCGTTTTGTTCAGTAAGCGACATGTCACGAGAGAAGGTTTCCCTTAATCTTTTGGATCCTCTTCGACCTGCCTCTATAAGCTCGGGCGAAGGCACTGAGGTCTCCTTTTTCTTTTTCTCTAATATCATCAACCGTTCTTGAGCTTCGTCTCTGATGGCCCGCTCTACTTCGGGAAAGCGAGGAAGAATTCTCCTGAAATCTTCCTTGGACAACACCACGAGCAGGCATCGGGATCGTGCGATGATGGTAGCAGTACGAGGTCGATCCATCAGCACGCCTATTTCGCCAAAAAAGGCGCCCGGCTCAAGCTCTGCGTATATACTTTCTCCATCTCTTGAAGTGACTGACACCGCACCTCGTACCAGCCAATATATTGCCTTTGCCTCATCGCCTTCCGTCAATATATAATCGTTTGGTGCGCAAAGCTGCGGGCGTAGGTGCTGTCCGACATCGACGAGAAACGACTCCGGAGTGGATTGGAACAAAGGAAAAGAGCGCAGTCGATCGATGAGATCCAAAGGCAAAGCTTGGATGTTAGAGGAGGCCAATGGCGACGGGCGCACCGGGCGATTCGGGTTCGTGAATGAGTCGAAGGAATGGATTAACGATACGGTGTCGGAGACGGGTGTCACAGCTTTGGTTGAACCTCCGCTGGCCCTGCCATGACGCCGCATTTTGAACGACTTTGACGCTTTTTTGGACGAGGAGGGATAGAGCACAGGACACAGAAAATCAGTTGTATGCTCCCAGCAGTAGCATAGAGTTCGGAAGACCCAGAACACAGAGCGATGACGTCGACGAAAATGGAGTGACGGGAGCTTCAGAGGAGCATCCCCAGTTCCACGGCGCGGGGAAAGGTCAGTAGCGAGCAAACATTTGAGCAGCCGACCGATGCCGCAGTTCGACTCGAGCCACAAAAAAGCTATCGATGGGATGAAACACGGAGATTCGAAGCGAGTAGAGGACTGAAAGCAAGCATTTTGCGTTAGTAAGAGAGCTTGGGAAGGTGTAGTAAATTTGGTACAGCGAGAACTGGGCCAGACTGGAATACCTCTGGAGGCGGGGATCTCCCACGTCAAACGGCAATAATTAATTTAATGCTGCCGAGCTCCACCAACACCACTGAGTCTGGACGCTAGCAAACAGCTGTGATCCGTGCGAGTATGAGATAGATATCCCTAGTGCGAAGGCCTCAAGATGTTTGCTGCTTTCAACTTGGCGAATCTCTTGCGCCGTTGACCGAGGGCAGAATCACGAACGACTGTGCGCGAAAAGTTGAGGCTTGGGAGCTGAGCACAAGATGATCCTTTCCGGAAACGTAATCTATAAGCTGAACAGAGGCTGAGTAAAAATATTTCAGAAGGGTAAATAGAAGAGGAGGTTGACAGGAGTAACAACGATCAAGAAAGAAGCTGTTTGGAGACGGCTGTACTCGTTGGGAGGAACAATGATAATGGAGGGGTCCGGCACCGCAAGCACGGAAGAAGGAGGGATCGTTCTGGAGCAGTTCTAGAAGGGTTCCAAGTTCTTGCGATCTTCCCCAATTGCAGGACTGAGTCCATTAAAGAGTCCCGTAATCTTGCTTTTCTTCCGTTTGTTTCATGGCGGGGTGTGTTGCAGCGAAGCTGAAAGAAGCTGACTCGAATGCCCACCCTGATCTACGCAGCAGTAGAATTGACTGAAAGGCAGTCCCCAAAGCCGAGCATACTCAGAGGTAAGACGGATCGCTGAAGCACGGGATACCTTGTGCCTGAGGGCGCGCCCGCCTGATGAACAGATGAACAGGTACCGCCGCGAATCTGAATCACCGGATTGGATTATTTGCATCCTCCTGCATGAGATTATTTTTGGCTGCCTCGGATTTCATGGGAACTGTTTCAGATCGATCTAATCTACCTAAATTACATCATCTGCTAATTTCAGAGCAACAGCTTGAGTATCAGTTTGGGCGCGTTTCTTATTCCATTGAAAAACCTGAAACGAGAAAAAGATCGAGAGAAAATAGAAATCCATCCACTATCCCGCCAATCCAAGCACGGACTCCCTGCGGAGAGCAGCACGGAATCACCTGATGTTGAGTGCAGCATACCCCTGGAGATAAAGAAAAGGCGGCCAAGATATTCAGAGCATCCTGGATGCGCGGCTATTGTATCCGAGTTTTTGTCAAGGCGTCCTCAACGAATCTAATCGTATAAGATCGTTCCTTTTTTGACAACTACTATCTGAGACCCAGTTATGCACCCCCTTAAATGGCAGTAATCCCCGAGCTGCCAGCGTATGCTGACTGCATAGAAAAGCCTGGTGACGACCGGAATCGGGGCCATTAACAGGGATCGATCTCGCTTGGGAGGCTTGCTTTCCGCCCCAAGCGTAGTAGTACGCCTAGGCTGTAGCATGCACCTCATAGCCTTTCGTGAGATCGTGGAACCAAACCAAGTGGACAGCCGTCATGATGGCGAGGTGTGCTTGGCGAACACATGTTATTTTTAATCTCTCCGAGTTGTTTCATTCGGGCTTTGATCGATGGCCGAGGATAAAATCAACATAGGCAGGTCGGTTGCCTTTCAAGGACTCAAGCGCATCCTGCATCAGTCCATACGCCAGACTTAGTTTCAGGCCAAGTTTGGTTGTTCGCGCCGCGGTATATACATCGTGCCGAGCTATAGAGTATGGATATAAGCTTCATTCCCCTTGGATCAATATACTCGGGCTAGCGTGGCACTTACCTAGTAAACTGTAAATACCGGAAAATGATAACCCAGCGGTGACTGTGGATATGAAATCCCTCTGGTCGTGACGAGCATAGTCAACCGTCTCCTCGAAGAGACAGAATGCCAGCGCACCTGCACCAAGTTTGAACCCCATTTTCATTCCTTCCTTGACTCCTCCAACAATAGAAATGTAATTCTTGGTTTTGTGGTATTGGAACCATCCGGTCGGCGTAGTGGGAAAGCGATGGGCGTTTTCAGCGCGGAAACGATATGCAGCCTTCTTGCTGCCGTGAGTTGCACCGATAGCCAGTCCTGCTGAGAAAGCAGACGTGGCGCTTAATGGCAGTCGCCGGCCAACCTCCATCCCCAATCGGGGCGGTGCTTCGGACTCGAAGAACTTGTCCCAATGGAGGATCTTGTACAGAGTCGTGGATTCTGCGCCGCTTGGCCTGGGGGGCTGTTCTGTGTCCATTGTGGGAGGAAGAGACCGAGTTGCGGCCTTTCTTTTACGGATTTAGGGTAGTCTCGACAAAAACCTGTTCTCCTGCGAAAAAAAGAAAAAAAAAAAAAAAAAAAGACGTTGGACTTCAAAAATCAAGCTGTTTTGAAGCTCCTGGATTTTTGGACGAGATCTCTGACGTGAGAGAGTTGCGGGAAGACTACTCCGTAATAATATGTTCTCCGGCTCGTACCCGCAACTTCAAGTCTCAATAGCGCCAAGGACCCGCCAGAGCTTTTCCAACCAGCCTCATCAAGCTACCTCGACACCATGGTAAGTTAAGCCGCTCACCTCTGAGCGATTTCCCTGGGATTTATCGAACTATTCTAACTCACTTGTGTAAAACTCATAGTCCGAGTCGTTCAGCTGGACCCTACTGTTCAAAAAACACAGAACGACCGTGCTTTTGATGCTTCCGCCTTCCGAGACTATCCCCAGTGCCAAATCTGCGCTCCTCAAAGCCCTTCAAGCGCGCGGCTTGAATGATATCAATGGCGACCCGGTCCCCGAAGATCCTGCCGAGATCGAACTTGGAGTTGCAGTTGATAAGAATGACTTGGAGAAAGGATGGATAAGCCTCGAAGCACTAGAGTTCGATGATGAGGCACCCAAGCGAGGGGGGACTAAATCTACATCTCAAAGCCTGAAAGCTGCAGAACTTAATAACGGGCAGGCAGTCGCCTTTAGGTTTCGAAAGCCAGGAAAAGAGGGCTCTACCGATCTCGACTTAGAGGATCCTGGCTGGGATGTCGTTGTACCGAGCCTTGATGACGAAGAAGAGATAGTATAACGAGTTGACTGCTGATATCCTTATGCTGTCCCTTATTTTGCTTCGGATTTCGTGTTGTCTTGTTCTTTGGCGCAAGGGTTTGTATAGAGTTTACTGGAAGGAGTTCGCGGTGCTTCTTATAACTGGAAGAAAGTTCTCTGGCCGGGAAAGTTTTTTCTGCCGGAGCATGGTTTACATTCACCCGGAGATATAAAAATAGCAAATTTAATGATGGAGCAGCATTTGAAGTGTACACTGTACACCGCTCGAGATTGACTTGTGCTCCGTCAGTAATGCTATCATCGGTGCTCAGTTTGCTCTGTTTCTTTTTGGCCTTTGTTGTCATGACTGCCGTGATCCAATAGCATTGCTCCTTTAAATAAGAATGCGAGGAGCACGAAGAAGCATGCCCCTAACGTGGCACTCTCTCGATTCATGATGTGCAATTGTATGTCTGTTTCGGGATATAGATGAAACACATCCCTGCCCAATCTGGTGCGTGTCGATATAAATTTGACCGTATTCATACCGAGTCCAAGCCAAGTCAAGCTAGGTCCACATGGGAGTGTCCAAAACACACGGCCTTAGCCGCTTTATACACACGGCCCGCGTGTTGCTCGAGCAACGCCGCCCGCATAACAAGCGGGAGATGTCAACAACTCACACAAGTGGCTTGAAGCCTCCACTCGACCTTGACTGCACCTGAACAGGGGAGTCTCTGGGGATCTCGGGAGAAAAAGGCCCACTCTTGTCAACATTCTTCATCGGACAGCTTTGTTTCTTATCTCTTTTGTTTGCTCGTTAGTACCTATTTCGCGCCCTGCAAGTGTCACAGCAAACGGTACGGGGCGGACGGCCCTCAGTTTTACCACTTTTCAACGCCGACAACAATTACTTTTCGACAACAATCCGACAATATGGGGCCTCCCAACGACTCCTCTTCTATCACCGTTGCTGTTCGAGTCAGACCGTTCACAATAAGAGAGGCGGCGCAGATCACGAAATGTGATGATGGACCGCTGTTTCTTGGTGATGGTTCTCTGGCCGGGGCACCAACCCCAAAGCTGAATCAGAAGGGCCTTCGATCTATTGTGAAGGTCATTGATGACAGATGCCTGTAAGTATAGGGTGTTTTCTTTGCATGTTTTAGGCGTGTGCTAACCAAATCTTGAAAAGGGTATTCGACCCCCCGGAAGACAACCCCGTACACAAATTCTCCAGGAGTGTTGTTCCCAACGGTAAACGCGTGAAAGATCAGACTTTCGCATTCGACCGGATTTTCGATCAGAATTCCAGCCAAGGAGAAGTTTACGAATCGACCACAAGAAGCCTCCTCGATAGCGTCCTTGACGGATACAATGCCACTGTCTTTGCTTATGGAGCGACCGGGTGTGGAAAGACACACACTATTACTGGTACCCCGCAACAACCAGGTATAATCTTCCTCACCATGCAGGAGTTGTTTGAGCGTATCGAGGAAAGATCTGGGGAGAAGCACACAGAACTATCTCTTTCGTTCCTCGAAATCTACAACGAAACCATTCGCGATTTGCTTGTTCCTGGTGGCACAAAGGGCGGCTTGTCCTTGCGAGAAGACACAAATAAAGCAGTATCTGTATCTGGATTGTCGAGCCATAGCCCGAAATCTGTACAGGAAGTTATGGATATGATTATGAAGGGAAACGCCAGTCGGACAATGTCCCCAACAGAGGCAAATGCCACTTCTTCTCGATCCCATGCAGTTCTTCAAATCAACATTGCACAGAAGGACAGGAACGCCGACATTAACGAACCACATACAATGGCAACATTCAGCATCATCGACTTGGCTGGAAGCGAGCGTGCGAGCGCAACAAAAAACAGGGGAGAACGACTTTTTGAAGGTGCAAACATCAACAAATCTCTCCTCGCCCTCGGTAGCTGCATAAATGCACTCTGTGATCCACGCAAACGAAACCATGTCCCTTATCGAAACTCGAAACTGACACGGCTCCTCAAGTTTTCACTTGGCGGAAACTGTAAGACGGTCATGATCGTCTGTGTCAGTCCTTCCAGCCAGCATTTCGATGAGACTCAAAACACGTTGCGCTATGCCAACCGGGCGAAGAACATCCAAACGAAAGTCACGCGGAATGTTTTTAACGTTAATCGCCACGTTAAGGACTTCCTCGTGAAGATCGATGAACAGATGGCATTGATCAACGAGCTCAAAGCACAGCAGAAGGAATCTGAAAAGGTCGCTTTTGCCAAATTCAAGAAACAAACGGAAAAGAAGGATGCTGCTGTCCGAGAGGGACTTGTCCGAATCCGGAATGCCTATGATCATTCGCTGCCGGAAAGACAAGAGAGAACCAACAACATGGTAAAATTGAAGCAGGTTAGCCGCAGGATTGGCCTGCTATCGTCATGGATCGCGGCTTTCGATAACGTCTGCGCCAATTCTGAAATCGAGGTGCCGTTGCCTAACCTTCAGGCTATTCGGAGAACAGCCCAAGGGATCCTGTTGGAACTGGAAGGGAGTCGGCAACACTATCACCAGCGTCTAGCGAAGAGTGATTGGGAGCGTGGTATGACTTCTGCCGTTGAAAACGCCGTCCAGCAGCTCCAGGAATTCGAAACTAGCGATAAAAGTGACATTACCAACCTTCGGCGCGAGGCGGAGCTATTGAGGTCAAATACCGAGCGAGAGGCTCTTTCAGCAGTAGCAGAACACGATAAGGGAGGAGAAACTGCCACCGTACAGGTGTTATTGCAGGCGCACTTTGAGATGGCTTCTTCAATCGAGGGTATCATGCACCTGAGTGAGGATGAGGCAGTGGAAATGGGGAAGCGGAGTCTGACCAAGATGCTGGATTCATGCTATGCCGTAACCTCAAGCGTCGTCAAACCAGATGGCAACTTGCCAACCATGCCGGCTAGCCCGACTAAAGCTTCGCCGTCGAAGCAGAAGAAGAGGCTGAGCCTAGCAATCGTCCCCCCTGGAAAGAGCATGAATGCAGCAGTTGCTTTACACCCAACAGCTCCAGCTTCACCGACGAGAGGATCTCCTCGCCGTCGTAAGATGGGCAGCGGACGGAAGAGCGTCAGTTTCTCGCCGAAGAAGGTACAAGCAAAACCACCGAAGCGGAGTGTTCGGTGGAAGGATGACGAGCAAGATGGCACGTTGACTGAGATTCAGAAAACACCACAAAAACGCGAAGCTACCCCGGTTCCTCGAAGTGAAAGTCCTGGAGAGCCCACACTCCCAAGATCATCTCCAATCCCACGTGGAATCCCAGTGCCAACTCGAAGCTTCAGCCCTGCAGGCGGCTCATCGCCGATTCCGACTCCCACAGACCAACCACTAAGCATTCCAAAGAATAATAGATTCAAGACCGGATTCCTATCCAAGAAGGCTGGCAGCTCCCCGATCCCTGCCGCTCCCACGGCATCCCTTCCCCATTCTGACCAGGGCACTCCTCTGCGTGACATTGAGAACAGCAGTTTCTTGAATCGCGCATCCGCGGAGCGTCCATCTCGGATCGCAGTGAGGAGTTCAAGCGGAAACTTCTCCTCTTCCCCCGTGCCTGAGCCTCCCAAGGGCGAATGGAAAGCAAGCAAGGATGATGTGAGAAGGATTAGCACCGCCATGAGACGTATCTCGGTTGGTTCGTTCGGCCCTGGTGCATCTGCAACTGCTGTTCGTGCCCAGCGTCGCCGAAGCCCGTCATCGGGCTCTTACGGTAGCTCTCCGCCGGAGAATACAATGTTCACGGCACAGGCAAGGCGGATGGCGAAGGGTGACAAGGAGGCCGAGAACAAGCGTTCATCGGTCTTGGGCCCTCGAAGCCTCCCAATCAAGAAGAACACGAGCCAGAGACGCACGACATTTGGTGGAGACATCCGTCCTAGAGACTTTAGCTTCTCAGGCCGAGACACATCTCGACTGAGTGCTTTCGGCGGTTGGTAATGTTAAAGATATCAGAAAGGATCCATCCAACTCAGGATTGGCAGGTTAATGATTGATTTTTTTTTTTTTTTAATCTCTTTGTTTACATTGTTTGGCGATACGGTACGCTGGGATGGCGTGGTGCAGTCTTTTCTTTGCTTTTCTTTTCATGGGACATACTATTCATTGCAATTTGTACAATAACAGAACCTGCTTTGGAGTTTCAACCAACATGGGGGTCGTTAGCTGATGGCCCAATCAACCAATTGCCAATCTGATTCAAGAGAATTCGCAAATTGTAATTATTGAGACCGGCCTCGAGCTGTTCGGAGGTATCTTTTCGCGACATTCAATTAGATCGCAATGTCCTGCAGGGAATGACGCCACTGTCTCCAAGCTTAGCTAACGCAACGGCGACGTTCTTGCGACAACAGATTTATATCCCCGCAGTTTCTCCCTTCTTCGTAATATTGGAACTACATTATACGTCTTTCCTCAAACATTTTAATCAAAAGAGGAAGTACATAACCCCTCAGTAACTAGTATTTTATGGCTTTCGCTGCACCCGCGCTCGGCTCAACGTTATTCTCGCGCTTTTTCCGCACCTTCTCCACCGGCTCCCCAGTTCTTTCTTTGACACCCGAATCGACATCCCGGAATATGGCGAGCGGTACACAGACGGCTACCCTGGCAGCAGGATGCTTCTGGGGCGTGGAACACCTGTTCCGCAAAGAATTTGGACAGGGGAAGGGCCTGCTTGAGGCGAAGGTGGGATACTGCGGGGGAAACACTTCGCATCCTTCATATCGGGCTGTGTGTTCGGGGGATACGGGACGTGAGTGAATTCCAGGTTTCCTTATCGACTTTTACTTGATTTATTTGCAACGTTGAATTGATTGCGATGCTGATATTTTTGTTTTTGTTTCGCTGTTGTAGATGCCGAAGCGCTCAAAGTCACATTCGACCCTTCGCTCGTGAGCTACCGCTCACTTTTAGAATTCTTCTACCGCATGCACGACCCAACGACCAAGAACCGCCAGGGTCCGGATATCGGTACGCAATACCGCAGTGCCATCTTCACGCATGGCGATGAGCAGCACAAGATTGCGGAGGAGATTACGGACAAGGTAGCGAAGGAGTGGTATAAGCAGGCTCTTTCGACGGAGATTATTCCTGCCGGTCAGTGGTGGGATGCGGAGGATTACCACCAGCTCTATTTACATAATAACCCGTCTGGATACGAGTGCCCTGCGCAGTAAGTGATGACCCGTCTATCTGATGTTGATATAAGGTTTGTGGCTGATCATGGTGTCTATGTGCAGTTTTGTTAGAAGCTTCCCCCCGCTTTCCTGACTAGGAGCTAGGCTTTAACACTGATTATTGGTGTCTTGATGAAGTTCGCCATATGATTGTTGCATCCACGATAGGGCTGAGAAGGTCCGTTTGGGGTACTACTGTTGGGCATCTTGATGGTCATGTCTTTTTTTATATCAACGCATTAGCAACAATCAACGATCAATGGAAAAGATCCATAGTATCGCAAATCACTAGGAAATCCCGGAGTCTGCGGCACAACAGTGTGAGGCCTGATCACTTCACCTGGTGGTGCAAACATCCAAGTAAGAAGTTGATATTGCGGAGCAGCCACACAAGCAAATTCGTTGCTGATGGCCGCCACATTTTGCCCAACGCAACTGTAGCTAGTCGAGACAGAATAGACAGCTTGGACATGGGCTCCTGGTAGTGTCTAGAAGCGAGGCGAAGCGAGGCCCCGGGAGAGTGGTAGCAAGGCAACCAGGCCATTCACACTCTGTCCTGGGTGTTTTCATTCACTCAGGCTTGGTGTTACTGGTCCATTAGATAGCCCTCAGGGTTTTCTCACTTTGCCCTTGCTCTGCCTTGTCTGGCCTATATCCCACTTTCTTCTTTCCCTTTTCTGACTTTTCTCTCTTCTCTCTTCCTTCACTCTCTCCTCTCCTTTATTCTCATCCCATATCTGTGGCTGTTAACCATCCATAGTGTTGCCAATTTCATTCTGAACTTAGTTTCTGTAACTCAACCCTTCACTTTACTTATCCCTTTGTTTTCACTTTGTCTTGCTGTTATTTAGGCAAGAGTGGCCTGTTTGTTTGAGAGGAGGTTAACAAACAGATCAAGCAAACCAGACCTCAGACCTTTGTAGCTTCTTATAGCAGCTGAGTGGTTTGAATTGTACTCCCCTTCCAAACAACTAGCTGTTATCTGTTATTTCTTTCCAAAAATCGCCCACCTGGTAAATTCAATTTATCTGGCAAGACGCGATAAACCCTACGTAGCCATTTAGGTATGAAACATCAGCTGAGCTTCTCCCTGTCTATCAAGTGAGCTGATTCTCAAATCCAGAAAAGACAGCCCATATACTGCGCCGTTTCATAAACTGCTGTTCAAAGTGAACAGTGCTCACCTCAGTTTTCTTTTGCTTTTTTGGGTAGACTCCAGTCAACCTTGACAAGTCATGGTGACAATTCATGAATCCATTGTCTATGGGGCACTTGGTGAAGTCCTGGGACACCTGCATCGTGTCTCCGAACATGTATGTGCCGACTGCCTTCACGAGGTAAAGCATTCTAATAGGCCCACAGTTTAGAAACCACCAGCAACAAGACACCGCCAATCTAATTGCAAGACTGTGTGTTAACCTTGTCGAGGCGGTAGAGGGGGGTATGGGCCATATCCTCGAAGATCAGAGTATCGTCGGAGTTGGGGTAAATGCTTCCTGGACCCTCATTGCCTTGCCTGAAGCTAAGGTTATCTCAGAGACCCAACGGTGGTGAATTTATTGTGGCTGGCTCGGAGAATCCCGTCTCAGTTGGTATTCAGCAGCAGGCGGCCATGGCCGTGAGAGGCGAGGTTGGCATGAGAGAGAGTGAGAGCAGAATCCGAGCCGTAGGCAAGCTCCCAGCACCGCCTGGGCTTACTACGGCCAACTCAGAGAATCCTATCTCGGCTGGTAATCAGCAGCAGGTGACCATGGCCGTGAGAGGTGAGGCTGGAATGGGGGAGAGTGAGACCAGAATCTGTGCGATGGGTAGACTCCCAGCACCGCCTGGGACTACCGCGGCTGGCTTTGAGAATTCTCTCCCGGTTGGTATTCAGCAGCAGGCGACCATGGCCGTGGGACGTGGGGTTGACATAAGGGAGAATGAGATCAGAAGTTGTGCGATAGGCAAGCTCCCAGCACCTCCTGGGGCTACAATCCAGCCCGGTGCTGGGAGCTGGGCCCAAATCGCTAATAGGTCGGATACTGCCAGGCCTTCTCAGGAGGCAGCGCAGTTAATGTCTTCCAGTGCATCGATTTCTGGTGGACAGGCGGTTGCAGCCCCTCCTGCTGCATCGCCAGAGCCCGTAGAGGAGAAAGCAGGGGTTGTCCGTATCTACGGATCGGCCACAAAGGGCGAATTCCGCCATATTACTTCTCGTATCCACGAAGGACCTTTGCAAGAAGTCCGGGTGGAAAGTAACAACTCTGTCCGCGTTGTTTTCCAGCACGTTTCACATGCGCTTGAGTTTGTGAAATCTGATGAAGAGATGCAGGAACGTCTTGGTCAAGGACGCATTGGAAAGGGGTATACCGTGGAGATGGCCGACATCATCAATTGGAATGATGATTTGCGTCGGATGAAACAGCCTGTGAGGGAACGCCGGCGTCTTTCGTTTGCTAGGAAGGGTCTCTTGACCGGCGGCCTGACTGCAGCGAAGTGGAAGCATGAGATGGTCACGATAGCCGGCAGTGGAAATGTTGATTTCCTGTGGGTTTTCAACTCCGGCAACGGTGAGTTGCATGCCACGATCTTGTCTACTATAAGACAGAGCTAATACCATCATGATTATAGCCACCGCTGTCTTCTCGAGCACCATTGTTGCTCGTAAGGTTTTAGATACCGTAAATAGATGGAAGGAGCATCGCCGTGAGTATTCCGGCGTCTCGGTGGGCTATTCCTCGGACACCTGCGAGAAAGAACTTGATCTCCTGAGGGAGAATAACCAACCTTGCTATCGCAAGCATGCACAGCCCAAACGGTTCATGCCGCCGCCCCGCCGCCCCGACTACCGGCAGGGATAGAAGATTCCGATCCGATCATCAGACTGCCGCGGGAAAGGGGAAAACAAATAAACAATAAAAAAAGAGAAAGCAAAGGAAAAAAAGAGTGAAGGTAAAATAATGCTTAGTTAATTTAGTTTGATTAGAGAAGGCGCCCTCTGGACCAGGGCATAATAAAGCACACCCTATTTACCTGCTGGATAATTTATGCGATGAGAGATGAAAGGGGGATATTAATCAAGAGTCTGTGGCCCATGTACAGGGGTTTTTATGACAGCATAGAATCAACTGTTTTCTTTTTGTCTCTAATTGAGTTTGTTACATTTTGTATCTGCAGTCATAATTTAAGGTCTTACAGATGGGGCAAAGGAAAAACAAAACGTCTGTTCCAGATAATAAGCTTAAATGATGACATTATCAGCAATCCATGACTTCCACCCATTCAACATGAACCCGGATGGTGTAACCGTAACAACTGGCCAGAGGCAAAGGAATGTGATGATTGATGAGAACTCGCCGGATTTCTTATCCAGACATCCTTGCAGTAGGTATCCAACGGCTTCAAGCTCCAGCGAGCGAAGATCCTTATCGCAAGCCAGAAATTGCGATGGTCATTGCATCCGACTGTGTTCAAAATACCAGTCAAGGCTTGGTCCTGAAAGCACAAGCCAACTGGTGCCTGAAGGTCCCACAGGGGCGCCGTTTACGATCACAAACCAGGCCAGTCCAGACGCAAGTGGAAATGGGGGTAGGACTGGGGGACGACGACCCGCAGGCAATCATCGCGTTGGGCTCGTGCAATGAGCTTGTCTGGAGATAAGTTGATGCAGGGCGAAAGTTAACAGTGTATGCGGAATTGCGGATAAACACTAACTGTGGAAGCAAAGGTTATTCAGGTAATAATGCCTTGCATCGAACCATTCAAACCGCTAGTAGGATGTTTGTTTGGACTTAAGGTTGTCAATGGTGATTCCATGGAACGCCCCGTCCATTCCATTCCCTCTTTGGGTTGTTGACGGTCTGGATCTGTTGACGAGAAAGGTTGTTTGTTTGAATGACCTGACACCGGAAGGTCAACGTACTCTGTACAACTGGGGAAACAGACGATCCGATCATGCAGACTTCGCCCACTCAACACATCAGCAAGAATGCCGATTTGATGTCAGTTTGTTACGAGTCGACGAGTTTCCGGCTACCACGCGGAAGGGGGCATTCCTTGCGGTCGGAGATGCAAGGGAGCAGTGGGCGAGTCAACATCGGGTACGTCACGGACAGCATCAAATTGGCTCTGGGGTAGAGGACGATGATAGCAGAGCGAACTGGCCAGCTTCACGGGTTGCCGCCGTTCATCATTTAGGAGCAATTTAGTTGGAAAAGTGGACTGAGTCGGTTCGCTCCGAGTGGCTCCAGCTGTTCTTGTGCAGACAGCGGCAATCAGAGAAAATCAGACCCGGTTATTCTCAGCCGGTCTGACCACCAGAGTTCAATAGATACTGGAGTTGCTGCGTTTTCTTGGTCAATTACCCGTATTACCGGTACTGCTTGGCTTTGTGACCGTACCGCCGATAAGGGACCACTGCGGATCTGCTTTCGGGCATCCCTCACAAGACAAGAGACAACACGCCGGCTCTGAAAACACTGCTCTGACAGAGTCAGAGATTTTTACAAGAGTGGGTGTTGTTTCCGGCTCGCGAAGAGCGTTTCTTCCAAAACTATTCCACATGTGCGATTTCACGGTGGCGCTTCCCCAAAAATAATCGGGATAGCGCCTGATGGAGCACGGCCGCCATCCAAGTCTTGGGGATGTCACGAGAACCACACTGGGGAGAGTGGAGTGAGACATCCAGGTCGCGCAGCCGAGACGAAGTGCGGTTGCCAGCAAACCGGCTGTCTGCTCGGCTGCTAGTCTGCCACCACTATGCCAGTTAGGAGTTAGGGTGTGTACGGAAACTGTGAGGAAGCCCTGCGTACGGTACGGTAATTACATAGTTCCCGGAAACGTCCCTGATCAACCCCGACTTTGGCAATCTCCAAGCGTCGGGCATTTAATAGTCGCGGGCCTCCCTTTCTCTCTCCAAGTTCCTTTTCCCTCAATCCGGTCATCGTGTCCTTCGTTTTCAACCAGCTGTGCAGCTTTATTGCCTCACCCCCCCGCGGCCCTCTCTCAGCGGTGATTTAGGTCTCCTATTTCCCGCAGTCCCTCGTTGATTGGTGCGCTCTCCACCTGCTGCAACTATACTCGCGATTGCCTTGTATACCCCCAATCTGAAACGCAATCTCCGTCTGCTCTTTGGTAAGCCATCATTGCTGCTTTTGCTTCCTTAAATCACCTGTCAGACGGCCTGAGTCCCTGCATCTTGTCATTATTGATTTCGGACCGTGGGTGTCGTCCACTTCCGGCGTTTCCTGGTTCCAGTTCCAAGTTCCCCTGAGTGGATCGCGGACAAAGACTTTGATCAAGGCCCACCGTTATTATATTATTGCCTGCTATTCCCCCGTCCTCATTTGAATCGAATCTGATCTTTTTCCGATCTTCTCCAGACCCTGTTTTCTCTGTACATGACTCTTGGTCACTGTTGATTATATATACGCCGCCGCCATGTTGCGTTTGACCTCTGTTCTGTTCCTTGCCTCCTTGGCAGCCAGATTCGCTGCCGCCGAAGACTTCACGCCGCCGAGTTGCTCTGCTGATAAGCAGTGTCCTGAGAAATACCCCTGCTGCTCCGGTATGTTCTTTTAAACCCATAACCCGGTTCAATGGCTCACGTTGTATCAGTATACGGACAATGTGGCACCGGCGCTTTCTGCCTCGGCGGGTGCGATCCTCTATTTTCGTACTCTCTTGACTCTTGCGCCCCAATGCCGGTCTGCCAGAGCAAAACCTATAAGTGGGAGAACCTGGATAATGCCGCCACGAACAGCAAATATCTAGGAAATGCATCGGCTTCCGACTGGGTGTACAGCGGTGAACCCAAGTTCGACGACGGAAACCTTGTTCTTACTATGCCCAAGGAGAGCGTTGGCTCCCTCTTTGCCAACAACCACTATGTCTGGTACGGCAAGATTGGTGCCAACATTAAGAGCAGCCGTGGTGAAGGTGTAGTTACTGCCTTCATTCTTCTTTCAGACACCAAAGACGAGATCGACTATGAATGGGTTGGCTCCGAGTTGTCTGAAGTTCAAACCAACTGGTACTTCCAAGGCATTCTGGACTGTAAGTCACGTATTCTTCCATTCACTGTCGGTTCTCAAGGACTCACTTTTTGCTAGACACCAACGGTGACTCGTCCAAAGTTGATGGTGAAAACACCTATGAGGACTTCCATTATTACGAAATCGACTGGTCTCCTGAGAAGCTTGAGTGGTTAATCGATGGCAAGGTTGTTCGCACCCTTACCAAGGAATCCACTTTCAACGAGACCTCCAACCGCTACGAATACCCCCAGACCCCTGCCAGAATGCAAATGTCGCTTTGGCCCGCTGGCCAGGCCAGCAACGCCCAGGGCACTATCGAATGGGCTGGAGGTGAAATCGACTGGGACTCTGAGGATATCAAGGAACAGGGCTACTACTCTGCCTCCTTCGGCGAGGTGAAGGTGGAGTGCTATGACCCCCCGAAGGACACCAAGAAGGATGGCGATGTATCCTACCTCTTCAAGGACGACAAGGGTGAGGAAAGTTCCGTCGAGATCACCAACAATAAGACCGTCCTTGCTTCTCTTGGTGCCACTGGCCTTGACATGGACCTCGGCGGCGACAACGACAGCGACGGCAACTCCACTAACACCAACTCTACGGTCCCCCAGAACCAAGGAGGCACTGGCAACGAACCCGGTTCTCAAACCAGTGGTGATTCATCCAGCACTAACGCTCCGGGCACTTTCAACCAAGGAAACAGCAACGGCGATGACGAGAATGCCGCGCCCTCCCAGAACGAGCGTGTCCTAAAGGGCTCATTCTTTGCCGCCCTGGTTGCAGTTGTTGCCTCGATTGCCATGTAAAAACTTTCGACATCCTTCCCCTTCTCCTTTCACCTCTTCATGGACTATATTTATTTATACCTTCACCATCTCGGCCCCTGGACAAACAGCATAGCGCATGGCTGGTTTTTCTAAATATACGACTTCACCGTATATCTTTGTTATGTTATCTTATGTTCTATACCTTGGCACACCCGCCTCTCCCCCTGTTATCATCTTGATACCAGAACTTATCCACCTTTTACTACCCCCTTCAAATTTCATGTTTATTGATTGGGCTTTACTCGGATGTCTTGATGTTCTATTATGATTGCGCAACGCAATGTATGCGCAGATCGTATTGCCTTTAGCGAGGGCCATTTAGGCCCTCCTCGTCTATAATATACCCTCCTTCTTGTTCTTGCTATTGACTCTGCTCGTGCCCGCCTCAGAAAAGCATGTATGCGCATAATTTCTATTGAATATTCTGCTAATCGGGTTTGTTCGCTATACGGGATGCTCATTGGTAATATAGTAATACTGGACCTCCCTTAACTCTAATGCTTGTATACCTTATCTTACTAGGGAAGTAGTGTAGCCATACATGCACGTTTTGCAAACTTTAAGACAGCCGATAAGGTTAGAACGATTAACCGTTGTCGGGTGCAACCTGGGCTTGCTTGCGCTTAGATTTTGTCATACCTCTTTAGCTCTGGTAGACGTTCTTTGGTTGCGATTTAGTAAAAGTACGTATTGATTTGAGCGGGCTGAGAGGACATGGTATAGACGACAAATACTTCATGATGTATATAAATAATGTACAGAGCAATGCGCCCTAGTAAGTGATACTCTAAAAACGCCAAAACCAACGCCACAAGGCAAATAGCTAAGAAACTGTGAGTGCAACTGCGAGTGTGGATGTATTGAGCACAATTGAACAAGCCAGATTGGAAACAGGGGCAGATTGACAGGAAAAAACAAATATCGTGAGAGCATACGCAAGCAACATATGTATGTATATGTATAATTTAACAACGTGACAGATAAGCGCAAACACATCATCAGAACCATCCGGAGAACAAGACAACACAAAAATAGCGCAAACTCGGCGGTTTATGCTTTTGTTTATGCCTATGTCTATATCAGATGTTGACATATTGGGCGTCTAATTCAGTGGACAGCTCCGCAGCCACACTCGTCAGCTCCAAAAGAGCGCTTCCGCTTGTAGTCGCCATGGTACGTATCAAGGCCGTCAGTGCGAACGTCATCGCCGAGCGGGTTACCCATCCAGCTGAAGCTTTCGCTTTCGCTTTCGGCTCCCTCGGTAGATGCGGAGTCAGAGGCGGAGGCGGACCAGAACTTGGACTCCTGGAGGCGCTTGGTGACCGACTCGACGTCGAGGTCAAGGTAGTCAGCAAGGAAGCTGCCGACTTCGGTGTTTTCGTGGTTGCCTTGGAGGGGCCAGGCGTCTTGAGAGGAGGATGCGTAGATGTTTACGTCGACGCCTAGATAATTAAGCATTAGCATGGGTGGTTTATTAGTTTGAGTTGAGGCTGGAAGGGGCTAAATACCAGAATGACCGTGCGTTGACCAGCCGACTTGGGCTCTGCGACTGATGATATCGGCGAAGACGTAGGATGGTGGGATTTCATTATCAGGATCCAAGAGAGCGTCTATCTCTCCCTGGGAGGGGTCTTCGACACCTAGGGCCTTCTTGAGAAGATCCCGGGTGTAGGCTTCTTCAGAAGATTTTCCATGACCCTCCTTGAGGTAATCTTGCAGCTCCTTCTCAGCGAACTCAGAAGAGTGGCTTGCATTGGCGAGAACGCCAGGGAGCCAGAGGTATTCTGGGTAGGTCGTGTGCAGCTGGCGGGCGACAGCAAGACCGCCGGTTTCGTGGTCAGATGTGCCGACCAGGACACCTGGTGTTGAGTCCCGCTCAAGGAACTCAACGACCGAAGCAAAGGCCTTGTCGTAGGCGAGGACTTCGTTGACTTGGGCGGCCGGGTCATTGCCATGTCCTGCGTGGTCGATGCGGGAGCCCTCGATCATGAGGAAGAATCCTTGCTCGCTGTCCTTCGTAGCCTCGCTGAGGATTTCCAGCGCCGAACGGGCCATTTCGTCCAGAGAGGGATACACGTCATTCTGGGCGCGGCGGTCGATTTCGTAAGGAATGTCTTTCTCCGCGAATAGCCCTAGGAGAGGCAGCTTTGCTTGCGTCCCGCCATTGAGCGCATCAAAACCCTTCCGGTCGTTGATGTAGCCGAACCCTTTATCCTTGGCGATCGCCACTAGATCCCGGTCGTCAGCCCGACAGCTACCCTCCGTTGAATTAGGTAGGAAATGACACCGTCCACCACCCATGATAAGATCCACCACTCGGCCCAGTGGATGTTCACCAATCTCTTGCTCCGCAATCTGGTCCTCGTACTGTCGGAGGTTGACGTGGGACGCGAAACAAGCCGGCGTAGCATCAGTGATACGAGTCGTCACCACCAAGCCAGTCTTGTAACCCGCCAACGAAGCTGCCTCGAGCACTGTTCCACAGGGAGAGTGGTCAGGGAGCACAGAGATAGCGCCGTTGTAACTCTTCGCTCCGCACGAGAAGGCCGTCGCGCCGGCAGCCGAGTCGGTGACCAAGCTCGAGCTGGATCTTGTCCGCGAGGTTCCAAGGATATGCTTGTCCAAAACAAGGACATCATCGGCTGGGAGCCCCTGTGTGAGCTGCTTGAAGCTCCGAGTCATGGTAAGGCTGGTTGGGCCCATTCCGTCAGACACCATGAAGACAAGGTTGCGTTTGCCGGTCGGCTTTCCGCCAGGGCCCCAGGGCCCCTTTTCATGACTCCGTGTGCGGCCTGATTCGTGTTGGTAGACGACTGCGATGACGATAACGGCGATGGTTGCTATCAGGGCCCAGGCGAAGAGGCCGACTTCTCTCCAGAATCCCCACCCCCGACGTTGATCGCGGCGGGCGGTGCGTTCGCCGGTGAGCAGGGCGTCTTCCTCCTCGGCATTTCGGACGGATGATTGCTCCGACGATGGCCGTGGAGCCAAAAGAGGCTCTTCTCGCGCCATGGTGAGGGAGTACAGTGAAAAGGCAGGGGGGGTTGAGAAATGATGCGGAGGTCGGAGTTGAGGATTGGAGTTGGGACCTGAAGATGACTGGATTGCTTGGCGCCCAACCATTTGCGTCAGATCCACTTCATCTCAGCCCTGCGTTGCCTTCAAGAGTAGAATGTAGATTGCTATACAAGTACATGTCGGTATAATACATTAATAAACCGCATTGCCGCCCGAGTAGATTATTGCCATCCCTTCCACCCGATCGGAATCATCGCCGCCGCAATCTCAGAAACGCCCCGCTCAGTCGCAAGCAGATTAAACTGCGCAGCAGCGTTCCTCGTATCCACCACCTCAACCCGGATCCCCAGCGAGTTGATATGCTTCCTCGTCTCCGGCGAGAGAGGCAGAATCGATCCTCCCATCCCGAGAATTAGTAGATCTGCCGCCGCCCCATATAGTCAGTATACACTCCACCAGCGCCAGCAAGATAAAAGACAGACGGGTTAAGAGAAACATACCAGGACGAGGCCACACCAGGTCCAAAAGAGCCCAGGCCTGCTCATCAACCTCAAACTGGCCCTTCGCATTAACCATGTCATTCTTTTGCCCATCCTTCTTCTTCCCCAACCAAGGTCTCCATGTAAATGCCTCTCCAGCAACCAACAGCACCCCATCCCCACCTGTAATCTTCACCCCATTGTCTAGATGGAACCCAGTATCCAGACAGGCATCAACCGCAGTGGTCGGGGTAGGGATATTCCCTAAAACATTCAGTGCGGCGAAGTCGGTCTGTGTATCCTCCTGCGACTCCGGGCCGCGGTCGTGGCTGCGTGGTTTCGACGGGTGGGAGCGCGAAACCATGCGGGTTGGGCGGATGTGTGAAGAGTCACTGGAGTTGCTATAGTTTCGACGAGCGGGTGCAAATGGCGACGTAATGTAAGGTTGACCTCGAGCCAGGTATGCGCAAAGAGGGATTGTACTTTTGGGCGTGTTGGCGGAGATGGATGTTCGGAGAGCTCGAAGGAGCTGGAGGGATGGCGGTTGCATTTTCCAAATCACCACTTGTTGATTGCCTCAAGATACATGCGAATACCAGAAAATAATTGAGAATGCAGAGTATCGGTGAAAGGCGCGTGGATGGTCGAGTGAATTTTAAAAATGTTGCGATAACAAGCAGCGGAAATTGATGATGAAAGACCCCGGTCAAGTTGAGTCCTTATAAATATGGCAGAAACTGGTTTGACCAATGAAACATTACACAATTACGCCTGCAAGAGACACCTCAGGCACTGAGGTAAACCAACATCCGATTCTTTTCGTTCCAAAGTACAGCAACAGGCGGAACATGAATGAGCTTCTATTTAGTATAGATGCTATGCTAACAATAAGTGATTTATTACCGCACTATTTCCAAGCGTAGCTACCTCGGCAATCCCCTGCTGCCTCTTCTTCATTTCAAGAGGTCGAGATTCTGACCAATTAAAAAAAAAAATGTCATACAACGTCGTATATCGCCCCGAACGCCTTTTAGCCCGGAAAAAAAAAAAGAACACGCGTAAATGATCAATCCCCGCTCGAATCTACGAGAGCAGTATTCCGCCCACCTTTCTAACTTGAGTCCTGCGTCATAACAGATAAAATGCAGAGAGGCATAATGTATATGTAGATGTTGTCTGAATCGGGCGCGTGACCATTATGGGCAAGCACATTAAGGGTGGTGGGATGGTGCTTGCCGGTTCACATTTGCGCCGCGGTTACTGTTGCGTTCCTCATCGGACTGGCTAGAGCTGTCCTCGGCGGCGGCCGAAGTGGATGCACTGCGCAATCGTTGAGCTCGGTTTTGCAGCACCTGAGCCTCTGCCGCCGCTCGCTGGGCGCGTATTTGCTTGCGCCACATGCTTGCATATCGGCCCTTCATTGCAAGCAGTTGGTCATGTGTGCCGCTTTCTGCGACCTTTCCTTCGCTAAGGACCAGAATA